CACACCAACATATACAATTTACTATGCACATTACTAGTAGAACATATGTGTGTTTTACAAATACAAAATACAAACATAGATAATAAAAAAATACTACCTCTCTAATTCTGTGTCTTCACCATGCCTTCATTATGTGTAAAGATATACTTTGTAGAGCGTTTACAAATAATTAGGTACATGTTGAAAATAATAAGTATGATTAACAATTTTATTAGTGAATTACTTCACCCCAGCTTAACACAGATGGATAGAAAGGTAAATTACTATTTTATATATACCAGTTTTACGATCGATATCGAACACGTAAGTCTTAGAAGAGATTTTGCCTCACTCTGCGTATTTTACCGCTTGTACAACGAACTGATGATGATCAATATGATGCCTACGACCACTTTCCACCACCAATCGAATTAGGGACTGGTAGACAGCAGGAGTCGCCAGTTCGGGGACCGAACACACTCTTTTCTTGCAGTATCCGGCCGTAGTACCTTCCTAATGCTCCTCAAATATTGCGTCTAAACTGCGCCTACCATGTACCCTCTTGTATAGACATTCCGTTACCCGTATCCAATAGCGAGGACGGGATGCCTTAAGTACTGTACCGCAAACCATAAAAAAACCACCAAACAGCTCGCCATCGATAGGAAATTCATCTCGATACCTCAGGGTCTAGATGGTTGCATAAAATGCAGTTTCAGAGATGTTTCCTCCCACGAACGCTCATGTTATGGAATGAGCTTCCTGTCAAGGTTTTTCCAAGAGACTGCAGCATGAAGTTCTTCAAAAAAGAAATAAAGAGGTTTCTGTAGAATCGACATTGTGCGCGTAATACCCCTGGTATTGCAGGCGTTCATAGGCTACGGTAACTGCTTGTCATTGGGTGGGCTGTGTGGTTATTTGCCACTTCAGCAATATAATAAAATATATTAGGTTAGTAGGTAAACTTTTTTATACGTTAGATTTCGTTAATGTAATTCCCACAGGAATTTCATTTTTTTTAATATAACCTATGTTACTCGTTCATAATGTATATAGCTTTTTAAAGGTAAAGAATTTAAAAATCGGTTGAATAGTTTTTTAATTTACCCTTTACACACAAACAAACATACGAAATCAAACCTTTCCTCTTTATAATACTAGTATAGACAATGAGGGTAAAAAGTATACTTATTTTGTTTTTATACGTCCTTCATATCATATCGAGTAACCACATTAATGCGAGTAACTAAAGTCAAATGAAAGCTACGAATACTCTGAAAAGAAAGTGTCAACTTGCTATCTATAGTCTCACTAGTGAAATCGGCCCTTCCCCGTGAGACCTACATAAACATAACACTAAACTAGAAAGGTTACTTTAAATATAACACCTGACCTTTTTAAACTTTCTCTGACCAAAATAAGAAACTTGTCGAACAATAAAGTAACAGGTAACAAACAGTAGTTCAGGAAACAAATCCCTACGGTTATAAAGAAGTTTCAATCGAACTATCCAAAGAACACAGAGCAGACAAGTGTCCCAGATAATTCGTTCAAGAAACATTAACGTGCAGATAAATTCTCATAAATTCGCACTTACAGTAAATAAATAGAGCGTCTTGATACAATTTTACGCTGTTACCAAAACCTACATTTATTACTCAATATATGGGGAAATTATATTATTAAAAGTTAAATAAAAACGATACAACAATATATTTAAAAAACATTAAAAAAACAACAACAAGATAAACAGTGCGTAATGATTAACAATGATTATCGTTACTGTTTACTTTAACTTTAATTGATATCTAAGAATAGACTTAAACTCTTATTCATAAAAACGTCAAATCTCTTATAAACCCATTTTAGCTATTGAACTGTTTTATTGATGGGCTAGTAAATTCTATTTTTTTTTTATAGTAATGCCTAATATATATATAAATATTATTAAAACAATTTTACTTAAATGCTCGAATAAAAAGCAATTCATAGTATACGTACCTACAATGTATCACTATACATGTTCATAGTTTATGTGCATAATGATCTCGACAGAGTACATATATAGTAAGATAAAGGAATCCTTTGTGTCTTTGTGTTAAATTCTCCACAATCCTCAGCATAAGCAAAAACACAAAAGAGACCACAGACGTGATCATTCAGAAAATAACAAATGTTTGTTTTTAAGGCAAAGGCATATCAAAACAAAGGACAGAGTTCGTTATCCCGCGCTTTAGCAGCGTGAGGAACCCTGGCTGCCTGAGAGTCGGGTTCACGTTACATTTTTTCTCAAAGAGAAGTTTTGACCCTGTCCGGAGCTCTCGAGTTATCTACCTGGCATAAATAAACCATATATAAATAAACATTATATTTACATATAAATTAAAATTATATCAATAACAGTCAATAAACAATAATTAATAGAGTATACACAATTTTACTATTAATTCCTTAATTAAGCATGCTTCTTTTTTTTAAATTTACTACTAAGTACTTACTGTTTATTAAATACATAATTTACTAGTAATTAAACAAACAATTTTATAATATAAACATTTACAATTAATTATAAACTCCTAACGCACCAAAACGAGGCAGCGCACCCAAGATACTAGTTGCATAACCTCTTTGGATCGTTAAACTTATCTTTTACGCAACATAACTACCAGTTCTTGGGTCACCAGTAACCTCGATAATTGGTGCACTCCTCCGATAGAAATGCATCTGAGCCTTATGGGCCCATAGTCTCTACAGCAAATAACTACTTATTTACTAAACAAAACTCTCAAAAATATTAGAAACTATGTCATCTACTTGTAATATTCAAATTAATACTGTTGGAGTGCATAGCACTATACTATTTTTAATGTATTTTATTTTTATATAATACAAGCTTTTGTCCACAATTTGTCCGGCCAGTAACCATATCCCGTGTAACCGGGATATGGTTATTGGCCGGAATAACAAGTAGCCCATATCCTTTTCCATCCTATATAGTACATGTATACCAAATTTCATAGTGATTCGTTACACCATGAAGATATTATATATAACAAACAGGCAAACAAACTCACATTTATATCATTATATGATTTCTACATAGTCTTTATGTACAACTCATCCATCGTCCACTGTTGAACAGTGCTGAACATCCTGCACTACTTACATCTAGTGATTATGACCTATCTAATCATAAATTAAGTATAGTACTTACATCATAAGTTCTATTTTACATGTATAAATAATTCTCTGTAGATTTATAAATCTATACAACTATTTATTAAAGGTCCTAATAAAAGGATTGAGAGTCAGAGACACTGATTGTCAATGACATTCAATCCTCCTCCAATTAATTGCTTGGTTTTCGTACTACAATTACTCAGCAAATAATTACCACGTTGTCTCTACATATTCTCTTTACTATAACACGGCATAACGAGAAAACATGTGATTATATTTTAATCTACCCCAATCCTCGCATTACATATAGATATCCATTGTATTAATAAAGACTGAAGCACTCTTAGTTACGAGTACATTTATTATCACCAACAGATAGATTGTAGAACGCAATTATGTATAGTTTGTGGTCAAGATATATGCTTACGTTTAAAACTATGTTCGGTTATGAAATATATAGTAATAATTTATTTAACAAAAATATACAGATGCAATTACAAGATACATATACATTACATATTAATTCACAGTAAGTGTCTCTGGCCTCCATGCTAGGAAGTCCTGTGTGTGTATGAAGGTCAGCCCACTGTACTTTACATAATTAAACTTCTTATATTAATTTAAGGAAATACAGAAAATATACAAATTAAGGTTAAACTATAAATGATAAATATTATTTAAAATATAGATAACTATAATAAAAGATATTAATAACAACAATATTAATTTGAAATAATAAATTTACTGCCCTTATACATATATGTGAACTAAGCCATGTATCTATGAGCTAATTGCATTTAGGAAAAAAAAAAAGAAAAGTAGGATATATGTGTATGTGGCGTGAAGCTTAATATTTGTAAGTTGCAGACAAATGTATGAGTGTGGTGATTAGATGAAATGAATGTATGTGCAATTATAGCATATGTATTATAACTTAAATTTATCAATATATGCGACTTAAAAGCATAAGTCAAATATCGAGGTGAAGCACACGATTTTATTTACTACAGTTATCCAACTGGTATTGCTATATGGTTCCAATCGTAAGATCAGTGTCATAAAAGGCGATTAAGGGAGGATTCGGGATGGGCAGAGCAGCATCCCACTTAAAACATCTCCAAAGCCGGTGGTTGCCAATCCACCTGCCAAGGGAAAGGCTATGGTATATGTTCAACAGTAGACAGTTAAATGCTGATGTGATCCGACTGGTATAGGCGATATCGTAATGAGGGAAAACCTTTTTTTTGCCATCAATGTTTAGAGAAATCCAATATATAGATATCGGAGCACTACAGATATTACCCATGCCTAAACAACAATAACTTGGTTGGGTTTTTTGTATATAAAATTAAACTATTTGAAAATTAACTTTACAGAGTATAGCAAAAGAATCTTATTAAACAAGCAAATAGGTAATTCTATGCCTGTCATTAGTGTCAGTAATACTGTATATTACTGTTAAATTTAAAATAAATATTCTTACAACTATAATCCCTAATGAGATAGTGACATTCTTTGACTAGCTATTGCCATTTTACAGAACAGACATTAATATATTACAATTTTTACTTAAAACATACACACGTCCTACATACTGTTAATTTCAAATTTTCGATATAATATATAACTGATATACTGTTTATTCTGGTTGTTACACATCTGTGTAATATTACAACTTAACTATTTTTTCTACTTTTTTTTTAATGTTACACACATATCGTAACACACATCGATGACACAAATAAAAGAAAAATAAAAAAAAAACTAATCTGACACATTTCAATTTGTTGTAATTGTTATTAAAGTAAAGAATAATATTAATAATAAAAACAAGTATAAAAATGAAAACAGCTTTTTATACGAAAGAGACATTGACTGAAAATACTGACAATAATACTGAAATCCAAGAAAAAGCTTCAAAAAATATAGAATTTGGAATAACGAACACGCTTCGTGTTGGTAGCCTTTTACGCACATGGGCTGACATTTCCAGAATTAACTACATGTCTTTAGAACCACTTGACATCATAACATCTGGTAAATAATCGTATCTCGTATGGTATATATATATATATATATATATATATATATATATATATATATATACCATAATGTAATACACATATTGCTTTCTGTATGTTTATTATATTATATCTACTATTTTAAAGTAAATTTTATACTACTTTATTATTTACAATGCGTTCCATATCACATTTATAAGAATACATAATATCACATAATATTATTAAAATATCTAGCTCTATATCTTCTTTATCTATACTTCAACTTATATCCTTCACTAGGGTACGTATTTCTGAATGTCAATCTTTGTGGTGATAGCTCGGAGAAAATGCCATCCCGACGTCTTCTTTATGATCCCAATGTGAGCCATCTATTTGATTGGAGTAATCAATATAGCTGAATGACTATTCGTTCATTTCGGATCTTCCTAATACATACAACGAGGCAAATGTTTATTTGATAGTAAAGTATGTCATATAATAACCTAGTTTCTCATACTATAGGAAATCTTTACGACTTCATGTGCACCAAGACCAAATAATTGGCAGTTATTAATGGAAAACGCCTTATTCTAGATTTCTAAGAATCCTTTGAGAACAAAGTGACAATAACTAGCGATATTTTTTTAGGTGAAAGTATACGACGACGTAGCATCGGAATACCTGGAAAAAAATATTCAATCCATTACTTTGTACCAACGGAATTTCGGAACAAGAGCGAAGAAGATTTATTTTCCGAACAAGTGAGACAAGCCTTAACTTTATAACATTACATTTAAAACATTACATATAAAAACTGTACTTATACACACGCACACACACACACACACATACACCTCGGACACTTCTTACAAAAACCGTGATTGTTACAATTACAGAAACAAGTTACGTCTGTGCATACGACGATGCGTGCGTATGTAGTTAGTATTAACGCGGGAAAAAGTGTGCACATTGTAGAATGTGAAGTGAAGCTGTGACTTTGAAAATACAGTGCAGCGTCAATTATTAAATAAATGATATCTTTGGAAAATAAAAATATGTACTTCAGATAACACACGTATTTATTATCATATCAACATAAATAAAATCGATGTGACTAAATATTATATTGTGAATAAATAAATGTAAATAATTTTATTTTACACATATTAGATATACAGAATAAAAAAAAATACTACAAAGACAGAATTCTTATATGGACTTTCTTTGGAATTCATATTATTATTATTTCAGCCGTTAACTGTCCACTGCTTAACATATTCTATATATTATATATATATATATATATATATATATATATATATATATATATATATATATATATATATATATATATATATATATATATATATCTTCAATATATATAGTTTTACCAATAGTAGCCACGCTTGGCAAACGTGTTGGTAACCACAGTTAGGCTTTTAGAGATATTCTAAGACGGACGCTGCTGCCCATCGCTCGCCCTCCCTTAGTCGCCTCTTACGACACCTACGACGAATTCATATATTTTATATTAATTCAAATTATTAAGTGTCACGATCAACATAGCTACAAAAATTTAGTCCTTCCAGCAAAGTATGACATTTTTTTATAATAGCATACATGGGTCCCTATGATAATAATTTTTTATATTTATGTATAAAAATTTGTACGTACTTAGGTACGTAGTAGCAGTTTTTTTTTTGCATTACAGTTTACTAAACTGTATTATAATTATAAACCTATTTCTCTGTTGTTAGTCTACGTTATTAAATTCTTTATAACTTAGTAAAGTGAAACAAAAGTTGTTCTAACTTTACATGAAATATTCATGAATACAAAGTTTATTATGAAATATTTTCGTCAACAAGCATCCGGTCATATTATATGCGGGGCAGGTACTTACTTTAAAGGGCCCGTTAACATCTTTTGAAATGATGAAGGACCAATAGTAACGTTTGAATCAGATCGTATCGACCCATGATATTTGATGTACGTCACATTTGAGTAGGGTTAAATTTCGTCACATCCTTACTTTTATTTCCCAAGAGGTATGTTTTACCAAATATTGTTACAAACCTTCGTGTAATTGCTTTGATTTCACATACGAATTCGCTGATTGACAAATACGAAAATACCTCAAAACCAGCAAAGTTCCCATGTAGATAACACCTTAAATTTTCCGGCTTTGGAAAACGCTTTTTTCTAATTGCCTTTCTTTTCCTCAAATCTCTTTTGATGAAAATCCCTTTAAATTTTCTTATTTTCCAGTTTCCTGTTAACGTGACATCTTTAATGAACGAGGACCAGCTATGGGGTTGCTTTTACATATTCCCAGAGTTATACACCGATGTGTATTCGCCAATTGTGCGTATACGCAATATTGAGGATGTGCCAGAATTAATCGGTGGAGTGCTGACTAGAGACATGGTCACTGCCTGTCTCACTTATCTAACTCGAACGCCGATCTTAGGCGACTTCGTTTATGTCAAACTGGACCTGTCAGCCAAGGTCGGGAAAGTTTTTTACAAATTACTCCGTTGTAGTGGTTAAAAATGTTCTATTTCATACTTCACTTATTTTTTTATCTACATAACCATGTAGTTCGCATTTTCTCTAAATAATGGTATTTTAGTAAGGCTCAGTTAATATCTATACCTAAGTGTGTAAAATGTTTTATTTACAGCACCTGATGAACATTGACGTTTTGCAGCATTACAAATATCTTGTTTACCTGGATGTCTCTTCCAATTTATTGACAGAATTATCTGTACTGTCATACCTTCCCTATCTGCAGTTCCTGTCCGTGGCTTTTAACAGACTGAACACCGTCTTGGAATATGATACTCGTATATTATTTATTACTCAATAATATAATATCTATAATATATACACTATACTAATATTATAAAAAAAGAAAGATTTTATTATTTATTTGTAATAGATAAACTAAAAAAGTACTCAACCGATTTTAAAAAAATTTTTCACCTGTAAAAAGCTACATTATAAACGAATGACATAGGCTATAAGATACATATTATTTTCGAACATTCTATCTAGACCTGCAAAGCGCATTCGATTCGCTAGTATTACTTTAAATATATTAAATTAATTTAATTATGCATCCTATCTGTATTACAATTTCATCAAACAAAAGCAGGATATGTATGAATAAATTGGTTAAGTAATAACGAAAATAAGATAATCATTTATACAAGTCAAATACGTAAAATTGTGGTAAAATATAAAAAAATACATGTAGTGAATACTGCAGGAATAAACAATCTTTTATCATATAAAATATTTACCTACATTTCTTACTATATTTAAAAAAGGATCTGTAATATGTTAGTCGTGAGTGTGAACGAACTCACGAAATTATAGGAAGTAATTCAGTTATTTTCATTTTTCAGCACAATGGTTTTTGACGGAAGTGCATTACAAATTCAATTCTGTGAAGAAAATTAAAGACTTAAGTGAGTTTTGGTCAATCACAATCCTTGACTTATCACACAACAATATTAAATTCATAAGCGGACTTGAGAATTTACGGTAAATCATCATTTTGAATCCGTACAATGCAGAAACTTATACGCATTATATTTACATTATACGTTTACTTGTAGATACCTTCGTCGTTTAGATCTTTCCTTTAACCATATACAACGATTAGAAAACTTGAGCAATCTACGTTTACTATGGCTTGACGTGTCTTATAATAATATTTCGAGTTGCGAAATTGATCCTCAAAAAGGACTGTGGAGCCTCCTACATCTTGAATATCTCAATCTTAATGAGAATAATCTCACGTCATTAAAAATGTTCTCAGGTTGCAATAGGTAAAGTATTATATTATATTCTATGCACTTGTAAATTATTGTAAAATATAAATAAAATTTCGTCGTATATCGTGATATCACAAATTCTATTTTCTCTTGAATAATGTGTAAGATAGGTAAATTTTATTTAAATAATCGAATTTGCTCATTGTTTAGACTTCGAGAACTGCATGCACGAAACAACCGTTTGAGTGTACTCTTAGAGCTTGCTGTGTACATGCGTCAGATGAGACGTCTAATAGTCCTTGATCTACGGGCCAACCCCATATGCTCAACACCTGGCTATAAAGAAGTTGTCATTAACACGTTTCCTGTCTTGCTTAGTTTAGACGCTGAAGAATTAAATCCAATAGAACAGGTGGGTATTTATTGTCTAACGTGATTCTCATTACTTATATCTGATAGATACTACCTACATTCTCTACACAGACTTGTATTTAGTTACAAACTAATTTTGCCTGTGCCTTGGTTTGCATAACTGCAATAAAAACTACTTAGACAGCTACTCCATCTCAAATAATAATATATGCCAAATTTCTTGATCATTAGAGCAGTCTAGACGTCGTGGAGTAACAAAAAAAAACACTTTTATACTTATACCTACAAGTAAAATAAGTAAATATAAACTAAAGTAATTAAGTATGAACTTACAGTTTAAATTCTATAGTGTTTAATGTAAATTCAGTATAGTTTTCCGCCGAAAGAATAGATAAAGACAGTGATAAGCAATAATTACGCAATCTTTTTGCACCTTGCCGGATCCAATTATTTTATTAGCTAAACAAATTTTAAAAAGATCATGAATATCGCTGTATATAATAAAGTGTCAGTATACTCGTATCTACATAATTACTTGTTATTACACCATATTTACAACAATTTTATTAATACCTACTCCCGAATATAATATTTGTCGTACGTAGACATGATCATATATTCCTTTTGCACCGTAGGTATCTACAACACAAATTTCTTTATAGATTATCCGAAATTCGCATTCCCCTTACAGCGAACACTTAAAATGGATATGACGCCAGATGTCAACACCTTCGCGACTCGACGTTTATTACGTGTACTCTACGTGGAGCAACTGTCTCGAGCACTTGTATCTCCGCACATTCCACCGGCAGACACGCGAGAAGTTCCTATTGTCGTGCTTGTAGGATACGAAGCTGTTGGCAAAGGTTATTACATTATTTTATTTCATTGTGAAAACGTTTTCACCTTTACTCGTTGAGGGGTCCTTTACCTTTACGGAAATAATAAAATTAATTAAAATTTAATTATTTCGGTAACCTCGTTGAGCATCAGATGGGCCGTGTGTTCGTTTGCCACCATCCTTGCTAATATTATTTATATCAAAGTAAATTTGTTTATTACTTTATAACGCCTTAATGGCTTTACTTAATGGGATGGAAAAGATTAATGGCTAATTTTTATCCCGGTCAGTAAACGTATCCCGGTCACGTGGATGAAGTCATAGGTAAAAAGCTAGCAGTAATATAAAATTTCATATTAGTAATGGTTGATAACCAACTAATAGTAATCAGGTAACAACAACTTGATACCTCATCATCATTTAACCCTTTTCCCATTATTTAGGAACGGCATATTTGTGCCTTTCATTGTTATCTTGATTTATTCATCTCACTTATCACACCATAAACACCATGTAGTAAAAAACAATTCCTAAACAAAACTAAACTTGAAAATCCTACGTGTCTATCGAGTAATGCTGATTATAATGATAATATTTAAAAACTAAACGCAACTAGCGTTCAATAATTATTGTAAACCAAAATTGAAATAAGATAAATCTTAAAAGTAATTTTAAGAATAAAATCATTCTTCTGTTAACTATTCGTTTTATTTTTTTCTAGAATATTCTACTATTACGAGAATATGAAGCTCATTATTCATAACATATACTCTGCTAGTCATAATTTTATCCATAAAACTGCAATATGTCCGTTATTGAGTTTCGGTCCGAAGGGTCAACTAGATAATGTTATACTTATCTCATATTACAGGCATAACACCTCCTCAGGCAATGGATAAGAAATATAATGTGTGGCAACAAACATATTCTAATGTCCATTGTTTTTCATATTAATAGAAAAAGTTGATTACTTTTATTAGATGGGCCCTTAACTTGTTTTTCATTTACATATCAGTCGTTAACTATCTGACTATCTAACATAGGCTACCTCCTGGCGGTGCGCGAATCCGAATGATTTTTTATTCGAATGATTAGTAATTACTAATTTTATAATTTAACTACTAAATTAGTAATATACTAATTTTAGTATTAGAATGATAAATTCGAGTTTTACTAATTAGTAATTCTAGATCGAATTACCAAACGAACCAAAAGAACCACTGGTAATGTAGACAAAGTCCTTTCCCTGTATCCATTATCCTTAATATATGGTGATATATACATATATATATGAATCATCTGGATAAACGACCAAAAATAATTGCAAACAATCTCATTCTTCCAACGTTCGACTGCATTCTTGATTCGGCTACGTTCATACAGCCCCGTGCATGAACAACTACTGATGAATGATTTTAGCTTAGTAAAAGCATGTAATGATTGAAATTAGTAGTCGAATGATTTGAAAATCATTCCAAGAATTCAAATGAATTGCTCAATCGAATAGTTAGTAGTCGTATCAGTAAATTCGCGCATCGCTAATTGAGAGATTTCGCTAGTAGTTACCGTGTTTGGCAAGCGGATTGGCAATAGCAGTAAGGCTTTGATGATATTTTAAAAGGGACGCGGCTGCTCATTCCTCGACTATTAATTCCCTTAACCGTCTCTTACGACACCCACGAAAAAGGATTAACGAAAAAAAACCCATTCGTTCCCGGAACGACAAAGCGATTACTATTTACAATGAATAAATTTAAATAAAAATCCAATCAATAGATATTGATACAACATGCTTTTAAAAGTTTATATTTTATATAACGTAAACAAATATAAAAAGTGATTTGATAAAATATATAATATTTATATTTGTTCAAAGGGAAACTAGCCCGCCGCTTAGCAAAACAATGCAGTGCTAATATAGAAATGGCGTACCAACATACAACAGCACCTTTTCATTTTCCGGGTCATTACAAAGAAGTGTCACGTTCCAAGTTTGATGACATGCTACTAAATGGAGAATTTCTCACATACAGTGAAGTGGCTGGCGAATCATATGGGCTAAGTAATAAATATTAAATTATTATAATCCTATACAACTAAGTATTACTCTGTTCTGTACGTAGGAACATTTCTGTTTTACCTGTGAAACTAAACAGTTTTCCCAAAGATGAGGTGAAAAATGACGAAAAATTTTAAGCAACAAGCATTGCATATTTATAATTAAAATAGATAATGTGGTCTTTTAATAATATCTTATATACTCGAAAACTTTCTTTTTAGAGAACTTCATTAACGTACTTACATGGAGTAAGTACGTTAATGAAATTCTTCAAGTGAACTTAACAAACAGTAACTTAATCAAATTAATAATCAAATTAAAAATCTGGATGAAAAAGGTCCTGAACTACTCTCATGAGTATCACAATTTCTTAAGTTCTAATATATTTTTCCTAAATATCATTGTCCGGCTCATATTTTACCTGCTTAAACAGCAGTACTGATTGCCTAAAATTAATGAAAAAAAATTATCACACAAAAACATCACCACAATAAATTATACGGAAATCGGTATTTTATCTCACTGAATGGTAATTTTAATTTTAAAGGTCGTGAACAAGCTTTTACAAATAATGCTAAAGTGAAAATCGCAACGATGGATTTGCTGGGAGCATTAATGCTAAGATTACGAGGTCGAAGACCTTACCTGCTTCTAGCTACATGTAAAGACAAAATCGCCTTAACAAGGAGACAACATGAAAGAAAGACGTAAGAACTAATCTTAAGTTCTTAAACGACAAGACTGAGGGATGGAGTAAACTCATCTCTGGTAGCAAACAACAGGCAAGACTCATAATGGGTGTCTTTTTTTTAATGGGTGATAATGGAATGGTAAACCCCATCCGCACTATCGGTTTACACCGGCGGGGCACTAGTGAAGGATGATAGATGAGGATGAAGCAGGTCTATTAGCGCATCGTGACGAATTCAACAAGAATTGTTCACGATGGTTTCCAGGGGGAACCACATGGAGGTCGACCTAATATTACTAGCAATGAGGCTGTCAAACTTTATTGCTAACAATCCATAATGGGTATCATAACTGGGCATATACCCGTAAGACATATACTATACAATATGGGTATATCTTCGAACACACTGTACAAATTGTGCAGTGAGGAATAGGAATCCATGAAACATCTGATGTGCAAAAGTGATTTGTCGGCAAGAATGCCTACGAATCTACTGAGAATGGCTTATCCAGAGCCAGAGGACTATATATATCTTAAGTCCCTCTTAAAATATCAACGAGCTACGAAAATCAAGCAACTACTGGAACAACCCCCCAGGGAGAAGGCTTATGTTCAGCAGAGGACAGTTAATATCTGTATCATCATCATCATTATGATAAAACCAATAAATGCGGAGACGATAATTAAAAAAATTATCTCTCTATCTATCTGTATGTTATTTCTGGTATCACGCAAAAACTACTGCACTAAGTTGGATGCGATTTTCACAGTTGTATTTCTGAAAGTTTGCCACGCCATCTAGAAGTGGTCTATTTCATTGGCTTTTCTACTTCTGCAATCGACATGTACGAAGTACCGGGCAAAAAACTAGTCGATTCAAAAAATTTTAAGGATTTCAAATATGTCGATCGTGGATAACACAGGCTATATAATTATTTGTTCACCTGTGGAAATTTCCAACGGAAACGGGTTTGTGTGGGCGAAACCACAACAAACTGCTAGTCTCTATATAAACAAGTACATGTTGCAGAATAAATAGATTAATAATATTATTGACATTACGGCAATCTATACAGTGTTGAATACGTTATTTTGTGTACACATGGTCCCAGAATCGATTCTCGATTGTGCTATTTATAAAATGAACTTTTCTAAATTATCTCGGGTCTTAGTATTCTACTCATTTATTCATATCAGCCGGTAACTATCCACTGCTGAATATATGCCGCTCCCACTGCAATAAGTAACAATCCTGAATCACATGGAACCACTAATTCCCTACAATGCATTTGAGATGGATGTTCCATCTAGTGATGGGTCGTCTTACACTGCGTTTGCCTATACGGGGTCTCCATTCAAGAACCTTTTCTCTCCATTGGTCGTCGATTCTTCAAGCTTTATGACAATGCGCATTATCAGTTTAGCTTGCTTATCCTTCGGGTTAAGGTGATTTTGATTCTTCGTAGCACAGTGTTCTATGTTGTGTTCCAAATGTTCCATATCTGATTCCTCACAATACAGAGTATTCTGGTTTCAGAACCAGACAACAGGTTAATGTTAGGGTAGAACATCTGTCTACTGTTGTATTACAAATATACAATTCTTAAATACGAGTATCAACTGATACAATTAAGTAGATACCTACTTAGACACAAAAAACAGTGTTCTCTTTATTGTCCAGATTTCGTAACGAAGCTTACGAACAACGCATGTCTTTAGTAACTCCATTGGAAACATCAACATTGCAAGTACTGTTGTCTGGTCGTTTTATAATTACTGGGATCCTTAACGAAATACTTTTGGTAAGTTATTATTTACTTTTTTTTATAAATTGCTAAAATTATTGATATAATAAAAATATAGTTTATTTTTTATTTTTTTATTTGTATTATTTTTTTAAAGATGTCTATTTATATGTAAAATGGGAATTTTATGAACTTACTATGCTTATCGTTTCCGACAATTGTTTCGACTTCATCCTTTATGCTGCTTATGATGCTTCACATCGCAGTGAGTGCGGGTATTTTAGTGTGAAGTGAAATGTTGATAGTAAATTCCCATTATACATATATATATATATATATATATGTCTATACATATAGACAACAAAAAATTTATTTAAATTTTATTCTTTTTGTACATAGTCATTGCCAGAGGAGAAAGAACAAAGCGAATTTGTCATCGAATCAGAGTGCTCTCTTATGATGGACAGCGAAGCTCGTCAGGCTGTCCGAGATTACGCTCGAGGAGTAAATCTAGTTACGCTTGTAGATTCTGTATGTTAGAAGATATTTTCTTTCACACCTTATCTACTTTTGATATAGTAATAACCATTCTTATACCGTATTAAAAATAATACATCTAACATATTTTTATAATTTACTGTTGCAACAAATATACACGCAAATAAATATTAGAAGAGCAATAACGCGGGAGACCATTGCAAAATATAATATTTTTTAAAAACTTTTTTAAGCATACCATCGCATTTTAGATAATAAGTAATCAAATAGAATTTAATACATTTGTAAAACCTTTTAATTTATATTTTGCAATTTTAATATTAATTTATGATTTTAGAGCACTACGTCCCTTGAAGAAGCGTGTAATCGTGTACACGAAAAAAATGGCCAAATGGACCCAAGTTTATACTCCCTTTACAAAGAATCGCAGGGAGCCGACGAGTATAACAGCTATGTGAACGGACAAAACTCTTACCGAGAGCGCAATCAACATAAAAAGTAGTTTTTAGTTCATAACATAAAAGTTCATAAATATTTAAGGTGCATATATTTTCACGGGAGTGTTGAACGCGATGAGTAACTTTTCAGGGCGAACGAACCTCGTCAGTCCTGTACTAAGCAAGAGAAACATGCAAGCTTCTCCCGACCGAAAAGCGTCGACTTCAGCAAATATACACCATCGACGTGGAAAGGCTAATTATTCACATTTAGAATACCTAACATTATCTAGTTATCCCAACAGCAAATCCTTTACGGAACAGACAGAACTCTTGATTCATCTGTATTTACTATTCTTTTATAAACATACATATATACTTAGAGATACCTACTAACTAACCCGGAAAAGAATGTTTTGCTCCCTGCTACCTGAACTGAATAGAAAAACTAGTCTCAAGTTAGAATAAACGATAGGTACACATTTAAAAATTTCATTAATAAAATCTATTGAACGGTTTCCGAAATTAGCCTGAACGAACATCGTTTCACGGGATTTTTATCTTTCAAGTTACTAACTGTATCCCATGGCTTTGCCTAAATGAATCAGTATACAATATGCTATGTTCTAAGTTAGGATATTGCCTATCCGTGTACAAAATTTCATTCAAATCCGTTCAATAGTTTTAGTAACACCTCTCCATTCTCACAAACTTGCACATTTACAATTATAACAAGATTATAATTATATTAGTACCTATTTAAATATTAATAAAATTAATAAATTATGTAGGCAGCATCCTAATATATTTTATTTTTATTCTAGGCCTTTCAGCAGTCCCAGATAGCTCCAAGTCCTCAAAATCTGTTACCTTCATATCTCAAGATAACAATGAAGTGCAAGAACAAGTGGACCCATTAGGAATGCTCATTGAACCTGAAAAGAGAGGTATGCACTGATAGTAGTCGTGTACCATTTTTATGAAAATTTTTCCAACTGTATTACTTGTATTATCAGAAACGATATTCCTATATTTAGACTTTATTTAGTTAACACAATGTTATCAATAGTTGTTATAACACTGTACAATTGTTTCGCAGTTGATAAATCAAAAGCGTTAAACTCTATCAGTACTAAGATACCGTGGCCGATTCGCGGACAATCACAGAGGGGTTCTGGAGGTTCCCTTGATGATTTAGATCTTTGCCTAGCTTTTCTGACTGAGACTGGACTTATGCAAGCTAGTAGCGCCAATTACAATACATGTAAAATCTTTTTTTCAAACTATTAAAAAAAGGTTCTCTAATTGATATTTTATTGAAGAAGGAATTGTTAGTATAGAAATTAGAAGCCCCATTTCTAACAAGACATACAGTCTACCTTCTCGCGGTTCCTCCTAGAAACCATCGAGTTCAGTTCCAAGTGATTTCATTACGATGGGCTAACTGACCTGCTTTTTCGTCCTCATCTATCCTCACTCACTGGTGCCCCGCCAGCATATACCATTAGCGCAGGCAGTTACAAACCATTATCATCTATTAAAAAAGAAATATTTGATAGGTTTGTACCATTAGGTATGTAAACAGAAGCATTTTGATATTCAATCCTCTCTGCTGTTCCGTAAGGATTGACTAATTGGCAGTTTTCGTGTATCATTAAGTTTTATTTAAAAATTGCCTTGAAACACAAATTGAAATGTCAAACATGTTGACTGGCCACCTGATAAAAAGTATTAATCATCATCTAAAAACATAAATACACTGTACCTAACGGGCGTGATATTGTACATAAGATTATAAGTTATTCCTTAGGACAAAGGTTAGGTTAAACCGAACCTCAAACTGAAACCCAAACATATAAGCACTACTTGGTAGTAGAAATACGAGTAAAACTAATACGTTATACTTCCTATGTCTAAACAATGCTACGTATGCAGACAATTTCTGTACCGTCTTCCTCTAGTAAAATTATTTTATTACCATAATTATTGAGACTTAAATGGTCTCATTTTATTCCAGCGAATACCACACCTCATCACGATACAAATATTGATGATCCTGAGGCTATTCTCAAAGAATTTGATTACTATAAAAAGGTAACTAACGATTTCTCTCTGAATTAGTTTATAGGTAGCTTCTTATGAAGAATTGGACTAAAATAATCATTACAATTATCAACAGTTATGTATTTCACTATTAAAAATTAATAAGTTGAAGGCAATTGTTTTTAATAATTTGAACTTATTAAAAAAAAAACTAAAATTGAAAGTTTAAAATTATCAAATCGGTCATGAAACATTCATATAAATCGAACAGTCACGTAGATTATCAATTTAAGTGACCAAAAAGATCGAGTACGTTCGTTGAAAAAATTATTCAGTTTCACAAATACTATCTCTGAGATTAAAGTTTTTATTATGCATATTTCCGTTACAGGCTATAACTAAAAAGGCAACTAAAGGAATATACATATCTATAAAAAGATTTCAATATCAGCGCATGAAAAGAATATTTTAGAAACCTTTCTTTTACTTCCGTGTTATTACAATTCCATTCCGTAATAGAGAAGGCGGCTCACGTATTTAATTAACCACCGACGCAAAAACAGCGGTATTATGAGATTCAATCCTTTGCCGTCTATAACACCGTAATTCCCAAACAAAAACTATTTTAACTATTTTAAAGTTATTTACTTATTGATTGGTTTGATCTTTCGGATCCTTTTTAAAGGTTACCCAATCATACTTAAACGGTTGAACGGATAAAATTTGGTTCACAAATAGACGACATCTCCTAGCCTTACAACTACGAGCTACATATATACAGCAGATACAGCTAGCATTACAAGCGTGCACGTAATGTATACTTGTTGTAGCAATTAATACATTATATTCTATATTGTCAACGTGCGTCTTAAAAAATGTGTAGATACAGTTTATATAATACCATATTTTATTTATTCATTATTGACCACATTACAAAATATTGTTTGATACGAAAGGCGGACTAACTGCATAGCACACTCTCTTAATCAACCGTTGGAAGAATTGAACTGTAGTTATGCGATGAAGACATAAAAAAGTATTTTTTGTGTAGGAACAAACTGAATCCACGGCAGCTACGATTAAGGACGATTATGAAGAAATACACCAAATATGCCCTGGTCTCTTCTGGGATACAGTAAGTTTCAAAGGATCAAATCATTTTAACATGGCACGTCCCTCCTAGTTTTTACTTCAATGTATGTGACCATGTGTAAATGTGGTGCTTTGTTTTTGCATCTATGAGGAAACATCTTCAGTAGAGGTCCACTCAGAGAAATATTATTATTCCTTGGTCAAAAACTTGTAAATATTTTCACTCACACATCTTTAATTCTTTGGATTTTAGATGGGCGTGCCGTGTTATTGTAAACAATCCGAATAATCAGGTTTAGGATAATAGGCTACTAGCGCATCCATCATTCACTCTAGTCTCATAGATTACATTCTCACTAAACCTATTATGTACTAATAGTGCCCCAATTTTTTTTTTTACACTACTTAAGAAAATACTAAGAGCTAATTATAAGTAACCTAATACATAGGCGTGCGTAACTAGTAAATGTTCATATGTTGATCAGCCTCATTAAAGCATTGCTGACGCGGCATATCAGTATAACACTGTTACTTATTGTAACTCAATGTCAAAGCCACTTTCCATAATAATGTTAAATTTGTGAAACAATAAAATTAACTTTGTTTTAGAAATTGTGATAATAATTACTTTATTTTACAGATTATGATGGATGACCCCAACGAATCATTCCATAAAGCAAAAAAAATCATACACAACATAGTGAATTCACAACCACAGTTTAAAACAATGTTCGACATAGATTTTGCAAATATGAATTACTACAAATCGATTAAAAAAAAATTGGCGAGCATTAGTAAACAAATAGCTCCACAGAGACTTTTTTATTGAAAATAAACAAATAATATTAAAAATGTGAATTAGTTTTATTCAGCAATAGATACGCCTAAGTAAATTAGTATCTTACAATAAATGGATGACTACAGAGCTGAGAGACTTTATTCCTCTGTCTTGGTTTTATAAAATATAAAATGTATTGCACAATCATTTAAATACCATTGTGTCAAGCATCGCTCCTAGAGATTGGACTATGTTGTTTGACATCAATATGTCTACTTTCTCTTCTAAATGCCTCTTGGGATCTTGTTTGCCCACATTCTTAATGGCTAGTTGTTCAGGTGTCATTTTTTCCTCATCTTCCAAAGCCTTATTATAGTTTTTAGCAAGTTCCAACATGTCTGTGACGGTTGTCTCATTAATAGAACAATGTTCTTTATAATCTGATAATGTGAGACCATCCATCCATGATTTTTTGTGCAGGTTTAACAACATTTTCTGCTCTAATTCATTCTTTCTGTAATTAATGCTGATTGAGTAGTAATGACGGTTTAGACCATGGATAAGAGCTTGCACTGAAGGTTTCTGGAGATGACCCAAGTTGGATGTTGTCTGCCTTGGCTCCTGCCCAAGGACCATCATGTTTGGATTGATAAGACGGAATGCATCAATGACAACTTTACCCTTAACTGATTGAATGGGATCAACAACAACAGCTACAGCTCGTTCTGATAAAGCCTCAAATGACTGCTGAGTATTAATATCAACACCTGATAGCCAGCATCCAAATCCTGGATGTGAATGATACCTGTAAAATAAAAAAAAAATTGGGTGCAATGAAATGTACATAAGAACAGATACAGTAAAATTATGCAACTACTAGAAAAAACTATATGAACTATTATGAAAAAAATAAAACAGAACTTTTTGAAAGAGACCAAGAGTTCCTATAATTATAAAAGTACATGAAAACAAAAAAGTGAATAGAGGCATGCAGCAAACAGGACTATTGAGCATATTCTATCCATCTCCCCTGCCCTGGTATAGGCAACAGAATTCAAATTAAATAGGATAGGTTAGATATTCACTTTAGAATCTGCAACCCCTATACAATTGATCACCTCTAAGCTGCAATCTATATACTCTATTCTAAATTCAAAGCTATTTGACTACCTGTGTCTTGTATAATTAAAAATATAACTTTATTCTCTTACTTAATTCCTGCTATAATTTTAACTAAAGATTATTATTTCAATATTTTCTATTTAAATTTAATAAAAACAAATACTTACCAGCCCACCACCATTTCAGGCCTACCAGTTTGTTTAAGCATATCCAACATCTTAGCTTGAAAGACAGGGTCAACAGCCTCTACTGAAACCCCTGTACCAGTTTGTGGCATAGCAAATACATCAATCACACGTACTGTGTAATCATCAACAAATTCACCTGGAAAAATTACAATTGCATAAATTTATTGTCTACAATTTTTACTTAGTAATATGAAATATTAAAGGATAGGGATGACTCTCTTTGATAAAAAAGGATCAGCAAACCAACCACAAGTATTTACTATATAGTATAATAAATAAATAAAAATAAACCAATACATTTATTCAATTAGACCACACAATAAATACACAATGATATGCAACTTTTGATATATATCAGGTAAAATAATTTATTAAATACATTAATAATTTCATATAGCATACAATATATACAAGTTTTAAAAATTTTGACTCGGATAATGAGAATTTAAGCCCTTTTATACTAATTTGTAACTCATATTTGATACACTAGACCACAAGATATAAGAGAACAGTAACTTGTGATTCTTTGTAGATGCATAGAATACTAGTTAATTTAAAACTTTCACATTATTTACATATATTTTAAATACACAACTAGGATTTAACACTATGTACAAGCTCTTATAGTACATAGGTAAATAGTACCTACATGTCTGCTTCTTTATTGCAGACATTTCATACTAAATACTATACTATTTTTGTACCAATTGTGTATTTCAAACCTAGAATACTAGTAGTAAAATGTGTGAATTTCCATTCAAATATACCTATATAAAATACTTCATGAAAATTTAACTCAACACTGGTAATAGCATAAAAATATGTAGAAGTGACACTATAGCCAATTCGATAATGTGAATGTGAAAAAGACTCTATTTTCGGCGCTTAGCCTCTCATTGGGGCCATTGTGCGCATGAATCGTGGCTAGTACAGCCAACCTAGCTCCACCCAAAAGCGCAGAAGCTTCCTGGGATCTTCACAGGTCTCACGGAGCGACCTTACCATTCCGAGAATTTCTAAACGTTGATGGGCCACAGCCTCACATTCCAGGATTATGTGAGCAACTGTTTCTTCGGTGTTGAAACAACTTCGACATAGAGGGCTGTCTGTGGCTCCTATTGTGTATAAATGTTTGTTTAATGGACAATGGCCCCTTATTGTCCCTATCATTATTTTGAGGTTTTTCCTATCCAGATGTAATAAATGTTTTGATAGTCTTTGATTCAACGTAGGTACAGCTAATAGATGATAATAGAAAGGTAACCTCGCATGCCCTAACGGTATATGCTGGGGGGACACCAGTAAAGGATTATTGATGAGAATGAAAAGGGAGGTCAGTTAGCCCATCAGTCATGATGAATACACCCGGAATTCAGCACAATGGTTTCCAGGGGAACCATGTGGAGGTCAACTTGACAAGATATATGGCCAGCTCCCCCCCCCCCTTCAGGTAGTCATGATATCAGGCATGAACAGATAAAATTTAAAGTATATGACAAAATATACTATATCTAAAAATATAATAAAACATATATGTATTGTTGTTACTTCTACTGGTTAGTTGCTTTTTTTAATAGATAAGAATGGAATGGTAACCAGAGGAAGACTTTATACAAAAGTCCATTGCTAGGGTACCTCTGTCCCATTCGTGTTTCTACTGTGAAGTACCTGTGTTTGCATGGCTGTTTCGGTTTGAAGGGTGGGATATGGAGTGAATTTACAGGGTGCAGAGGAATAACACTTGAGTCCTCAGGAATGGCAACAGTATACTCTGTTATGTCCATGGTACTGCTCATGTTTATCGGTGACGGTTACCACTTTCCATCAGGTGGTCCGTCAGCTTGTTTGCCATTCTAAGTTGTATTAAAAAAAATACTATTGGTATATGCTGGTGGAGCACCAGTGAAAAATGATAGGCGAGGATGAAAGCAGATCATTTAACCCATCATGAAGAATTCCATGAAAATTGACTGTAATGGTTTCTAAGAGGAACTGCATGGAGAGGGGCCTAAATAGGACTACCCCCTCTACATTTATGTATTTACTTATGAAACTTTTTCAATTAAAATTTATGACAACCCCATTTAACTGAGGGGAAGTAAGTGTATCCCACATTTTGTTAAAATCAGTACACTTACAAAAAAAAGCACATAGTATCACTTATACCTAGATTATTTATTCTTATTGTAATAGTATACTGTTCAGCAATAGTATCATAATAATCTTAATCTTTACCTAGCATTAGACCCATAACTTCCATAGGTACTCCGGCACGGCCGTGTTTTAACATTTTTAGAAGAGCCAAGGATGAGATGTAAACTTGTTCCGCAGTATCCACTACAGGCGCATCAGTAGGCGGTGGGGCTTGCGACAATCCCGTCATGCCGCCACCCAGTCGCAGAAGACGATCCATAATCTACAAACTAGCTTCTACGAACTAAAACAAAGCAAAACTATAAAACCAACTGTGAATGAAAAATATACACGTTATGAAAAGAAAATTAAATGCCTTATTTTATTTATCGTTACTTATAAATAAAGACCACTCACAAATAACAAAAGTCATATAAAAATTTAATTAATTGCAGAGAAATCGTGAATATCGAAATATGTCCCAATGGTTGTAAAGCTGGTGGGGGAACGGTAAATAAAATGACAGCTTACGTCGAAAATGCAAGCTCATTACGAACACGTTCAGTCATTATTTGCTCCTTGGATGCGTTCATTGATAATTGTATAATATAAACTATGTATATATATATAATAATATATTGTTGGAGAACACCCGTCTTCATTTCAAAAATTTTATTTATTCTTTTTAGCAATAATGTGACTAAATAAAAATTTTCAAGCAATTATTATTAAAGCAATTAGAGTATTTATAAATTCTGGACTGGGGAGCCTTATTACTATACTAATATCTAATACATTATTAGACTGGATAACAAAGAAGGCTCCCTACAAATAAGGTTAATTATCAGTAATAGTTTAATCAAACACAAATTTGAAATCACACAAACGGATAAAAAGTAATATCAAATTTTATTTATATTTGGACCCTCACATCACAGCGAACCGTGAAGGTATTAAACTGTATTAAAAAATGTACAATTTGTGGCCGTTGTTACGTTTTGATTGCGTTCGTTCTTATAGAAAAAGGAAAAAAGAAATAGGAAATAGGTAGAACCTACTATTTTTAACCTATATAAAAAAGTTATGTGTGGCTCTACATCACTGTCATTTCAGCTGTCATTACAATGAAATTCAAAAATTGTTGCCTATCAAAAATCTTCGCATATATCGCTTCAAATAATCTGTGATATAATAAATAAAGGGATTTCTCCAATAATTGTTGAAAGACAACAATGACATCTGAAAAGTCTGTTTTACCGGCAAAATTATCAGAAGGTCCTTGTGGTCTAGGTACCTAATTATCTACATAATTTTTTTCTTATATTTTAATACATTTAATAGTCACATGTAATACTATTTTAGGTGACCCGGAAGATAGAACCTTACGAAAAGTAGAAATAGAGGTGATGATACCAAAACTTATGCGTGAAAAAGCTAAAAGTGAAAAATGTGTAAGTGAAGTTAAAGAATTTGAGAGATGTTGTAAAGATTCCTCAATTTTTATGGTAGTTAAATGCCGCAAAGAAAATTCAGCACTTAAAGAATGCCTAACTAATTGGTACAATAATGAAGAATTTAAAAAACTATGCACTGAAGAGTATTTGAAGGAAAGAAGTGAGTACAGGAGAAGTGGAATTAAGAAATCAATTAAGAGAGCATAGAATATAATATATTGTAGTTATTTGTTGTTATAAAATGTTTAATTAAAATCATCGTTTAATGTTACTGGAATATTTCTTGTTAATAGCAACTCTCTCACACTGTAATTACATAAACCTTCAGGTATTTTTATTTCACTGTTTGGTTGCACAACTTCTGCAATAATTACTTTCTGAAAATAACAAAATTTATTTACTGAATAAATAGAAAATTTATACATGATTATAATATTATGTACATACTTGACATATTAACAATCTGTAACACAATAACAATATTAAAAAACTATATACTTTATAGAAACTATTGCTATAGATTATTTATCAGTTTTAAATTACCAACTTTAAAATAGATGTGCCTACATTGTTTACAAAGTATGCTAAACATAAGAAACATGACATAATACAAATATATCATAATAAATACACTATTATTATATTAGGTAAGACCACATACTATTCAATAATACATGGCCCAATAAAATAAATGTTCTGTAAATGATAACACCTTAATATTGACAACTACAAGTACTGTAAAATTAAAGTATGATTAAGTTGGCATATGTAAATAAAAAAAAAACATTAATTATCCATAGCCATGGCTGTAAACTGCCACAAAGAACTGTCTAACCAACTGCTTAGGTATTTAACATGTCATAAAAATTATTATTACTACCTTTAATGTAGTAACTGCCATTCTGTTGTGTCCTAAAACTGAAACCCAATTGAATTCACTATTTTTTTCTACAATATTTCTAATAATTACTATAAATTCAGCATGTGCAACTCCAGGACCATCCTTATATAGCACTGCAAATGATAATTAAATAAGTAAATAAAATTAACTTTCTTTAAATAAAATCTACCTAGTTATTTATAATATCTATAATACTTACAATAATCACCACCAAATTTTATTCCTGACTTTACCACATACCCTTTAGATCGAAAATAATGATAAACAACATATTTAGTCACAAAATGTTTATCAGTTTCAGTGAATAATTCTAAACACTGTTCAATATTCAGGACCTTATCAGCATGAACTACTTGTAAGCATCCTAAACCATAGAGTAAGAAAAAAGCCTCCTGTAGTGTTAACATCAATTTCTCTTCGAGTTTAGTTTTATTGAGACAACACTGAGGTTTCAAGTTAGCAAAATAGTCTTCCTCTTCAGAATCACTATTGGCTACAACTACAACCATATCTTGCTTTTCACTAGCATTGTAATTATCCAATTGGGGACTTACAAAGTCAGTAATGTTATTATCATCTTCATCACTTGATACTAAATCTATAACATTTTTATTTTCACAGTCACTAACTATTTTAGCAGAAAGTTCATCTATCTCTTTGAAAAACAAATCAGAGTCTGTTGTCTCTGATCTAGTATTAAATTTCTTATACCAATAATTCCTCTTAAGAAACTGTCTTTTACGCATTATTTGAGGACTATCATTGCTCTGATGTCTCTTGGGTTTTGAGCGAGAAAATGAACCTTTACCAAAGCAACCCATCTGATACAACAAAGCCATTTCATGAACAGACCGAACTTCTACACCAATTCCATTAAAATAACCTGTAAATATAATACGCATAGTGCTGTCTAAAGGAAATCGCAATGAATCTATTGTCATCGGAAACAAGTTACTAGAGTCATTATTTTGACAATCATCTGGCTTTCCTGTTTGCATTGTAGTCATGACAAAGAAATTGGCAGATTTCCAAATTTATTTACTGAAACGTCACGTCACTAATTTGATTAAAGAGCGCAAATGGATCTGTAACAAAAAAGTAACAATGAAATATTATAAAAAAACAAATTGTAAAGCATACATAAATCTGTAAATTACATTTTTGAAAAACATGGAAGAAATAAAACAGGGAATCGAAGAAACATCCAATGGTAAATATTTTAATGTTTATCCATTTTTATACATCAATATTTGTATTTCGTTTCACTTAACAATATTCAAAATTATGGAACGTGTCAACGCAACATTTAAAAACAAACAGCTACGCAGCATTATAACCAGTTATTTGCCTTGTTTAAAATTATGCTCAATGTACCGAACTCTATTTATTTATCAATAAAAAAAAGTTTAGTTTAACATAAACACTTAAAAATAAAATTAACTCAGATCAGCATCACAAAATAATTTAAATTTCTACTTTCAAAATCAATCGAATGCGAATGTCAGCTAATTGTCAAATTTTTAAGGTATATTACAATCACAGAGTACTTTTATATATAAACTACCCAATATAATGGACATAGTACATTCTCAAGTGATTATTTCCGTATTCCGATACTTTAACTATAGTTTTAACATATTTCTGAACGAAGGAAAGTGACAAAGAATAATTTTAATGTTGGTTAAATTGACCATCGTTACAATGTTGACAATATACTAAATAATATCACTATCTCTTTTTGTTGTAGCAAAAAGTGTATTCATAAGAGAAGGTAAGATTATAACTAATAATTTGAAGTACTGCTAAATTCATTACACATAGTCACAAGACCTCTCAGCTGAGGTTTTCTTTGCCTAATTTTCGATTTTCCTAAATAATTTCTCCTTAGAATATACTAGTCGATTATACAAGTGTAATTAAAATTTGTGGCCAAAATGGCTAACATTAGTGATGAAAATGTTAGCAAACTTATTCCTACGCTTGGTGACGATAAAATCGGTAAGTATTTTGTTACTGTGCATATAAAATACATTTTTAGTTTTCTATCATCTCATTATTACTCGATTATATATTGTAATTTTAGATATGATAGCTGCCACCAGCGTTTTGCAAATCAGAGCGAGTGAAATCCGCCAATCTCAAATAAACTGGCAGTCTTACCTCCAGTAAGTATTGATATTTTATAGATTTATTTAGTACTGTTGTTTCCAGCTGAAAGACAATGGTTAAACTGTTTGATATACAATTCTTCTATTGAACAGGTCCCAAATGATCACGCAACGTGACCATGACTTCATCGTCAACCTAGACCAGCGAGGTCAGAAAGACTTGCCAGATAAAAACCCTGAGGGTTGTGCTGATGTGTTTCTGAACCTTCTCACCCATATCAGCAAGGATCATACAATCCAGTACATCCTTGTTTTGATTGATGATATTCTCTCTGTAAGTGTTACTATTTATATATTCTATAAGTGTTACTTTTATACTTGTAACATAAATGAATAGCTATATATTAGCCCTTTCCACTCTTCCAGTCGAGTGACACTCAACATTAATTTTGTACCATACCAAAAGTGATTATAAAGATTAGAGTTATTGTATCCTGTAATTACTCATAAATAAAGTTTATCATATAAGAAAAAATCAATTTTATTTATAAAATATGAAAAAACCCCTAAAAGTTAAAAAACCCAATTTTAGTGTGGAGCTGGTGGAATAAAAAGAAAAAAGGCTTGGAGTGGAAAGGGTTAATATTAAATTATATATTAATAAATCAAAACAACTACAAAAATCTCTATTATTATTATAATTTTTTATGTAAAAAAACCTTGTTTGTTACACTTTTAATTTATTTCTATCAATATCTTTATGTTGGCATTTATAAATCAATAATATATGTTTATTACTACTGCTAAATTACAAACTTCTAATCATCAGATTGTGAAGTAAAGTATTAAACCACAATATTACTAAGATCTTCATTAAAAGAAATTAAGAAGATTCATTATCAGTTATGATGTTTGTAGGAGGTTTCAGCTAAAATTACATTTCTTACCTATTATATTATTAATTGTAGAATACTACAAATATGATGTCTGAAATAATGTGTTTAAATTGTTATTATTTTCAGGAAGACAAGTCCAGAGTTAAAATTTTCCGTGAAACAAGACACTCATCGGGTAACATCTGGCAACCATTTCTGAACCTGCTAAATCGCCAGGATGAGTTTGTGCAGCACATGACTGCCCGCATCATCGCCAAGCTGGCATGCTGGCATCCTCAGCTTATGGAAAAGAGTGACCTACATTTCTACCTTTCCTGGCTCAAGGACCAACTTAAAATGAATGTAAGTCTAATTTTATCTCATATCTCATCTTTGATTTTAATAGATTTTCTTTTTTTGAAGTTAAGTTGTGCATGGATGCCAGAATTTGTATTTCAAGGCATGTTGATATTTTTTTATAATTTTAGTTTAATAAGAACAAATACATAAGCAATGCTTTGCTAATTGTTCTAACTTAAAAAAACATTCACTTGTCATATATGGTATATGATCAGAAATGTATTTTCATATTAACTATACATATTGTATGAGCAAATTTGCATGGTTACAGTAATGTTATTTTTAATAATGCTAATAACTAACACAGTCATTTATAGATTTTAATTTTGGTTGAAATGTATTTTTATACACTGGAAAGAAAGCAACTTATTTCCAACAACTATCTATGCTTCTTGAATCAAAAACAAAATAATACTTATCTGGGTTTATTTTTTATTTATTATATCCAATACTCGCGCACATAACAGTTCTCTAAATATAACATTGATATCCTCTTGCCAGTTTTCTTATAGGATATTTATATACACTTACATGTATATTTGAACAATAACTTTCCTATTTCAGTTATATATAGCAAACTTAAAATTTACCCTGTTTAAGGTAATGTTAACTAGTCTTAATATTTCAATGGACAATTAAAATATTTCTTCTGTTAGATCACTTTACAGTTATAATGAGTTATATGTAATATAAGAATGTGCATAGCATTCAGAAATAAATCAACTGTCAGAAACAAATTATCATTATGAACATAAGTATAAAACTGAAATAATGGCGTTAAGCTTATTGGACTCAATAAATTATGTATCAGCTGAATAACACAATCCATTATGTGTCTAAACCACTGATACGTAACACAATGTTGTAAGCATCATACGCAATCATCACGCATCATTGGGACATTGATAGCGTGAATATATTGTCATTGAGAGGTTTGTTTTCTGGCAAGGCGGAGAAAATGTCTGCCGACTTAGAGCATGCTGAGCAGGTTATGTTGGAACATGAGAAACAGAATTTCTCTGATAAGCCACACAAACATCACAAGGAGAAGGAAGAAAAGAAACCTGATGCCGCTCAGGAGAAATACTCGAGCCTTTACAGTGCTTTTGATGAACTGAAACCGGAGGAATTACCACCAAGCCTGTATAAGGTACTCTCTGTGTAGATGTCACAAGACTGATGCTAATGAAGGTAGTAACACTGAATGACTAACATGAAAAATATAGACAATGTAACTAACGCATGTTACAATGATTTTCTGATTAATTACAATAACCACGCTTAATTTTACTAAATAATAATCGTATAAACATTGAAAACGTCACGCTTTATAAAATTCGTGGAGGCCTAAAATTATTTGCTTTCTAAAATATAAAATGCCTATTGTTGTAGAAATGTATATCTTAAATTTATTGTTATTATATTAGTATATGTTTTAAGTAAAGCTTAAACTTGTGTTATATAATTAATGTTTAAATTTTGTATGTTATTTATTTCTTGGAAATCAGATATAAACTATTTATCTTTTGTAAAATTATGTGTTATGTGACATGTCACAAAATTAGGGTAATCATATTTTGTCATAATGAGCTCATTATAAGTATCTGCATATTTTAAATTAAAAGTAATCCTTTTCAATTAGGGTAAACTGTGTTAGGATTAATAATTGTTATTGTTTTTACATTTAGTTTTAGAATTAGTTATGTCATTACAATTATTAGAATCCCATTAGGTAGATACTAAAAATGAGAGATAGGAACTTATAAAAATCTGAGTAAAAGAATCTGACTGTTACATTTATTTTCAAATGTAAAGTAATTATTATGTTATAAAAAGCCCAAAGTTAAAGGAAATAATTTAACGAATTGTATTTCATTATGACAGTATTCTGCACTGAAATGGTAAAAAGATTCATAGCTGAGTTCACTATAGCATGGCCTTAATATGAATAAAATAATAAAGGAGACTATAGGCTAATTAAGCGCTGACCATATATATACAAATATAGTATAAGATGCCTCTGTATTACAAATATTGCAAGAAATTAATGGGTTCAGGAGATTCAAATTATACAAGATTAGTTACAATATTACTTTTAGTACCACAGTACCAATTAACTAATAATAATATTCTAATTTATGTTCTACAGAACAATGACTACATCCAGTCTGTGGCTCGTTGTCTGCAAATGATGCTGCGTATCGACGAGTATCGCTTCGCATTCCTTTCCGTTGACGGAATTTCCACTCTTCTTTCGATTCTTGCTTCCAGAGTCAACTTCCAAGTAAGTGATCTGTATAATATTTTTTTTTTGTAATTCGTAAATTTTGTGTTATTATAAAAAATCGACAATAAAAAATTTCTATTATAATTTAAATAAAAAATATTTTATTTCTAAACAAGGTTAGGTATTATTATAAAACAATTTTTATTAACATTGAAATGCTAAATTCTCAGAACAATAATTTAACAAACCACTTTCTTTTATATTCATTAATTCATCAATACACCCTTACAAGTTATAAACATATATATAATATATCACATATATGGTTAATGTGTATATAAATTCTATGATGTCTGATTAAGATGAATTTCATTTAATACCCCCTTTTTATCCTTTGTCGTCATTTCATCTTTTAGTTTAAACTAACAGAAGGTTAATATTTACTTCAGGTGCAATATCAACTAGTGTTTTGTTTGTGGGTGTTGACTTTCAACCCACTACTTGCGGAGAAGATGAACAAGTTCAATGCCATCCCCATACTGGCTGATATTCTGAGCGACTCTGTTAAGGAGAAGGTCACCCGTATTGTACTTGCTGTTTTTAGGAACTTGATTGAGAAGCCTGAAGATCAACAGGTAATTAATAAGTAAATAAGATATTCGTAATATAGTAATAAAAAAGCATAATTAGAAACAATGTTCAATGGTATATTTAACTATTGAGTTTTACCTTTGTATTTTCGTTTACATAATGTTATTTAAAATGATATGTTGATTGATCAGTCAGTCAAGAGAGTTAGCTTTTTCAGTCCTCTCTATTTATGAATGAGCACACGTGGACGAAACTGCGGACACTGATACTGATAGTTTATAATATTATTTTCATTCATCATATTTGTAAAAACTCAAAAGTAAAATGGCAGCAATATATGAGTTGAAACTAGTACACTAAATTTAAATATATTAGTTTGAGGATTGGAATCCGTAATATAAATTCTTTTTCATTATTTCTAATTTTATTGTTTTTGCAAGTAGCAATTCATGATTTTTACAGCTATAATTAATTTGTGTGTAAGGACTTTGAATATTGTCTTGTATATATATGTATATATAATATATTATATATACATATATATATATAATATATTATATATACATATATATACAATTAACGAATTAATCATACTATAGTATGATTAATTCGTTTTATTTAATTTTATACGTTATCAGGTGGCGAAAGAGCACTGCATCGCCATGGTTCAGTGCAAAGTCTTGAAGCAACTGTCCATACTTGAACAGAAGCGCTCCGACGACGAGGACATTATGAATGACGTAGAGTTCCTAAATGAACGTTTGCAGGCCTCTGTACAGGACTTGAGCTCCTTCGATCAGTATGCTACCGAAGTTAAGAGTGGACGGTTAGTATGTGTAGGCTTTATTTTTAATGGGTGAAAATAAAACGGTAACCCCGCCTGCGCTATTGGTATACACCGACAAGGCACCAATGGAAGATGATAGGTGAGAATGAATGCAGGTCAGTTGGCCCACCATGGTGAATTCATCAAGAATTAAACATGATAGTTTCCAGAGGTAACCGTATGGAGGTCGACCTGTGAGGGTATATTGCTAGCAATGGGGCTATTAGACCCCATTACTAACAATCCCTTTCCCCCCTGTACCTGTAGTATGTATAGGTTTTTTTTTGATGGGTGAAAATGGTATGGTAACACCGCTTGCACTAATGGGATACACTGGCAGAGCACCAGTGAAGGGTGATAGATGAGAATGAAAACAGGCCAGTTAGCCCATCATGATGAATTCATCAGGAATTAACCATGATAGTTTCCAGGGAGAACCACGAGGAGGTCAACCTGGTTGGTCGCAATATTGTATAAGTATATTGCTAGCAGTGGGATTCTCAGTCTCCATTATTAACAATCCCTTTCCCCCCAGTATGTATAGGTTGTGTCACATGCCTTTCATCATTATCATCAGTTAATGAAAGTTACTTCTTATATATGCTTTCTTTAGTATTTTTTACTCAGGTATACAATAATAATAACAATTAGAAATAATGTGATTAAAGGTAAACTTATCTCTAAAAGTAACCTCAATTTTTAATTATTTTTAATAATATTAATATCCCTTTTTTGATATTTGAATAATATTTTACGAAATAGAACACATTTCGTCATAGTCGTAGAATACTGACGGATCTAACAAATATTACATATAAAGATCCGTCAGTATTCTACGACTATTACGATTTAAATATTTCGTAATTTATTAGTCACAACTGCAAGATTATATCGTCGTTTTTAGAAAAGTAATTAACTAACCAATTGCAGTAGCTGGATATAGATATGGCGCCATTTATATTGACCTATTACTTTTAAATTATGTAAAATATACCGTTTTTATTAAACTTTTACATTTAAAGAATGAATTCCTTCTAAATTGTATAACATCAGCAATCTTGAAACTTGATACTATGTTTTTACTTTTTTGTGACAGTACAACTTAATCACCCTAAAAAATTATTTATATTTTTTTTCAGCCTGGAATGGTCGCCAGTGCATAAATCGGCTAAGTTTTGGCGCGAGAACGCAGCGAGGCTTAACGAGCGCGGACAGGAGTTGCTCCGCACACTGGTCCATTTACTTGAGAAGAGCCGCGATCCTGTGGTGCTCGCCGTTGCTTGCTACGACGTTGGAGAGTATGTGCGACATTATCCACGTGGAAAACAGTATGTATACATTTATCTATTCTTTGTTGTATTATTTTATTTATCTGATTGATTTATCAATGTAGATTGATAATTTTTATAATAAAAACAAAATTAATAGCTGATATCCTGAGAGTGTTATAGATTATAAAGGGGAGAGAGGAATTAACGCCACCTCTAATAAAAATAACAAGATAGGAAAATTATAATAGCTGTACATTGTATTATCAAAATATTATTTAAACTATTATTATACCTAATAAATCATAATCTGGGTACTAATATAAACTGTATATTGTAGCATCATTGAACAACTGGGTGGCAAGCAGCGTGTAATGCATCTCTTGAGCCATGACGACCCCAATGTGCGATACGAGGCACTCCTAGCCGTCCAGAAACTTATGGTCCACAACTGGTATGTATTTTTTTTACTTTTATTTTTTTATTTTATTTTAATATAAGAGGTCACTTAAATTGTATTTTTTCTGTGTATATGACATAAAAAAAAAGTACTGTGAACTGATTTTAAAGATTATTTTTTATTTGAATGCTTTTACTGTCGTATTTTCGGCCATCTCTCATTTCAATAAAAAATAATATTCTGCCACCCATAAAGCTTTATGTTTACCATTTGCGAAGACTAAGTATACTTTTTATACTAGAAACACACTGGCTGAGTTACCCTATATATTTATCAGAAATAAATAATAACCTACTTATGTTTATACCACGGGATAAGTAAAAAAATTTCCAAGTCAATCAACAAACAGCATTAATATAAATTAATCAAATTGTTTGCAAAATTTTATTTTTCAGGGAATACCTCGGCAAACAACTTGAAAAGGAGCAAATTGACAAACAGGCTGGTACTGTCGTCGGAGCTAAGGCTTAATTAATTAAAATATTACTATACATATATGAATGGAATATGTAATATGTTGTTATTGTTGCATAGGATACAATAGGCTCTTGCTGTTACGAAAATATTTATAATTAAAATGTTTATCATATGCTTAAAATTACATGCGTGTGTACATAGTGAGTTGCCATTTAGTCGATGTTATCATGGATCCTATATTATCACGAAATAGATTTATGAATAAAATAGTTATAACTATACATTTATCTGCTCTTATTCAATTGACAGTATTTATTATTTGTTTCGCATTTTTAATTGGTATCATACCTGAACTATAGTGTTATTTTAACAGGTAAAAATGTTAGAAACTTATTGGATTACTTTATATCAAAATACGCCATTAATATTGTAAATAAAAATATTTAAAAATCTATTTATGTTAATCAACTTTATAAAGTCTAAAAATATAAATATATTTCGAAATCAATTCTAACACAAATATTCAGTGTTATTAACCACATTCCTCCAAGATTTTTTGTTGTTCCAAGCTTAATAATTATTAAGTTTATTAAAATAATCTATAGGTATGTAACACCTACTAAAGTAGTAGTTTAGCTGCAATGATTTCTGAATAAACTGATTACATCAGTATTGTGAATAAAGTTAATATGATTATAAATCTAACTTTGATTTTCCCTAATTCCTAAACTCCATATTGGTCTCTATTTTGATTTCCATATTATTAGAAAAATTCATTGGTCAAAAAAATAGTTTTTCAATTTAATATTAGTCGCCTACGGATACTAAACTAATTAAAAAAAACTACATAAATTTCCAAAAGGAAGGGCCTTAATTGGGCATTTTGCGTTTAGTTTCCCAGTAATGGTTGTCAGTTTTCAGTTTTTCCATGTATTACGAAATGTTACGTAAAAGCTTTTCAGCAAGCAATCAGTAATTACAAATTAAGAACATCTGTTTTTGTCTGTTGCTATTATCACGTAATCTAAGTAATAGAAATGTCCGACTTTACTAATACGTCTACTAATTATATGAGTATTCTATGACTCATAGCCTATGAGTATTTGGATTATTTTCAAATAATTCGACTACAATAATAATAATAACTTTATTGCATAATCATGATTGTAACAAACTCAGCACTAGAAATTACAATAAAAGTAGATACAAATTCATTTGTACATTTGAATCAGTTTAAACATCTGTGTCTGAACTAGGTTATAAAACCTGTATCTCAGACAACAGCGCTCAACCCTCATTACATAGTATAATATTAGTTCAGGTAAATTTTTAGTGCTACATATAGAATGTTGATTTTATATAAAGTTAATTCATATATATATAACTATTGGGAATAATTAAAAATATTGTGAAAAAATGTGCTCCCTGTGTGTAGAGTGTAATTTGAATGTATGTGTGTGGGAGAGAGTGTAAAATTATTTGTATGTTTACTGTAATATTATTTAAATAATTTAAAAGTTCATCTTGAATTTAATTGTACAATATTATTTTATGTATTTATTTGTAGTATACGAAACTCTTTACAAATACTGGTAGTATAGTAGTATAATAGTAGTATTTAGTAGTAGTTATTAGTGGGTGATAATAAAATGGTAACCCCACCCGCACTATCGGTATACATCGGCGGGGCACCAGTGAAGGATGATAGGTGAAGATGAAGCAGGTCAGTTAGCCCATCGTGACGAATTCAACAAGAATTGTTCACGATGGTTTCCAGGGGAACCACGTGGAGGTCGACCTAATAAAGTATATTGCTAGCAATTGGGCTGTCAAATTCCATTGCTAACAATCCCTTTCCCCCTATTTAGTTGTAGTTGTATTTTTATTACATTTCATTTTTTAATAAATTTTCCGTCTCATCGTAATTGTTTTCTTTCAACCAGTCTACAACTCTGTCCTTATATTCTTATCTATTTAAAGGATATATATTTAGAATTTTATTAAGTTTATTATATAAATGCGGACTAATTTTGTCAATCAATCAGTCTATCTAACCTTTTATGATCTGTGATAGCATTGTCAATGTCATTTTATCTTGCTTTTTGACTTTTGACAGACCGGTTCTTAAGAATTGTTTTGTTTAGTAAATTCATACTTTTTTAAAATTTATCTATCAATTTATATAAAATTAAAGATTATACATAACAATGGAAGATGTTTTAGTACTTAAAGATTATAAAACTGTTCCTGACATTGTTCATGAGTATAACACTACATTGCAGTTTGGTCACGTTCCTTTGGTTATAGATAATGGTTTGTGTACTATTTTCAAAATTCTTTATTATTGATATTTTTATATTGTTACCTTACAATTTCAATTCTCTCTCTATTACTATTATACTTTATTTGTATTATATCAATTCTCTTGTGGGATAGACAGAACTGAGTGCTAAAGATATCTCTTGCTTCCTGCGTTTTTATAGCTCGTCTCATGCATGCACACCGATTTCAGTGACTTATCTTCACAAAGAATATAGTCTATCTAATCATAATATATTAGTCTAGATCTCCCCTAGTATACATATATATACATTCATATTGTAAATCTGTTTTGTCCACTTTCATCTGGCATTCCTTCCACATGTATTATATCAACACACGATAATTATATGAAGTATATTAAATATTATTGCTTATAAAACTATCATCATTTTAGCCACCATTATTAATTATCCATCACTTAATAATCAATCAATAATAATAATATAAACATATATAATCCTCATTTCCCTTTTGTTTGACATTGAACACTGGTCTATTTAATCTATTAAACTTTTTTAAACTTAGGCTCTTACCAGTGCAGAGTTGGTTGGTCAATATATGATGATCCACAATTGATATTCAAGAATTTGATAGCTAGACCAAGAAAAGACAGGTGTAAAAAGGATGCTGAACCCCCAGTAACACCACCTATCCAAATAGGGAATGACATTATTAACATTGAAGCTGTAAGGTAAGATATGAAGCCAGTGATAGCATAAGAGGTTCATACATTACAATGTCTTCTCCTCCTGTAAAATATTTTGGCTGAAATATTATTGTTAATATACATTATTAGTATTAAATTTGATACTAAAACTTTTGTGATGACTTTCACCACAAAATTTTTATCTTCAATACTATAATAAAACAATGAAATTGTTCCTATTTATGTAACTGTATAGATCGGAAAGAATTTAAAGTACAAGTATAAATAATAAAATCCACATTTGATTTTTTTCATGACACTTTAGTAAAGTTGATTTATATTTAGTTCCATTACAATAGTTACATCTAAGTTCTAATTCTGCTATCAGTGATATGAACTTCAGCAGGATAACACCTATTTCAATAAAACATCTAAGTTATTAATTTTGATTTAATTGCAATTCATTATTCTTATGTTAATTGAGAATAATGAATTGTTTTGACTGTAAAAGAAAATTAAATCTCTTAAACTATAATTGTGAATAATTATCAATTTCAGATTTCAACTAAAAACTCAGTTTGATAAAAATGTAGTGACACACTTTGAGGCACAAGAGCAAGTATTTGATTACATCTTCTCACATTTAGGCATAAACAGTGAAGGCAATGTGCCACATCCTATTGTAATGACTGAGGCATTTGTAACACCTAATTATTGCAGACAATGTAAGTATGAAATAAAAATTTAACTTAATTTAAAAATCTTCTATAACTTACTGATGAAAAGCCATCTCCATTACAGTGATGTCTGAACTACTTTTTGAAGGATATGGCATTCCAGCAGTCAGTTACGGTGTTGACTCACTGTTCAGTATGTACAAGAATGACATTGGTGACACAGCACTCATTGTCAACTGTGGATACCACACTATACACATCATACCAGTTATTCGAGGGAAAGTCATTGTGGAACATGCCAGAAGAATCAATTTGGGTACAGCACTATATTGTATTGTATATTGAACCTCTATTATATATTATATATATATATTTATATATTATATATATATATATATATATATATATATATATATATATATATATATATATATATATATATATTATATTTTATTCTTAAGATCCCCTATTATACAGGTGAAATCGAAATTGTTAGCATCCTTTAAAGGAAGTAGCTACCAGTGAAACAGAACTTTTTTTTTACCAAAGAAACATGTGTTGAAAAATGACAATAAAACTTAAGTCCCCTAATACTAATGTGGTGCATCTCTTTGCTTGGTATGAGAGGTTAGAAGATTATTATAATATTTTTTTTTGTTTTTGATTCATAGTTTCTGTCCTAATATATTCTATACCATGAGAAGATAATATTAATACTAGATACTGCTAATAATTTCAGTTTTATCCTGAATAAATTATTTAGATTATAATATTGCTATTTAGTTAAATAAATAGAGATAATTATTAAATTTGTATACTTCAAATGGGTCATGTTCATAGACAAGTTCTCATCTACCACGAAAATTGTCAATATTTTTTTTTATCTTATGTATGTTTAGGTGGCAGTGAAATGATCTGTTACTTGCACAAATTGCTTCAACTGAAATATCCAGTTCATGTAAATGCTATCACAATGTCTCGGATAGAAGAAATTTTACAAGAACATTCTTCAATAGCTCTCGACTATCAAGAGGAGATAAGGAAATGGGCTAACCCCGATTATTATGAAGCTAATGTAAAGAGAATACAATTACCATTTATACAGTCGGCAAGTTCTACTGGGTTGACAGGTAATAAATATTTTCATCTAAGGAATTGTTAGTAATGGGATCTATCATCTCCAATGTTAACAATACATCTAGCTTGCTATTTTTTCTTCTGGAAGCCATCATAGTTAATTTTTGTTCAATTGTTGGTCCTGCTTTCATTCTCTCACTGATACTCTGCCAGCTTATAATGATAGCACAGGCAGGGTTGCAATTCCATCAATTAAAAAAAAAATGTTTATATTTTTGCTTAACTCCAAGGTTTATGGTGAATCACAAGATTTTATGTGACAGCATAATTTAATAATATCTTTTTCTTTAAAGCTGAGCAACAAAAAGAACGCAAAAAAGAAATGGCTCGGAGATTACTGGAAATAAATGCAAGAAAACGAGAGGAAAGACTTGCAGAGGATGAAGAAATGCTTAATCAGTTAATGGCCATACAGGTTTGTATTGTTACATATTAAATTTTTACAAATTTATATGATCTTTATTGCTTTTGTAAATTACATAGATAAGACAGTGTATGTAATTTACACTTACATTTATCTCTGAAAGAGATCTCTTCCAGCCAACCAAATACAGCAAAAAAACATGTAGTTCAGTTAAAGTGCATGGGTGCTGTGTGAACGACGTAGGGTACTCATATATAAGCTACAAATAACCAGCAAATGAAATATAAATATTACATAGATACATAAATATAATACCTACATACCTAACCTGTAATCTTTTAAATGAATTTCTTTTTTCTTCAAGGATATGATAGAGGATGGTGACACTGATGAATTTAATGAAGCAATTAAGGGTTTTGACATTAAAAGTTATGAAGATCTTCAAGTAAGTATTTAAATTATTTATACAGAACATCAATTATGCAATTTTGACCATGGCCTTTAGTTGTAATGATTGAGTAAATGTAAAACCAATGTATAACATGTATATAGTCAGAACAATAAACTTTCTCATTACAAATTATAGGCCACAATTTGTGTATGTGACCAAGTTATTTATAGTGTGCTTTTTATAAGGTATAATTTACTCATAGGATCTATTAATTTCTACAATATTAATGGAATTGTAATCTGTATCTATTTGTCTTACAAGATTTTCCTTATTGAATAGAGAAAATGTTCATCCGTATGTCGCGTCAAAAGGTGTGCCGTGCAAATACTGGCAAAATAAAATTTTAATAATTTAAATATTTTAGCGCCAAATATCGAATGTGAATTTGAGGATAGAAAAGAATAAACAGCGCATCGCTGCCGCTGCTAACGCTGAAGAGAATTTAGACGCGAGACCTAGTACCGGACGAATACAGCCACCCACTGATCCTGAGGCATTTCAGACATGGCTAAACGACACACGGGCCAAGGTAAATAATTGTTTATAGAGCTTATCCTGAATATTAAAGTAACCTATCTAAATTGAAAATAACGGTATATTAAGCTAAACGAATATTGAGGTCGATTCTGAGGTGCCCTTTTAGTAAACCCATCTCTAAAATACAAATTTCTATTTGAAATCATAGCGCAATCTTTACTGTAAGTACTTCTTACAGTAAATATTTCGAATGAATATGAACTAATTTTCTAACAGATTTCAGTTAGTTATTATAATTTCACTTCTTGATGGTCCATAAAATAGTAATTTTGTGAAATTAAAATATTAAACTAAGAGATAGGTTTAGGGAAATAACGCCTCAGAATCATCCCCACTAGCTAAAAATCTGCTCGATTAAATCAACATTCAAATAAAAATAATTCATTTATTTGGGCTACTTTGTTAAGCAAACCCGAAATCGTTATTTTTATATCGTTAAATAAATGAAGTAATATAAAATGCTAATTTATTTTTCATTCCATCTACCAATGCGAAGCCGGAACGGATCGGTAGTTAAAAAATATAATACAGTGCCATCGATCGTATTTACAGTATAGGGCACTAATGGCGGCACGGTCGGCGCGGCGAGCTCGCAGGGCGGCCATGCTACGGCGCCGCACACCCGCCGCCGCCGAACGCATGCGGGTCATCTCGCGCCTCGCCGCCGCCGGCGACGACTTCGGCGCACAAGACTCCGACTGGGACGCGTATAAGAGGTGCGTCCAAATGTTCACAACACGTCGCGCTGACCTGCCAAAGAAACAGTACTGACCCACTTCCAATCAGTGGCTCAGGACTGTCCCTAATTTCATATTACACTGAAAGCAAGCCCTGAGGTGAAAAGGGATTGTTAGTAATGGGTATTAGCAACCCTGTTACTAGCAATATACACTATCAAGTCGACCTCGCTGTTCGCCCCTGAAAACCATCGTGATTGATTCATTAGTAAATTTGTCCCGATGGACTAACTGACCTGCTTCATCTTCACTTATCATCTCTCACTGGTACCTTACCAGTATATACCGATAACGCAGGCGGGGTTACCATTTCATTATTATCCATTAAAAAAAAAAAAAAAGATAGCGAGCCCTGGTTTATTTGCATAGTTAGCTTCATCCGCCAATTTAATAAACATATTTCCTAAAAGTTTTAATATGTTGACAGTATAAGTAGAGAAGCAGATTCTGATTCCGAAGCTGATGGAGAGCGTTTGATGGAATTGGAAGAAGCGCTTCGCGAATATGAACCGCAACAATCCTCTCACCAGCACCACCAATTACACTTGGCAATTGAGCCTTTCAGGTAATTAAAACATACCTATCAAGTAACCTTAGCACTACTGACAATAGACTTCTGATAAAACGTCGAATTGTCGAGTCTTTAAGTACGAATCTTTATGTGCCCGATTATCATCGCAGACTAATGATAATTTATGAGTATTTTAATGTAATAACTACCGCTTTAACTTACGTATAATTAGATCGAGCCTGACTGCATGACGGCCCGCTAAGCACAAATTGTAGGCACTTGCGGTATCGTCACAGATCACGAATTGATTCCGAAACTAGTCGAGATTTTCCAATCTAATTACACGTAAGTTAAACCAGTAGTTATTATATTAAAACATAATGTATGCTTACAAAACTTTTAACAATAAAACATTTATGAGTATTAGTAATTAAAATTAAAAATCAACTAATTATTGTAATACACTACTGGCACTGTTTTTACTAGATGTTTATATGTTAAAAATATTTAAACATGTTTCATCAAACTTCATTGATTAGAAATGAGTGTATAATTTGGTTGGTTGAATACACTATTATTTGTCGCTGTAGTTATTCGTTTTTGTATTAGTTGCGGCATAAACTGATCATTTTGTTTTAGAGCTCCAGAATTAATGTTTCAACCGTCGATGATGGGCAACTTGGAAGCGGGTTTAGCAGAAACAATGGAGTATGTATTTAAACACTTCAGTCCTGAAGATCAACTATTGTTAGCTAATAATGTGTTTCTCACAGGAGGCTGCTCACAATTTCCAGGTATTTTAAACCGCCTTTTACAAGTCAATATTTTATTTAAAAATATACCTACAACAAATGTCATTTATAATTGAAAACATGAATGGATATATTTTCATTTTCGCTATTCTATGAATGGAAGGTGTTAAGAAGTCCTATATGCATACTTATATAGCTTATGTTTACACTCAATTTATTATAACATAGTTGTTAGTATGCTCGTATAACACATCAGTATAGCAAATATGCGATATACCACCATCTTAAATAAACGTGCAGATTATAATCTACGCGTAGTGACAACTGATGTTAATTCACGTTGACATTTTTATTATGGAAAAAAATATATTAATTTTTTTTAAGTCAAACACTATCTGCTCATAAATAATACTTTCTCACAATGTTTTATTAAATCCGTAAGTATAGTTTTAGTTATCTGTCGCACACGATGCTATAAAGCACAGGATAAAGTGTCTATTTACAATTAATATCTATATAAAAAAAGTGTTTCTCTAAGAATTCCTATGGAAAGAACAAGAAATTTAGAAATAAGATCAAAAGAATACAACCTACATAGATAAAATCGCAACAACAAGTAGTAAATAATTTTATATTTTAGGTCTCAAAGAAAGACTAGAGAGAGAACTCCTCGAAATGAGACCTTTCCAATCAACACACAAGGTAGTAACGGCCGCAAACCCTAGTCTTGACGCCTGGTATGGCGCCAGAGATTTCGCAGGCAGTAATGAATTTGAAAATTGGTGTGTATCCAAAGAAGAATATTACGAGATGGGCGGTGAATATTTAAAAGAGCACTATGCTAGTAATATTTACTATAAGAGCCCTGCGCCTATTGTGGACACCACTTTAGCACCGGCTGGCGACGCTAATGTTGTCAAAGAGGAAATAGTAGTTGATTCCTAACCTTACCAATTATTCAATATACGCACATATGTAACTAAATATTTTTATCCATTCCAAGGCAGTATACATTTAACAACTTATTATTAAAGGTTGAATTTGCATATTTTGACTGAACAAAAATATAATGGACCGAGCTGTTTCATGAATTCTAAAGCTAGCAAGGTTAAGAAGTTGCTTTTTTGTATGAATGATATTGATAATGAAACGTTACTGCTCACCCTATCGGTATACGCTGGCGGAGTACCAATGAAAGATAAGAAGTGAGAGTTAAACCGGCTCAATTCGCCAAAGTGACGAATGTATCCAAAATTAATCACAATAGTAATCGAGAAAAACCGCGTGGAGGTCAACCTGACAGAGTATTGTTTAGACACTGACTTGCGCCATGGAGTCGCGGGTGGATGTAAACATGCGAGACGAGCAGACGCCATCGACTTCATGATGGTGGCTTCGCATTTCTCATCTCGTTACCGAACACAATTTTTTTTTATATGAATTTATATAAATTATAATAGTTTACAGTCCACTATTGTTTTTATTTAAAAGTCCAATAGTATAGGACTACAGTATATTTATAGAAAAAGGCCGCCACAAGCACTCTTCTAATAATCCCTTCCCTCTAATATTACCTATTCGTCATACCGTACATAAACAACATAAAAGCCACATTTTTTTTAACTAATCGTAAATCAAAGATGCGAGGGAAGAGATTGTTAGTTATGCGGGCTACTAGTTCCATTGCTAGCAAGCGGCGGGAAATAGTCACGTTTAACACACAAATAAGCATAGATGGTTAAAATTTGTAATAAAAACAGTAAAAAAATTAAATAATAAAAACAGTGTGCTTTAATACCTATCTTTTTATAAATAACTAGAATTACGGGATTGGTAATTAAACAAAAGAAATAGCCACAAATATCATGGCACGTTTATTTTTCTCCACTACATGGCGACTTCTAAAAGAATCGTGACTTGTTATTTGCATTCACATAGTTTCTTTTTTTTTATTAGGGCTCTGCAAATGAGCACTAAAGAATAATTTTACAATGTAAATATTCCATAAAATTAAATAAACTCTGTATTTATTTTGATCTCAATATAAATCACTATAAATTGAAAAAAAAAAATTAGAAACGTTTTGTTAGTTCGCTAATTATATTGATTGATGATACTATAATTAAGAGTACATTTAAAAAATCACATTAAAGCATATACATAATGCTGACTACATAAACACTCTTACAGCCTCTATCTCTACCTAACCATACCACTCTCTGCTCAAGTTGTATACTCAAAAATATCAACAATAAACAATAATAAGATTTTTTATTATAAGATAAACAAACCAATAATAATAATATTTTTATCACAATCATTTCAGACTATAAAAACAACTAAACATTACTTATTTAGTAAAGGAGGCTGTAAGAGTTATACTCACGTGCAATTTAATACACCACAATTAACAAATCTAACTTATTTAAAATATAAACTAGCCTAAAAATTTTAACAATAAAAGAAAAACAGTTGTATTTAAAATATTGGTCATTAAAACTCTGAAGAGCTATAACTAAATGACCGTATCAAATATCATCATGCCATGATTTTTGCTTATTGATTTTTAATAAAAAATTAGTAATTACATAAAAGGATGTAAATAACTCCAAAATTTGGTTAATTATTTGGCTCATAGCCAGTAATATAATTTGGTTAGCTTAATACAAATCGTATAAAATCAGTGACTTAGAAATAGCTCTCAGTATATAAAAAAAGTTAAAATCCTTAGGCTGTACTCTCGTATGATTATAATGTAAGCAACGCAATAATGTTGGCAAAGCGGAAGTTCGCGTAAATCTAACGATACAATATAACTAAATATTTATGTACCTTAGACATTATGATTACACAAGGCTCACTGTTATTTGCTCATAAAACTATCAAGATCGAACGATCTAGTGTAACTGTCGGCGGCGCACACTCCGCGCCCCGTAGACTAGCAGTCGTCCTCCGCTCACCTTGGCCCACCGCGGCCACCACGCGGGAGTAGTATACATTTACATTCACCGGTAAGGATATGTATGATTTCTTTAACAAAATTTAGAAGACTGCATACAAAACATGGTTGGTCCGTCACCACAACCGCTACGATGTAAAACAACATACCTAATTAACAAAACCTTAAAATGCCAATAATTCTTTTGAGTATTCTTGTTGTAACGTTGTGAATTCCTTTCGTATAAAGTAATTCAGTCTTTTCTACAGTTGAAAAATAAGTAGACAATGGGAAAATACAATTTTTTACCATTTTTTTTTTGATTACGTAAATTGAAATGGCTCAGTATTACATTCTAAATATAGTTAACTAACATCGGTATGTAAAATAGTTGGGACAGCGAAGACGCACAAATTACAAGTCCACTAATTATTCGTAGTAGTATACAGTTTAAAAAAACTCGCATTAGTGGACACATTTACAACTTGTGATTCTTCATTGTTATAATATATTCAAACTGTTTAAGAAATATATTTGTATTAGTCATCAGTACATTACGAAAGTCATGGAACCTGAACTAGGCTAAATGATGATAAATATCTGAATATATTTCGTTAAACAGTAAAATTTGCACCTCTAGCTTCTCGTTATACTCGACAAGGATGGAGTAACGATAGAATAAGTAACTAAATAAGGATAAACAATAATAAAGACAGTGAACATATAATAACAAAAATATATTACTAATCTAGATCAATAAAGAAACAATCATCCTTGTCGTACCATCGAGAAGTTTAGTGGTGATATATAATCATATATTTTATATATGTACCTAGTTCACTATGTTGGTGTTTCTATTTTCATTCATAATATCTATGGATAATACATGGTATCAGCACTGAAAGCACCTGTAAAGTGGTGCTTACCAATGTTGTTACAAACTATTGATAAACTATGGTTTTAAAAATTTTATGGTGATAATTTTTTCATAATGGTAGCTGAAAGATTTATACTACTTGTTAAACCCAAGTTCTAGTTTGTCTAAATAATACTGTTATCAATGGCTTGGTAAGAAACTTACTAAAATTTAAGAATTTGAAAAAAACGCGTAAAGATATTAACTTCTAACTTCTCTGGGCAACTAAATGCATCCGTCATATTATTTATCTTAAAATATCGTGTACATATTTTTATTTATTAATTTAAAATGATAAATGAGACATTGGCCTATTTTTTCGTGTTTCTTTCAAATACAGAACTATCAAAATATAAAAAAATATTGAGGACTATCAAACAACATTCATATGTATATATTATTATATGTATACGTATGTACATCTACAAGGAAATTTAGATTTTTTTTATAGTACATAGTACCCAAAGTATAGTTCTGTACTAAATACTCTAACATTTATTCCAATTATGTTCTTTCTCAGTTCGATATCTTTATTATTAAATTGTAGAGCGAGACCATTCTACAAAACATAATAAACATTCCTATATAATATTGAATTGTATTCTCTTTTTGATATATATACTTGAATAAATAAACCCTACCAATATTTACAATTCCTGACCCAGCACATGGACACACACAATATGGAAATAAAATAATGTACGATTTGTAAAGACTCATACGCGAATAAAAATATAATAGAACTGAAACCTAAAATGTCAGTAATCATACGATATCAATCGTAACATATAATGCGAAGACGTTTCCCTTACAATATTTTATTTCCAAGCTACCCTGACCTGCAGACTTAATTAAACTTACTCTACCACATCATTACATAGAAATGGCACCAATCTATCTTTGATATCAATAATGGCAAACCATAAGGAACCCCCGCAGCGGACACATTAGCTGCACTCCACAGTGCACATACAACTCTGTCTCAGGTATTGGAAGACTACTGCACTATATCACTATTCATAATTACTATTATTCGAAAACAGTAAAAAGAGATAACAGTTTGCATTCCACAAAAATAAGTTTAGAACGCAAACTGCAATATCTGAAATGGTAATCATTATATACTGTATTATACGATGTTTTACATGAGAGTACACTAACATGAACAATTATATCGGAAATTAGAAAAAATAATGAAGATTTCAATGGTGTTATGATTGATATTGCCTAATGTCGCTATCCGCTAGAAGGCACACAAAGTTTTAGTAAGAAGCTTCACAAATGATACGCTGTGTGCGACCGCGCGGACTATAATCGAACGCTCGCGCAGTCCTCACTTATTGCCTGCGGCCGGCCGTTGGCCACACACATTGAACACTGAACATAATTTTATTCTGAACGCAATACGATTAAAAAATATTGCCAATTTTATGTTGCAACAGGCACTTCTCTGGATTTCTCCAATAAACATCATATTAAAGATTATTAATTTTGTGAAGCTTTCGATATTGCCTCTCAGGACTCTGCAAATTATGGGTTTATTTGTACTTATTTATTATTATTTATTTTATATGAACCTGAATATTTAAAGCATTCTTATGGATTAATCTTGAGGTTAGAGTCCTTTAAAATTTCTCAGCGATCAAAATACTTTACCTCTCATTGGTAACAGTTCTATAAAATTACTGAACTCCATAATTATACACTGACACATTCTAAGTTAAAGCATCGCAATAAGATATTGTTACATTACACTACCACTAATGAGAATGTGTATGACAAGCGAGTTATGAACATTCAATTTAGAATTTCATAGTTGGAGATTTACCATTCACGATTCCAAAGTTATCACTAAGCAAATTAGAATATGAGATCAAAAATTTTAGGCCTACAATCTAAAATGATGAGAGTTTAAGTATTGATTTATGAACGCCACCACGTCAATTAATATAATTATGTGATGGTATAGATAAATCACAGTTGTGGGTAAAAATCACAATGCATATCATAGGCGGTACCGCTACTTGACTACTCACTACATCCTCCTCTCTATTGTGATGTCCACCTGATGTTACCGAGGGATTCCACAAGCGGAACGAAACCAACTCGATGCTCATCCTTCATTTCCCTGCATACATACGGCTGCCTCCATCTATCGCTCGCGTTCGACGCACGGCGTACGACGCTCGCCGCTCGTGTCACGCCCGACTAACTCAACAGTAGATATAAATAAATAATTCCAAATAAAATATAATCTGTGCATTAGTCCATGCTGACCATTCATAGTAAGGAGCCAACGGTCTCCTTTTTCTTTTGTATATTATTTCATTAATAACTTGTAAATAGCTGCTCTTGTTGATGGCTGCCAAACTTTAAATATTGCACTCTGGCTGCTCGCTAGTCAACCGAGAGCTGAAAACAAAAGTTTTAAAAATAAAAAAATAAATAAAAAACATTAAAAACATGTGATATCTATTATACGATCAAAAAAACAATAAGGACTTTTTAGTGAGCGTACGAACAGTTGGTTTCATGTGTCGATATAGTTACGGCCATGGTTTTAATATAGTGTTGTAAAGATTGAACTTAAGATGTTATAATACATCGAAAAATAAATATGTAATACCAACCTATATTGGCGATCAGTCCGCAAGATGCATTTGTCCTGACATCTGGGGCTGTGGTGTAGGAGTGTGAGGGGGAGGGGGCGATGCTATAAACAATTATCTGTTATTAATATAATTGTGCATAATTTTATATTATCAATACCATTATCACTCAAATTTCAACTTACATATTGAAGCGATAGACTGGGGCGACATTGCTGACATTTTGCTTTGAGTGTCTTGCATTGACACCTGTGTACCTTGAGAGGTCATATAACGATTCACCATCTGTGGTACAAAACTGTAAAAAAAAAATCATGTGGTAAATAAATGGATTTTGAAGACAATCAATAGAAAGAAAGAATGTAGTATGAACAAATTTGCATGTAAGAGGTGCAGATAGTGGGCAGATAATTATGACCCTTGTATATAAGATAAACTTTTAATATATAAAGTGGTTGTTTATAGTTAGTTTATTATTGACAAACCTTAAGTCACAAACGCCCGGCGTTTCGAAGTTGCTGTTATTCGAGTTGTTCGTATTGGTGGCCACACTGTTAATCGTCCCAATACTATTCGCCGACACGTTACTGTGGTTCTCACGGTGCACGCGGTTGTGATGTCTGTGTGTAAAACGATAAAATAGGCAAATTAGTAAATAAATACATTATCCTTTGTGATATAAACTTTCAAATATCTGATGAAAATAATATAGCATTTAGAAATTTGTTGTTACTTAGAAATTTACATGTACCATAACTGAATAATGAGTAACCTTTTAGTGCTGCGATATCTATAAGCCATGATTGAAAACATACAGCAGTATGAGATACGAGGTTTGAAAATAAAGGTATATTGTAATATTCTAAATGGCTGTGATACAGGCATAAAGAAAAAATATCTCAAATGTTCACGAAACTGAAATCACCAGAACCAGTGACCATTCAAATTCGAATTATAGTTGTAAAAACATGAGGTGTAAACAGTATTAAAGCATATTCCTCTACTTTCTATCAAATGGGTTGTCAGCTTATTTACCATTCTAAGTTGTGTAAAAAAAATACTAGGTGTATCCCGCGGTTTCACTCGCTTTATGCACACGCACGCACTTATTGCATAAAGTGTCCTATGTGCTAATATATAATCTACCTTTGTACCAAATTTCATTAAAATCCGTTCAGTCGTTTTTATGTTAAAAAATAACAAACATCCATCCATCATTACAAACTTACCTATTTTTTATATTAATAAGATTTATACGCCATACTTCTTATGGAGTACTTATACAGGTCAGGTCTTAAGAGTTCTAAATATATAATAAAAACAGCATCTTATAGCTGTTGTTGCCATATTTATTTATACTGATAGAATATGAACACACCTTATTAGATAGCTGTCCCTGACAAATGTCCGGCCGCAGACACTGCATTCATAACAGGAACCAGCAGAATGGGTACGGATGTGCAGCGCAAACTGCGACTTTGAGGTGAACGTCATTGAGCACCGGTCGCAATTCAGCGGCTTATCCGCCACGTGAGACCATCTATTGATAAACACGGGACAATAAAAAATAAATTATTATTATATTACATACAAGAAACATTTTACATTAAAAAATGCTGTCCACTGAACAAGGGATCTACCATAAAATGAAATTCCGAATTTTCGGACTCAATTTCGTGTTTTTGTTCATACGTAATCGACCCTGTAAATGGAGCTTAACATTTCGTTTGTCATAAATCCTACCATAAAAGTTCAAAAGAACGATATTTTAGCATTTTTAATATTTTTAAATGGTACGTATCATGTAATTTTAGCATCAAATTTTTGTTTCGTTCGGATCCGAAATTTCGCAAAACATTTTATGGTAGGCCCTCTGTATATCAAAAAAAGCCGATCAAATGCAAGTCGGACTCGCGCAACAAGGGATCCATACAAAACAATCATATTAATTTTTTTTAAACTACTATACTTTTTCATTATTCTAGGTTAACGGGAAGTACTCTGAAGGGATTGATTCTTTTTGCAAATGTCAAAATATGCGAAATAAACATAAACAGCCAATCTTTTGTTTGTGTCAATTTAATAGCTTGATTTTTTCACTGCTCTAAAAGATTACAGATCTGAGTGCATGATATTAATTTTAACTTTATACCTCTACGAGTTCCTAAGAAAAAGGGTCTTGACAGACAAACGGACAGACTGACGACGAAATGACCCTATAAAGATTCTGTTTTTTGGAGGTACAGAAACTTAAAACAGTATATTTTTGGCCATAAAAAAGTGGACAACGTTAAGTGATATTAAATATCAGCTAAAACAATAAATTATTAGTATTAAATTAATCCCAGGAATATCCGCAACATATCAGGGGTTTTTATTGTAAATTTTTTGTGCCAAATTCACATTGTGTTTATGTTATATAATTACTTGTGATAATTTTTTTTTCAGCATAAACATTTACTGATGTCAATACATATTTTAATAAAAATTTAATGTATAAATTACTCACCTATGAGCAGTTACATAACTCTTTACGGCGAATCGTTTTTGACAAATATCACAAGCGTATGGACGTTCACCTGTAAATGAAATAAAAGAATATTAGAGAACGAAATATGCATGCTAAATACTTGTATACAACTACAAAAAGCTTGTGAATATGTATATTATTATGGTAAAGCATAAAAAGTTTAACTAGAAAAAAAGATGTAATGAAAAGCAAGAGGGGAAGGCAAACGATGATGTTAGAAAGACGGCAAGATGCAATTAGACGGTATGATGCAGTCTGAAATTAATGAATGTAAGCCAAGAAATTATAACAATAATGAATATAATAATACAGTACTGAAACTTAAGTGATGATGCAGCGGATGATGAGAATAAATTATAGGATACAGTTGTCGGTGCCACATCATTAAGTTCAGAATAATTAATATAATACCTGTTATCACAATTTGCCGTCTTCTTAACTTTGCATATCTTCCAACCATGGTAAGTATATTCACACATGCTCGTCGATTCTTTTTGTATACAAAATAAAATTACAAAAGGTGTACCTATACGAGGTCTGTCCGGAAAGTTCGTATAAAAGTGTTCTGGAATGCGAGAAAGAGGAGTGGGGAGGCCAGGTAAGCGCAGGACCCCTTCCTTATGTCCCTAACAATGCTTCAGTTCTGGTCTGACCGCCGTGCGGTGCGAACTGGCTTGTCACACCATCTGTGAAGTTACCTCTTAACGAAACCCCGTCGGCATGGAGCCCGCTTCCGTTGAAGAGCAGCGCGTCGTAATCAAGTTTCTCTCGAAACTCGGCAAGAATGGCCGTGAAATTTTTGCCGATCTCAGAACAGTTTATGGGGATGATGCTGTGAAGGAACCAACCGTCCACAAGTGGCTAAAAAGATTCAGAGAGGGCCGAGAAAGCGTTCAAGATGACCCACGTTCAGGACGTCCTTCCACTTCACATTCCGACGAAAACGTGGAAAGAATTCGAACTTGTGTTAATGGGGACCGTCGTTTAACGGTCAGACAGGTGGCTGAAGAGCTTAATTTGGGCAAAACCGTGGTCCACGAAATTCTAAGAAACGAACTTCAAATGAAAAAAATTTGCGCCAAGATCGTTCCGTGAGTTTTTGAGTAAAAATTCCATTACGGTGACCGAACACCCCCCTATTCGCCGGATTTGGCCCCGTGTGACTTCTTCTTGTTCCCAAAAACCAAATTGGTACTTCGGGGGCGGCATTTGGGGGACATAAACGAGATAAAAAAAGCTACGACGGGGCAGCTGAGAAACCTACAACCAGAGGACTTTCAAGGAGCCTTCTCACAGTGGAAACGGCGTTGGCACAAGTGCATTATGTCACAGGGGGAGTACTTTGAAGGGGATAAAATTGATTTACCTGAATAATTGTAAAATAAAATTTTTAAAAAACTTTTATACGTACTTTCCGGACAAACCTCGTATATTAATACCAATAATAATAATATCAATGTGAGATCCAAGTCAAAATTAAGTGAATGTGTGAATGATACCGTCGGCAAAAACCCGAAGAGCATTTGTATTCTCCTTGATTAAAAGGTTTATTTATATACATAAAAAGAAAATAACTTATGACATTAACAAATGCTTTTCGGTGTAAATATTAGCTGTAGCTCATATTGTAAAAAATAGCATGTTAGCAGGCAAGCTCAAAGTGCTTATGAAATTTGTTTATAGAACGCGCTTTAGTGGCGTCGTACCGGTATGTATTCGCTTGTGAATATTGAGTGTCGACTTCTGCGTGAAGCGTTTGTAACAGACATCGCACTCGAACGGCCGCTCGCCTGTGTGCGTGCGCATGTGTATCTCCAGGTAAGGCTTGCAAGTGAACGCCGCCGGGCACTCCATGCACTGATACGGCCGCCCTTGCACTAACCGTTGTAATGCAACATTAATTCCTTGTCCCGTACTCTCACACAGACACACCTTACTTAATACCCACACACAAAAGACACACGGCTACGGCTTTACGTGAGTCCTGTCATGTGGCACCGACAACTAATGCAAAACATGTTAAAGGTACTACTACTCGATGTACTGACATTGAAATGGATATAAATAGGTGAATATAGTTCAATGATTATTAGCTCATGATTATGAATTGGTTCAATTGAAGTAAAAAAATAAAAGTGCAGCTCGTGAATGCGACTGACCTGTGTGCGTTCGTTTGTGTATATTGAGTGTAGATTTTTGCGCGAATCTCTTGAGGCATACGTCACACTGGTAAGGCCGCTCGCCGGTGTGGGTGCGGTTGTGTATCTCGAGGTACTGCTTGCAGGTGAAGGCAGCCGGGCACTGCAAGCACTGGAACGGCCGCCCCTGCACTGTGGACGAGGGAAAACGTTAACGAGAAGCGGGCACTGGCCCACCTCCCCGCGTGCACGCATCCTCACTAGTAGCCCACATATCGTTCATACGTCCCTAGTCCCTAACGTCGAGCGGCGGACGCCGACCGACCCCAGCGTCACGTACCTGAGTGCGTCCGCTTGTGTATGTTGAGACTGGATTTCTGTGTGAAGCGCTTCAGGCAGATGTCACATTGATAGGGACGCTCGCCGGTGTGGGTGCGCGTGTGTATCTCCAGGTATTGCTTGCAGGTGAAGGCGGCGGGGCACGACAGGCACTGGAACGGTCTGCCCTGGACTGGTGCCCAATACATATATTATAGCAGCGGCGAGCAGGCAAGGACGCTAGACGCCCTCGCACTACGGAGATCGCGGCGCGGACTGGTCGCCGCTCGCCGCTAACTCCGCTCCAAATCTTTATCGTTTGTTTAGTGCGGTAACAGAATCCAATATCGACCAGTCTGATCGTAAATAAACATCAAAAGACGTAAAAAAAAAAAAAAAATAATAAGAGATTTGGAGGAGAGGCAGAGTGTGAGTGGAGAGAGGCTGGGAGCGGGCGGAGGGCCAGTCCGGCCCGCGGCTGTCACCCACCTGTGTGTGTCCTCTTATGTATATTGAGGCTGGACTTCTGCGTGAAGCGCTTCAGACACGCGTCGCACTGATAGGGCCGCTCGCCTGTATGCGTGCGCATGTGAATGTCCAGGTAGGGGCGGCGGGCGAACGCCGCCGGGCATTGCCCGCACGTGAAAGGACGCCCTTGCACTGCGCCCAGTGCACACACAAAAGCGAGTAACGCACGTCGCCGACGCATGCTGGCAACGTTGCCTTTCGTCGCCCGCCCCCTGCCAATCTCACCCCACTTACGGACGACCGTAGCGACGGTTTCCACCCAATTTAGCAAACCCAATTTTGATAGCACCTTGCGTCGATACTGAGGCGCCAATAATGCGTCACTGCGGCGATTGCATTACCGCTTTTGTGAAAGAATTAATATTCATGAAGAAATGATGAAATACAAAAAATGATATACTAAAATCACTGAAATGTATTGTGTTGCTAATGAGAGGAATTCATAACTGGCGTATTAATAACATGATAGGCGGGAAAATATTCGTGTGAATGCAGAAGTACGTAAAAGCGCGCATTAAGATGAGTTAAAGATTTGAGATGTTAGTCGAAAGCAACGAGATGGAAGCTGCTGAATATAGAGGGAGTGTAAAAACAACGGGTTAGGCGGGCAACGGAAAAATAGGAACGAAGCATGACGCTATATGAGATATGAGTCTGAGTGGCCAGCCGTAAGTTGTCACTAATCGTACCGAAAAGAATACTGCGCAATATAATATATGTGGGCTACTAACCCGTATGTATTTTTTCGTGCAAATTGAGCGCGCACTTCTGCGTGAAGGACTTGAGGCAGACGGTGCACTGGAACGGCCGCTCCCCTGCGCCGCCAACACACGGACACGGGGGGACAGAGAAACAAAACAAAACCACGATGGACAAATAATACTACTTGACGCATCAACGCATACCAATCGCTTTTACGGTGCACTACCATGAGGGAATTTCAACACGTTATTTGTCCATCAGACATAGGTACTCTCTCCTACTTAACGAAATCCTCACAACGTACACATGCTTTACTTATACTGTTTGTGAATAGTTTTTGAGCGTGTACACCTAGTGAAAAATCCACACGTACTTTTTGATGTTTATGTAAAAAACCAAAAACAAAAAAGAAAAAAAGCAGGATCAACACTTCCGAATCGCCAACCGCACTTCAAGTCTAACAACACGGTTTTTAGAAGTTGGGAGCCCTTAAAACTATTCACAAAACATAGGTATCAAAGCCACAACAGCAAACAATGTAAGCTTTAGAAGCAGTAACAAAAGTTGAATTGTGGCTCAGAGACCGAATCGAAAATAAAAAATGAAATATCAAGGGACCCACCAGTATGTATACGTTTATGGGTGCCAAGGCTGGACTTCTGAGTGAACCGCTTGTCACAGATGTCGCATTGATAGGGGCGCACTTTGTTGATCAGCGATTGGATGTGCTCCTCTAGAAATACCAACAAAATTCAGCTACAATAACGATTCTGCTTCATGCACTGTCATTGACGATAGTGCCTAATAACGTTGAGCTCTAAAATTATAAATTCATTGTCTACTAAAGGATTTTAGGGCAAAATGCCTACCAGTGTGTATTTTCCCATGTCGGCCCAGGCTGGACTTCTGAGTGAAGCGCATAAAACAGATGTGGCACTGGTACGGCCGCACTTTCTCTAACAGGGCTCGTCTGTGCTCCTCTATAAGTTATACGAGTTTCGATATAGCAACTTTGCACCCTCTCAAACAATATGCATTTCATTAAAACCTAACGGGTTAAATTATTCACACTCATTCACACGCATTCAGGGGGAGGTAGGCTATGTAGTCGTTATCATTCAGTAATCGTTAGTACCGTTCTGCCTCAAGGGTAAACGTCACGCACAAGTCGGCAGGAGGTAGAGGTAGTGACCCACCGGTATGTATTTTTCCGTGCCGGCCCAAACTCGATTTCTGGGTGAATCTCACAAAGCAGATGTTGCATTGGTAGGGCCGTTCCTTGGCCAGCAGCGCGCGTTTGTGTTCCTCTGAACGAAACCATCGCACAAATCAAAATAAGGCTTACTATATTTACTACAGTGGGAAAGTTCGAGAAGGCTCTATGAGCCTAGTGATTGACAAATCTAACAAGTGCTGACGTAGTATCGGCACAGAGCGGTACATGAGTAAGGGTACCCAAACAAAACCCACCCGTGTGTATTTTCTTGTGTCTGTTGAGGCTGGAGCTCTGCGTGAACCGCATCTGACAGAGTTCACACTTGTAGGGCCGCTCCTTCACCATCAACGCGCGCATGTGCTCATCTAGAACCCAGGCCACATTCTAACAACTCACGCCATTGTTCATCTTCGGATCAAAGCCTACATGAGAACTTACAATGGACGCCATGTGCAGAAACAATACAATTGGTATCCATTGTACGTTCTTTACCTCCCCCTGTTTACCTCACATCAAAAAGCCTTCCTTACGCCCTGATTTATTATGAATCGATGTCGTATTCGACACAACTCAAAAACTATTCACATTTTGAAGTTAAGCATATGTATTGTCGAGTAATTCGATGAGCGAACTGTGTGTCGCACCAGTGTCATAGGTAACTGTTTATTTACAAAGATAAGTAAATGTCATTGTACATGTATATAAGATTATAAGAAGCTCCGTCCAGAGGCCGCGTTTTACATGCCTGAATATTGACAATTTGTAGGTATTCTGAATAAATATTACTTACTAATATACACAGCATTACAATTGAGGGCACCTAACAATTTAAAGGTATACTGACAGAAAAATAAAAATAAGTATGTATGGGATTATATTTAATAAAATTTGAACACTCTAGGTTCGAATTCCCTACCTTACAAAAAAAAAAAAAAAACATTAACATGCTCAACATATTTTTGTTCCGGGTATAAATTAAAAAAAAAAAGCATTTCCAATATGAAATAGATATTTGCATACGTATCAAAATCAAAATAAAATTATAAATAAACACGATGGCAATATATAACACACGTAATATGCAAATGTATAAATACTTGAAATATCAGGGCGTCAAAATAGGATATAAGCAAAATATGTAATATTTTACCACACTGTAAAAAGTAAAGTAATAAAAAATAAATCTTTACATATTTTGGTTTTGTGGAAACAGGAGGAGGTTAGTATTAGATTGAAAATGTAATATCCAATATTCTCATGCACCAATATTTTTTTACAATCCCCTCATGGTACTAGGTTCTTTAACCCAGTTTGATATTTGTTTATCTACTAACGTATTTAATAGTTAGTTCATATATCATTAATGTAACTTCCATATAGTTGGATTTAATATTCCAAATATATCTATAAATCCATTATTATTCATACTTGACTATTAAATAAATCCAACTAAAATTTCAATCAAGTCAGTACTTTAGAACTATCAATGTAACTCAAATTCGATTGTAATATTGTTATAAGTAATAAACATTTAAATAATATATACTAATTTTGGTGAAATAAATACAAAAATTATATAACTACGTTGTATAGACAGGCTATAATAATATTCCTCTAACCCCATATATTCTTATCTTTTTGCTTGTAGTGCTTGAAGGAGATATGGAAATTACATTAAAAATGCACCTCTTATCTGGTGCAATCCTCCAATCCTTTATATTTATACACCAAAATAACAAATTCTAAAAAGAAATAACTTTAAATTTAATTTAAAAAACAAATATAGCAATCACACATTAAACTTTAAATTGGGGCATGCAGAATGGAATTGAGTACAAATAATAAGCGATTTTATTAATTTACACTATCAGTTCCTTTCTGCATGTACCAAAATAGAATTAGCAAAGATATCTCTGCTCATTTAATTAATAATAGACACTCACCTGTGTGAACGCGCTTGTGCGTATTAAGGCTGGATTTTTGTGTGAATCGCTTAAGACATAAATCGCACTGGAACGGTCTCTCCCCCGTGTGTGTACGCATGTGTACTTCTAAATATGGCTTGCGGCAGAACGCTGCATCACAAACCTTAACAAACATGTTTGCTGTTTATATAAATATAATAGAACAAGATATTTCTAAATTGTCCAAAGACTGGTGCCAGATAATAAAATTAAAACCAAGTTTTCTTACAACTTTGCTTTATTTATCGGCATAAAATAAACCCAAAATTCACTTTACAATTCCAATACAAAATCAAAATGTGGTGAAAAGGAAGGGCATGCGATTTAACGAGCCCAATGACCCCATTATTATCGTTTCTAGGTGTCGCGTCGGGCGGAGGACTTGACAGAGACATATAGATATATATATATTGAAATACAGAAGGCGAGGTTAACATCCAGTTATTATTGAAAAAATGGAGAATGAAGTTATTCAGTAATTTTCATGGCATTGCACCAACTAATCAGCGTCATTTTGATCAATTTGTTGAAGTAATAACATGAAAATTGTTAAACTAAACAATCAAACACATTTCCTGATTGCAGGGAAATTCCATGTTGATAGGAAAATTAAAAATAAATATATAACAATGGTAAATAATGTATTCAGCGTCATAACTATGGCAATAAAAATGACGGATTATTATTAAAACTGATGTCTATGCTGTGTAATGAACTGAAATAAACTGTCTCCAATAAATACTGAGTACATTTAGAGCGGATAGTTGTTACAGCGCTTAATAATAATTTTATTTTTATAATTCTTTAGCAGTCTCAATAATGATCGGTTAAGCCGTTTCTGAGATTAATGTGCACAAACGTACAGACAAGCAGACAAAAATTCTAAAAATCATTGTTTTGGGTTCTTTTGCGTTCATAAAGCGCGGGGGGGGGGGGGGGGTAATAATAGTTTTTCTCATATATCTTCCATGTACAGACAGCGACCAGCTACGATTTTATTATATTTTTTTGCTGAGAATACTCGTATTTTTCTTAGTTTTTAGGGTTCGTAACTCAAAAGGAAAAAGGGAACCCTCTTAAGATTACTTTGTTGGCCTTCTATCGGTATTTCCTTCTGTAAAGACCCTTTTTCTAAGGAACGCGTTGAGATATTAAGCTGAAATTAATATCAAATACTTAAATGCAGACTTGAGATGAGTCCTTTGAAGTTGTTACAAAATCAAACTTCTAAGTCGACGCAGTTTTTTAGATTAATAAAAATGACCGAGTGGAAAACTCAACATCTCCTTTACAGTTATAGATAACAAGTTTGGAGAGAAGGCGACGACAATACATTTTTCCAATTTTCCTACCCTTTTAGGAGCTCATATATCAGATCTCGTCCTTTAAAGGATGGATTTCAACCCTTCAAACATATAAACAAAATTACATCACAGTATAAATCGCTGCTCATGGCACATCTCATGTCTTTTTACTAACTCAGAACTAAGAAATAAATATGTAACCTATCTTCGCATCAGATTCGAAAAAAAAACAACAAACAAATAAGCCCTCCTAGACAAATGGAAGACAAGTCTATCGGTGAATACGTTTTCATAAGCGTAGGCATGAAAAAGAGTAAGACAAAGTCGCTGTCTCGTTCTATCGCAGTAAAGTCTTTATTGATGGATTTGTTTTGTCTAATGAGCAATTAGGTCATGAAAAATCAACAATTTGAAAACAAATTAGATAATCTTCAATACTTACAGTACATTGAAATGGTTTATTGCCAGAATGCAGTTTCATGTGGACATAATAAGATGATGCTGATGATAGTACTTTTCCACAAACCTGCAAATATTTTATAAATGTAATTTGGTAGCTACTTATTATTAAAGATTATTTAAATGATTAAGCAACTGTCCCATTTATTACAATCATTGAACAGATTTAAATAGAATTTGACAGAGAAATGAGTCACAAATAAAGAATACATATTATGTAAATAGTCATCTTAATGCAAAATGATGGATATCACCAAAATACATGGTCATAGAACATTATTACATTTCTAACTTTAAAATAAGAAACATTAGAAAAACCTACCTTACAGGCTTGAGGCTTTGATCGCGGTGCTCCTTGGCCATTTGCAACCTCCATTTTAGTTTGAACTGAACCCATATCTACCCCCATACCCTGGGCACAATAAAATTTGTTAGTATTTACATGGTGAAATGAAATAAAACATGTTGTGTATTAAATTATTATTCATCAATCAATTTTTATTATATTTGTATTTTTTTTATTAATTCAGAATTGGCTAAATATTAGAAATTTATTGTGATTCAATAAAAATTATTCAAAAAAATTGGTAATTCATTAACAAAATAATAAAAAAAAATTTAACCTGAGAACATTGTCGCCCATCCATATCCATTTCTACACCTTCATCCTCCATTCCTTTGAAGCTTAACTATAAACAAATATATGTATATTTATTAGTCTATTTTTGTATAGCCTTGTGCTTCATTCTAATGCACCAGTGACCATGAGACCATGAAGCGGATATATGACAATATATTTATCGGATATGTATATTGGAAATGAGCAATTGTATTATACTGATTGTTGAATGATAAATAATAGGATGCAATTTCGTAATAGAAACACAAGAAGGTACATGTATTAAAAATATATTACAAGTACTCAAACAATCAAACAATGTTTTACCCCCTACTTTCAGAAAATAGACCAAATAAGCGACGGGCTTATGTGGTCTATTTTTCGTATCAAGTTGAAACAATCAATACAAATTTCTAAAATTTTATTCAAATTAATTGAGCGATTTTGTAGACTAGAGATTAACGAACATCGTGACATGGCAATTTTATATGTTAAGATGGCGAAGTACAATAATTACATCATTTATACTATTTCATTTCCAACTTCCAAGTTTTCACTTATAGTATTTTATACCTACATCATTATCAATTAACAGCATAGAATATACGAAAATATAAACATTAGAGTGTTATACAACCCTTTAAGAATAGTTAAATTTAAGCACTGCTTATCACTAAAATTTACATTTGATGGCACTCTTCATTGTATTCTAATGTTTAGATTGTTTATGATTGACAATATTACAGTAAACTACAGCAGTATTGAAATAATGCAAAGTTTAGAACTTCACTGTATCATGACAGAGGACAGAATCATATCAGTAAAATTGATTAATATTAAGTTTATTGTTGACTATATCTCATTTACAACTTTCACTAAATTATCTAAGTCCATTTTTAGACAACCACTATCGACAATCTCAGGCTAACGAGCAGTGTCAAACCCTTAAGTCTTAGGAAAGATTACAAGAGACTACAGCATGGGGTTCTTCAGAAGGGGGATAAAGAGGTTTCTTCAGAGTGGGCAATGCGCTTGTATACTACCTCAGTGGTATGAAAAAAATTAGTATTTATAAATTAAACAGAATATCTTACATCATCATCTTGTTGCTGCATTTCTTGTTGTTGATGTTGTTCCATAAGTTCTTGCTGGTGTTGTACTTGATGTTGTACTATCAGGCTGTCTTTAGAATCTTCTTGGTGTATGGGGTGATGTTGATTCATATTGATGATAGCATGGTTGGAATCTGATCGGACTATTGTTGGGGGCCCGGAGTGAACATGTTGATGAGATGTGTAGAAACTGCAATACAGAATTTTTTAATAATTAAAAAAATATAAATATTTTACTTACGAAATATAGTAAACAGATTCTTCATAAAGTAATTGTAAAACCAATATGTTGTGATTCAGGATAATGATTATATTATTATCAAAAAAATTATACTATTTAATTATTATTATTAGCATTTAAAATATATAAAAAAAACTTTAAAACCATAATAAAATCAATTTAATCTTTTTTCTATATAGTCAAAATAACAGTTTTCTAAATTCTTGTGATACAAAGGCATACCCCTTGTTTTGTTAGGATCCTACTACTTAGTAAGTATATATACATATGTTTTGTGTTGTGTCTCTAGAACTTAGTTGGCTGGTATAACGACACAAGGGGCATGGCTAATTTTATGTATGGTATGGTTATGTTTAAATCAATGGGTATGCCCCTAGAATCTGACAAGTGACGTAATTATGTCTGTATGACATTATAATATGAAAACCAACAAACATATTAAATGCTCTTTTTTATTTCATGAAATTTTTTTAGCAAAAATAAATTTATTTCATATATTTTTTAATTTAATATCTGTTACATTACCTCATAGGTTCAGCTTTGATTTGTTGTTCAAACATGGATATAGTGGCGAGTAGGTCGCCGGGGGGCGGCACGGGGACCCCCACGCCCCGCGCCACACCCCCGACGCCCACGCCCCAGTGTGCTGGGAAACTAATGGCGGACTGTTTGATGCACCCCCATTTTCAGTTCTGGCCACCTGCATCATAAAAAAATACAATTAAAAAGATATGAACAATTGTATTAATAGAATATTAGTATTATGGACTAAAGTGATAAAAAACTATTAATAACTATAAATTCTCTTAAAAACGTAATAAGTATGTTGTTTTAAGTAAAAATTAGGCTCGAAAGTAGGTTTGAATCCGTCATGTGAATTTGGAAAATATTCTAAAATGAAGGATTCTGAATGATCTCTATATAAAGTCTGATTCTTTTTCATAACTTCTTTTTCATAGCATATTTGTTACAACCTAGACCAAACTAATAAATTTAATATTTGTACAATAACGAAATAATAGTAAAAATAGTTTTTGTATGAACACAATTTGAATTATTATGAAAATAAGAATCCAGAAAATAAACAAGAGAAATTCGAGGCGACTCCATTTATTTTTCATACAGTAGTAAACACTTTCAGAACCTCTGAACTAAGAAATAATTGTGATTATACAGTTACTATAACTAAACCAACATACACTATTTTTTATCTTTGTTGTGTTGAAGATGTGAATAAAAATTAGTACAATAAAATGTGTAAAAAGAATAAGATAATAATAAAGAAGAAGTTTTTTGTCAAGTTTATTTATATATTTATACAAGTTTTGCAAGAAGGCAACAAAATTCTATGTGCATAATTTTATATAACAAATTTAACAAAGAAATTAATATTCATTCTCTATTACATTATAAGGCTAAAAACAATCTCGAAATCTAAATGGCTTCTAAATTCAGACTATGATTGGGTGGAATTACTATTGAAGTGATACTTTTGTAAATTAGTAACTTCAAGTAGCTTTATAACACTACATCATAGGCGTAGTACTACTCATTATTAAATTTACATACATACACTCCTACTCATCCATCTTCTCTCACATATACATACACTTTTACATTTCCTATTCACATATCATACATACACATACACATACCCAAACACATTTTCGTCACACACAATTTCACTGAACCCATAAATTATTGTTTCCCTAAAACTATGGGCTCCCTTGTAATTTTTGTTTTCATATTTATTATTACTCTATTTCATATTGTTTCACTAATAATATAATACAACAACATATAGAAGAGGGCACTAACTCCTGAGACACAAGTTTTTTCATACCTACCTCAGGAGTTAGGGACTTCACACTATATTGTAAGAATGAGTGAAATAAAGATTTATTTATTTTTTATTATTATATTATTGCTTAGTTTACTGTCTTCATAAAAAAAAAATTACATTAAAGTTACAAAATTTTGTTATGTAGAGAATTTAAAAAGTCAAAGGACCACCTAATTCAAAGTCAGTAGTTAAAATTATGATTGTAAATAATGTTTTTGTGAATAAAGGATATTATGTGCATCATCTTCTTAATATAATTATTTACATAAAATTATTTGAATCAGATACTATAGAGCCAGTGTATATTTTTTAATCAATTCATAAAAACTGTATTATTTTTAAAAAGATAATACATATTATGTACATACCTCCCTACATATAGTGATTGTAGATGAAAAAATGTAAATAACTCTTCTCATCTTATATATAATACATGTAAATGAAAAGTAATGTTAATATTTCTTGAAGTATGTATTTAGTTATTTATCTATTTTGAAAGGCACATCAACAGTGTAAATGCAGACCATTAATTTTAGTTGATATATATGACCTGCATCTTACATTTACACCAATAAAAGATGCACACAACATTTTCTCATTAATAAAATAGACATCAATTTCACATTAATAAAATTGATAGTATCAAAAAAATGAAAAAAAAAATGTAACATACAGGTGGCAATGTAAGAATACTATTTAATCAGTATTTGGTGTAGTTATGCACTTATTCAAATTACATACATAAATATATTTAATATTATGTATTTTAAGTTGTTGGCAAAATATTCTTAAATACTGCATATTTAATTAGTATTTACATAGGAATTTATTTATTTGGACATATTATTATACATAAGTTGGTATTTTATTATTATATAGGAATTGAACCTTCTTAAACAGCAATAAATATAATTAACCAATAATTATAATATACATAGAAATAGCAAATGATTGTAATTCATAATTCCTACATGTACCTATTTATATTTAGGTATATCCAGAAAGAAAAAATATTTAGCAAACACCTTCTAACATGTATTTCACAGATAGTCAGTACAGATAATAAAAAAGAAAATTTATAATTTTCATAAGTAAGCAGAGAAAAGAAAGTCTTAATCAATGTTTATATTTTAATATTTCATGCATAATAAATTAATATGAAATTAAAATATCTACCTAACTAGTGTGTTTTTATAATTTTTAATCAATAAACATTATACCTCAGTTCTGAAAACTGTTTTTCAAGGTTAATAAGACAGAATATTGCAATATGAATGTAAGTAGAAATAACTATTTAACATAGCATTTGCATTATTTGCATTCATTTATGTTTTATTTATATTGCAGCCCATAGGCCATTGACTGAACACAGTAGGTATCAATGTTCTTATATAGACGTATGCATTGTATTGTCCTAAAGATATAGACACACAAACATGCAAAGTAGTAGGTATCTATGTATAGATAGAAACATAAGCACCCTTATCTACGTTTAGTATATTTGTAATAGTTTGTACATGTATAACAACATAACAGTGGTAGATAGGTACATAAACGAATATGTAAACAGGAATTTAGAAACGATTAAAATCCCTAAGAAAATATTAAATGGCGGAAGCTCACCGACCGACTGTCTCCACCCAGCCTCCCCCCGGCCATCAATAAAATGGCCAATTCGTTATTGAATTTTGTCCCCAACTTTCAGGCCGAGGCTGCGCGACGCCGGTTGTTATGCGACAAGTAATTTAGTGACCACTACTAGTCCAATGTAAACAATTCGAGTTTTTATGATTTAGTTTAGTAATTTTAGTGAAAGTTATGTCATATCGTAAAGCTAAATAATAGAATGCGTTTACGACAATATCGTTTATATAAACTCTGTAAACAAAAACATAATTAACAAATTAAACATGAACGTATAGTGAAAATTTGGCGGTCCTTCTTTATGTATGTATGTAATGAGATAAAAAATTAATATTAAACCTTTTTTGCTTAGATCTTGTTTCATTGAGCTTTATGTTATTCTATCGGTAGATATATATATCAAAACTTAAGTTTCTACTCACATAAATAACGGAACAGCTAATTCTGGTAGCGTGTGCAGTAACACATAAATTATAGCACTAATTACACAATTTCGTTAAGATTGGCCATTCGAATTATGTTTTTCTTAGACACCGACATAAAATGGCTGCTACCTCATTGTTCTGCGCGTTCGTTCGTGCGCATAGAAGCCGTGAACGCTTGGGAACGACTTCTCCGCCAATTAAAATAATGGCGCGAAATTTAAGGCATCGTTAAATTGATTTAAACCGGTAGTTAATTAGAACCGAATACCTATATCAATAGTTGAACAGAATTGTAATAATATAAAAAAGAACAAATATTGTTAGCGAAATAACAGCGAATGCTGGAAGATATACTTTGACGTCATACTCATAATCCGCAATATCACTTTGTTTATTCAATTTTAAAGTATTCGTACGAAAAATATTCTTCCTTTGTTGATGTTTAATACCATCTAGATGTTGATTTAATTGGCTCTCTGAATTTGTATAAATGTCACAAATGCTACAATGAAATCTTGTGCAGTTTTTGGATACACCAAGTTTAATGTCTACGAGCTCGCCCATTTATTAATTTTGTTAATTTTTTTTTTTGGAATTAGGCAGGACCGAAACTCTGATTTAAATGGATAACACAGCTTAGCATACCTACCTATAATACAGAATTAGCTTACTAAGTATTGTAGTTATGAAGGTAGTTCAACATTTAATGTAATTAGTATCTAACGACCCTCTTATCCAAACCTTCTACGAAAACGTTGGACCGATTTTGATCGCCGAGACCGAGATATGTAGATAATAGGTTCAATTTTGAAGCGGTATTTTCTACAAATTCAAACTGAAAATTACAATTTCAATACATAGTTGGAACAAAATTATAGTTACTAGGGCTGATACTGAGGCATCATTTCTCTAAACCTATCTCTTAACCTATAATTTTAATTTACTACTAATACTAAATTTATAATATTTTTGACTTAAATGTATTAGAAATTTAGTTCCTAGGTATTTTTTTGTATGGGTGGAAATGGAATGGTATGCCGCCCGCGCCATTGACATACACTGGCGGAGCACCAGTAAGGGATGATAGGTAAGGATGAAAACGAGTCAGCCCATTGTGATGAATTCAGTAAGACTTAATCACAATGGTTTCCAGGGGGAACAGCGTGGAGGTCGACCTGATAGGGTGTATTGCTAGCAATGAGGCCATTACACTCCAATACTAACAATCCCTTTCCCTCCAGTTTCTAGGAAAATACACTTGGAAAAAAATTTTCACTGTTATGTCAAATTAAAATTTAAATTATAATAAAATATTAGGTTTCAATTAAGTACGTTAAATTTTATTCTTAACAACCGGAAAAGTATTGGTTTTGTTACACTATTTAAAAAAACTTTTGGGACCGATGAAGAGAAAGAATACCTCTTCAGAGTCGATCCCTATCTAATAGTAAGCACTTACACTAAGCTATATACCGGCTTCAAATTTCAAGTTGATATAAGAACGAAATTTTTATTCTAAGAATTTAATACAAACTAACTTTATAATAGACTTATATTATTGTTATAAGTTTAATTTGTAATAATCTATAAAACAGTACTTTCACGAATCTATCAAATAAATATTATTTACTGAGATAAATTTAGAGAATAATACTTTAGAATCTCCGCAGTCTGTATACTTGAGAAATAGAATAGTTTGTTTTTATCTCGATGAATCCGCTAGGTGGCGATATGGAGCGAAATAAAGTGCGGACATTTGCGAATGTTACGAATTTACAATGGCCTTGGTAGTATAGCGGTTTAAATATATTGCCTCACCTTCCGATGGTCACAGGGTCGATTCCCGTTTTATGGTTAACTTTTTGCTTGCCACTTCGTACGCGTGGAATTCAAAGTAGAAAAAATTTAATAGACCTCTGCTAGATGGCATATCAAGGTAAGACCTTAGGATAAAATATATACCTACCACATTTTAAGTTAGAACTTCAGGAACACAAATGTAAACACAAGTTGATGCTATAGTTTTTGCATCATGCCGTTTTGGCATTTATTGTTTTTTTTTTTTTTTTATACTTTAGTGGCATTCACCCCGATTCTAGGATATTTTAACAAAACCACAACGGGGAAATGATAATAATACACCTATCTCACGCGAATTTGAAAAGGATTAAGTTTGGGATATTTATAGGATGTGTAAAATAGAACATGTACCTATGAAAATTATTTTGGCATCTATTGTTATTAAGACTCCTCATAAAATATTTCTCATGTACAAACAATTCCATTATATTGTCAAGAAGTATAATTTAATTGTATAATTAATAATCGAGACTTAATGCCTAAGTAATGAAGCTAAGTAGATATATAATTATTGTTAGACTTTGTAGCATATCAACCTATGTAGATGAAACTATGGTTACCTTTCTGTTACTGGTTAGTTATACTTACTATAGATGTCATTGTGTATCTAAATAAAATTCTGTCTATTTTTCCTTTGAACAATTCGTAATCTTATTTTTTTCCTAAATATCTTCATAATAAATAACACGGACTCTATTTATCATAAAGTGGTAGCAGAACGTTACGTGTACTGAGTGAATCGCACTTAACCGTCGATCACAAATATTTTATTTTGAAGATTAGACACCGGGTTCTTCATAAGTGTGAAAAAGATTAAACTAGAGTTATCGCCATGGACGGAACTACAAAGTTTCAAGTCTTACCACTAAATGAACACAACTGGGTCACATGGAAATTTCAAATAAGACTAGCTCTAAAAGGTCATGGTCTCCTACATGTCGTCGAAAAAGACTTCGTAGACAAAGAAAGAGCTACGACTGCTGAGCTTGAAAAGTATGCCAAGGAAGATAGTACAGCATTTCTTATTATAACGACTAACTTGACACAAGAAAACATCATGAAGGTGATGCGCTTCGAAACAGCAAGAGAAGCTTGGTTGGAACTTCACCGAATTTATGAAGGAGATACAGAAGATCGAGCCTTTGATTTGATTATGACCTTCTTCAAATTCGTAAAGGATCCTGCTGACAATATTGGTACGCATTTATCTAAACTACGAAATATATGGAGAGATTTATCATTAGAAATGAAGAAAGAAGGAGTCAAAGAACTACCAGAAATCTTTCTTATGGGCAAGACTCTAGAAAGCTGTCCTGATGAATATTTCCAGTTCATTTCAAGTTGGAAGCTGCTAGCAAAAAAAGATCGAAGTATAGAGAAATTGACTGCCCACCTGTGTTCTTTCGAACGAGCACTACAGTCTCAGGGGACTCACGGTCAAGTAGAAGATGCTCTCATGCTTACCGGAAGTAAAGGCAAGTCTAAATTTCGAAAGAAGTCAGCTGTCAAAGATAAGTCGAAGAAATGCAATTATTGTGGTCTAAACAATCACTATATACAAGATTGTCGTAAATGGATAGCAGATGGACGTCCGTTAACATCAATGGAAAAACCATCAACATTAAAACAAGGTAATACCTCTAACAACAATAAATGCAAAGCCAACATGATGCTAATGTCGATTGTTGAGGTGAACGCTATAGGAAATAGTGATAGTAATCAATGGTATGTTGATAATGGCGCAACTAGTCATGTCACAAATCGATCAGATTTATTTGAGGTTTTTAAATCATTTGATAGCAAGTCACATACAGTGACAACAGCAAGTGGACAAACAATTCCTGCTACTGGCAAAGGATCAGTAATAGTTGAAGCAGATATGTATGGTCGAAAACAACTCATAACATTAAATGACGTATGGCTTGTTCCAGAAATTTCAAAAAACCTTTTCTCTGTCTTAGCTGCTCAAGATTGGTTAACTGACAGTACGTTTGTATCTAAAACAAACAGCTGTCAATTGATTGTAGATGGAGAACCTGCTCTTCTCGGAGATAGAGAAAAACATGGAGGTCTTTATAAGCTGAGATTATGTAACAAACCATCAAATCCGATCAAGATAAATGTCAATTCAGTGGATGCTATAAACATGCTACAGCTCTACCATGAGAGGTTTGTACATCAAAATAAATCTCATGTGAGAAAACTCGTAGAACGGGAATTAGGTATCAAAATATCAAATCCTAATGATAAGACAGTTTGCGAAGGATGTATATATGGAAAAGCTCATCGTTTGAAATTTGGAACGAGAGACGGGATGTCAAAACCTGGGGAACGCATATATGGTGACGTATGTGGTCCGTTTGTCTACTCCGTTTCCAAATATCGTTATTTTCTACTATTAAAAGACGATTTTACAAAATATCGCTATCTATTCTTAATGAGATTGAAAAGTGAAGTCCAAGATAAATTGGTACAATTTATAGCTCAAGTAAAAACCACAGGACATGTTATCAAAGAATTTTTCACCGATAATGGAGGCGAATTCGTAAATGATAATATAAAGAAAATTCTACAAAAGGAGGGCATCGTGCATAGATTCACTATGCCGCATACACCACAGCAAAACTCAACTGAACGTGAGAATAGAACTGTTGTTGAAGCTGTCAGAGCTGTTATGCATACTCCTGGAAGGGAACTACCTGAAGGCTTATGGGCTGAAATAACAAGAACAGTTGTTTATGTACTTAACCGTACTGGTCCTACCAATACAGATAAAACTCCATATGAGTTATGGTATGGTAAAAAGCCAAGACTTGGACATTTAAGAATAATAGGAAGCAGTTGCTATGCTCATGTACCGAAAGTATCACGCAAAAAGTTGGACAAGAAAGCAAAAAAGGGTATTCTTATTGGTTACAATGATGATGAAGGATATCGCATTTGGGAACATAAAACTCTTTCAATTATTAACTCGAGAGATGTAATTTTTGACGAAAAGACACTTAATCCTGTCGAGGACAATAGATCTCCTAGATCTGAAGAAAAGGTCTCTAGATCAATATTGATCCCACTTCAAGTCTGTCCCGATTTTGCAGATCGAGAACCGAACGAATCAAACATAGCGATTGTTCCAATTAATAACTATGAACATTTTGATACTACTGAATGTGAAGATAAGGTTACTTCTTCAAACATAGATAATTTACCACAGATTGACACAAATCAAGAAAACGTATCAGAGGACAATTTAATAAGAGAAGATACTTTATCTCAAGAAGAAATTCTTAATGAAGAACCTCAAGAGAAAGATGTAGATATAGATAAAATCACTTTAAGGGATCGCTCTAAATTAAAACCTCCACATAGATTTGACGAATTTGTCTTACACTGTGTTGAAAATGTTTATAACCATGAAGAAGAACCAAAGACATTCAAAGATGCGATGAAGTCTGTTGATAAAGAAAAATGGCGTAAGGCTATGGATGATGAAATCAACTCCCTGAAAGAAAATGAAACATGAGACTTAGTGTCATTACCCAATGGACGCAAAGCTATATCCAGTAAATGGGTATTTAAGATTAAAAGGAACTCTGATGGGTCTACTGACAAGTATAAAGCCAGACTCGTTGCTGTTGGTTACTCTCAAAAGAAAGGCGTTGATTACGAGAAGACGTTTAGTCCCGTAGCAAAAATGAGTACAATTAGATTACTATTGAGTATTGCTGCTCGCGACAATATGATTCTTACTCAATTTGACGTCTCTACCGCATTTCTTTATGGAAGCTTGAAAGAAGAGATATATGTTAAGCAACCTGAAGGATATGATGATGGAACTAACAATGTATGCAAGTTAAAACGCAGTTTATATGGACTGAAACAAGCACCATTGTGCTGGAACAATTGCATTAAAGACTTTCTTCTAGAACAAGGGTTTGTAGCTGGAGAAGATCCTTGTTTCTTCTCCATGAAGAGGGGGGAAGGTAAGCTACTACTAGCCCTTTATGTTGACGATGGCATGATAGCTGGTACATCACAGGTACTGATTAATGAGTTTCTCGAAACGCTGCAGAAACGCTTTAAAATTAAGGGCCAAAGTAATAAAAATTTCTATTACTTTCTGGGACTTGAGATAGAAAAACATGAAAACTATATAAAAATACATCAAGGTGCCTATACTAAGAAAGTACTTACAAGATTTGGTATGCAGAATAGCAAAGCTGCCGCTACACCAATAGTTAAAGATTCTGAATTGAGAGAAGATGCTGAAGACAATGCATTTCCTTACAGAGAAGCAGTTGGAGCTCTCGCATACCTTATGGTAGGAACAAGACCCGATATTGCCTATGCAGTTGGGGTTGCCTCTAGACACTTAGAAACTCCTACAAAAACAGATATTACAAAAGTGAAACGAATATTTCGCTATTTGAATGGTACAAGGGATTACGGCATTACCTACAGGAAAGATACAAAGAAAGAACTGATCTGTTACAGCGATGCTGATCATGGTGGTGATCCTGACTCTGGAAGATCGACTTCAGGCCTAGTATGTATTTATGGAGGTCTAATATCATGGCGAAGTCAACTACAGACATCAGTAGCGATTTCAAGCACTGAAGCCGAAATTGTAGCCGCTAGCGAAGCCGCTAGAGAAATAATATGGCTTAAACGTTTTATTGAAGGTATAGAACAACCAACGAGTATTCCTATTCTGTACTTAGATAACGAATCAGCCATCAAACTTGCATTAAATCCACCATATGAGTTCCACAACAGAACGAAACATATTAAGCTAAGACATTTCTTTATTCGAGAAGGCATAGCTGATGGGAACATGAAGATTGCAAAGATAGATACTGAACTTCAAGTTGCGGACATGTTCACCAAGGCACTCTATAAACCAAGATTGGTGATGCTATGCCAACAGATTAATGTATATACATAATTTACAGATACTAGATCCTGAGAAAGGAACCATGAGCTTCAAGAGAAGATGTTAGACTTTGTAGCATATCAACCTATGTAGATGAAACTATGGTTACCTTTCTGTTACTGGTTAGTTATACTTACTATAGATGTCATTGTGTATCTAAATAAAATTCTGTCTATTTTTCCTTTGAACAATTCGTAATCTTATTTTTTTCCTAAATATCTTCATAATAAATAACACGGACTCTATTTATCATAAAGATTATTTCGGAATGAAAATATTACTATATGTTATACGACAAGCGAAAGATGTCGAGATAACATTAAAATACTAATTATATCCTTTAGCTTTGCCCGCGTGTATCTAAATTAATATTGTACAGAGAAATATTATGATTTATAGTTTGTAGTGGACAATCTCAAAAAATCATCATCATTATTATCATGAATGTTCTATTTTATTAACTTTTTCAAGTACAAAAAGCAACTTTATTAAAGAATTTATAAGATCTATTTTATTTAAAAAAACCGTACAAAGTCAGGGTGAATTGTTATACAATTCATGAAATATCTCACTTAAATTAGGATATAACTTAAACGTATACCGAATTTCATTTAAATCTGTTCAGTAGTTTTTACATGAAAAATTAATAAACATCTATCCAAACATCCTCAGTTCCCACAAACTTTTATGTTTATTATACGTAAGAAAATTCAATACAACCGTAGAAAAAAGACAGGGTCTATTCTTTACCTATGATATATTCATAGGTTAAGAATACAATCTGGTCGAACATTATATGACATGACCAATACTATTTGTATTTTAATATACTTAATAACTACCAGTTTAACTTACGTGTAATTTGATCGAGAAAATTCTATTAGTATGAACGATGGTGCTGCCTCTGCTGGTCAATTTAGAAACTAAGTTTTGTTTTTTTTTTTTTCACAAAATCGCAAATAGTATTATTTGTTCCCAAAAAGTATATTTAATTTATTAATATGCTATCATACTACTTAATACTATCTTTTGTCATGTACATGAGATAATTGTACTACATAACACAATTTTTCTAACATTTGGCAATTGTTCGCAGTGTTCGTGCAGTATTTATTGTATACGACAAAGTTACAAATCTATTTATATATATTAAAAAGGATGCTAATTAATCGATTAATCCATATATCAACACACTGCCGTTGAATCTCGTAATTTTGCAGATAGGTTCTTTATATAGTGCATGTGAAAAATAAGAAAGGAATTTTGGAAATTCTACCCCCATAGAGGTTGAATTAAGTACCGCATGGTTAACATGCGTTGAAAATTTGTATGGAGACTGCGTTATTAGCTAGAACCAGAGGGTCTACCATGAAATATTTTCCAAAATTTCGGGGACGAACGAAATAGAAATTTGATGTTAAAATTACAAAATACATGCCGTTTAAAATTATTAAAAATATTAAATTATCGTTCCTCTGGACTATTAAGATAGGATTTATGATAAATGAAAGGCTAAGCTCCATTTACTGGCTCGATTTAGGTACGAACAAAAACACGAAATTAACCCCGAAAAATTCAGAATTTCATTTCATGGTAGACCCCCAGGAAACATGAAACTAGTTCTAGAGTTCTGATTAAAAGTAAATAAAATAATTTTCAGTGTTTTTAGACATTTTATCCCCAAAGGGATGAAATGGTGGATAAATTTTCATCCACCATTTCATCCCTTTGGGGATAAAATGTATAGAAATTCTGTTCTTTGTGAAGTTATAACCTTAGGTTAGAATAAAATGTTTATTAGCAAATATTGGAAATTCTGTCCCTAAGAAAATAAAATAGGGGATGATTTGGTATAGACAAAAATTTCTACATATATTTGTTAATTTTAAGTTAAATAAGAGAAGTCTTAAATTTAGTCTTTTTATAAGAAATAAAGTGTTTTTTTTTTTTAGGAATCAAATACCACATTGAATAAATAGAATAAAATATCATATATTAAATCTGACTCCTTAGAATGGTAACGTATAGGGGGTGTCATGGGCGAAACATTATACTCTGTTATGTCCATGGTACTGCTCATGTCTATAGGCAAGGGTTACTATTTTCCATCAGGTGGGCCGTCAGCTTGTTTCCATTCTAAGTTGAATAAAAAAAAGCCGCACGCGAGCAAAGACCCAGACAAAAGCTAGTTTTTTTTATTTTCGAAGTGCTTTAATATTATTAGTCGTAGATTTTCAACTTTAGTTTTCAATATATTCAACTTTATTTAAAAAAAGTAATTTAAAGAATTACTTAACTATGCCCCCAAAAGGGTCGAGCCTGTATCTGGGGAACCTATTAAATTATATACACTTTTAAATTTGTGTTAACTGTTACAGTAACTGTTATTGAGATTGTCTTTAAACAAGGCGAGTGTATATGGCGCTCCAAACCCGCGGAAGAATTTATAAAGCGGTCTTTTGGCGTCTTTCCCCATCGGACATGACATTTTAGTTTAAGAGCAAATGCAAAACGCAACTGCTTCTTCTATATATACATTTTATACTAATAGATGCTAGTTCAACCCATTCAAATGTAGGATTAGGTTGTGTTGTGTCCATAGATTGAGTACTTGCGCTTTATTATAAATGCTTGAAATTGGAGGGATAGATTAAGAATAGTGTTTGACATTGACATTTTACAAGTTGACATGCTATTTAATTGTCTATGCTGTGTATTTCTATAATTTTTCTTTCTAAAAGTTGTGAACATGGCGGTGGGTGTTTTTATAATACATAAATATGTTTATCCGATTACATCTGTGTCCATCACTTAATTTTGATATTTCAGTTTTATAAAAGTGTTTCACTATTATCTTGAGATTATGTTCTCAGTCATATTTCCGTTGTTAAGTGCAATTCCTCTAAATAGTTTCGGCATAACATAACCTACTTTGAGCACTTTAAACTAAATTCTATGGTAAAAAGAAAATTTGAATTAAAAATTTATATTTCAGCGAGCACCACCAGCTGCGGCGAAAAAAGAAAAAAAGGAGAAGAAGGTACCTAAAGACAAATCGAAAAATGTTATGAGAAATCTTCATATCAGGAAACTGTGTCTGAACATCTGTGTAGGAGAATCTGGTGATAGGCTTACTCGTGCTGCTAAGGTACATTTATTATTTGAAGTTTGATAAACTATTTTACTCGATTTTGAAGCATGAAATGTTCAAGACTCACATTGTTGTGTTTCTTTGTAAATTCATGCAAGAGCAAAATATTTCTCATTTGCAACTTCTAAATACTAATTTTTTACTATTTAGAATACTCGAAGAAATAACAAAGGAAAATGTGCAAGTCTAATATTAATATAACAAATATTATTACAATCATTATGAATATGTGTAGACATTCATAAAAATTAGTCTTCTACAAATATATTTTACCTATTACACTGTTTTGTTACTTTCATTCAAATTTGTAATTTAATTCAAAAGAAAGAGACAAAACATTTCAATAGCTAGCTAAAATAGGTTGATGAAAATAAGTTTTTTTTTTCTGAATAAGAGGATCAGACTGACCTTTGATTCTGATAACAAAAAGTAATTGTTATTTAAATTGTTATTAAGTTATTTGTAATTTCAGGTGTTGGAACAGCTTACTGGTCAGCAACCTGTGTTCTCAAAGGCTCGCTATACTGTGCGTTCCTTTGGTATTCGTCGTAATGAAAAAATTGCTGTCCACTGTACTGTCCGTGGCGCTAAAGCAGAGGAAATCCTTGAAAGAGGTTTGAAGGTGGGTTTCAATTATTTAAAAGGTATATTGTTATAGTTGTGAGCTAAACATATAAGTATCTTGTAGTATTTCAAATTAATGTGTGGTTTCTCTGTTCAAATAAACACAAATTCATCTAAATCAGCAATTTCAGTTTAATTGAAGAACAAACATCTGCAAATTTTTACTCAATTGTATTACAAATTGCTGTTGTATAACTAATGAAAGTGATTATTACTAGCTTCATTGAATTTGGTAACCTTTTTATTTCATTATCTTTATTTTTGTTGTGCTAAATTTGTTTAAAATATTTTACTGACCATTAAGAATGTATACAAATAATTCTTTATGGTTTGTGTGAAAAAACCTGTAATATTTTGTATATAATAAATAAATAACAGAGACTTGAAAAAGGAAGCATTTGATATTCCATCTTTATGCCTACTCCATTAGATAACAGGCATGTATGTATGTAAAATGAAAAAAAAATCTTCCTAGAAGACCTACTGATAGTATTTCTGAATGTAGATTAAGCATATTGAAAGGTTTATAAACATCTTAAAAGTTGGCATAAAATGATAGTTGCTATAAGATTTCACAATTAAATATAAAAAATAAAAGTTACTATAGATAGTAAAATAAGATAGAAATCACAAAAGCCCTACTGTGGTTACCAACCCCAGGAGCTTGACATGTGTTATAAAAATGATGAAGCTAGAAATTAATTTTAATTACAATTATTATGTTTTCATTTCCAGGTCAGAGAATATGAATTGAGACGTGACAACTTCTCAGCCACTGGAAACTTTGGATTTGGTATTCAAGAACACATTGATCTTGGCATCAAGTATGATCCCTCCATTGGTATCTACGGTTTGGATTTCTATGTTGTTCTTGGGCGACCTGGTAATTATATTATTTCTTAGTTGATTTTTAATGCATTTAGTATATATACTACCTTAATAGGGTGATATCTTGAGCTATATATATTACTGACTAGCTATTTTAAGTCGCTTTCCCCATGTGAATCAATACATATCCTATGCTAATTAAGGATATGATAATGTGTACTAATCTTCATTTAAATCCATTCAGTTGTTTTTTTTTTTGCATGAAACAGTAACAAACATCTGTCCATCTATCCTTACCTTTTACATTTAAATTCAATAGGATTTAATATATTTTACTGACTGCTTATTTCTGTCTGTATTTATCTGTAGGTTTTTTAATATAAGTAGATGAAGTCCCTTGTGAAGTCACCACATACTTTTTAGTATTCAAATAAAATATACCTCTTGAGTTTATGGGCACATTACACAGCATCAGCTAGATCCATGCTAAGCAGAGTTTGTATTATGAGTACTAGAAACTACACCATGTATTATTTGCATGTATCTGCACATTTGTTCAAGGGAGAATATACATCTATCTTCTCTCTGTAAATCATGTGCTAAATTGAAACTTAGCTTTTAGAGAGTAAAACTCGTCATTTATCTCTTAATAAGATTAAGGTACATTAATTAAACAAAATTTAATATGTGAAATTCATAACTGTTAATATATCTTAAATAGCTGCCTGACCTGTGCTTTAATATGCATATATGGTGTTTAGTTGATGTCTTTTTATTGAAGTATAAAGACTATGAAATATGTATTTATGTGATTGTCTTTTTGCAGGGTTCAATGTTGCTCACAGAAGACGTAAGACTGGCAAGGTTGGGTTCGCTCATCGCTTGACAAAAGAGGATGCCATGAAGTGGTTCCAACAGAAGTACGATGGTATCATTCTTAACAGCAAAAAGTAAATTAAGTAAAAAACATACATAAATGTATCTGCCTTTTATTACATTTTTCCTATTATCGTATTTATTTATTATAATATTATGATATAACTGTGTTAAACATTTATTAAAGAAGCGGGAGACTAATCCTGGACCGACCTGGATGCTTACAACCCCGTGCCTAATTTGATATATATAAATTAAAGTTTGCGATTGAAAGGCTAATTTATGTTCATGAATCTGATAAAAAAAAATATATCGCTATATGAAGACAGGGTACCAGTAAGGAATGATAGATGTGGATGGAAGCAGGTCAGTTGACCTATCATGACGAATTCAAGAATTCTACTACGCTGAGATTGCCTGGAGGTCAACTTGAGGGTATATTGCTAGTAATGGGGCAGTTAGACTTATTAGTAATCCCTTTCCCTCCAATATACAGTAGTACACTCTTCTACAATCATACTGTATAATTTATGTTTTTAATAGGCGAAAATGAAATTGTAACACCGCTTGCCTTATCGGTAAACTGGCATGAATGATGATGGGTGAAAGAAATAAAGCAATTAACCAATTGATCATTGGTCAATCGCAGCGAATTCCACAAGAATTTACCACGCTGCTTTCCAGGAGGAGCCATGTAGGTCGACCTGATAGGCTATATTTTTAGTAATGGAGCTTTTAGACTTTCATTATCTTTTCCACCTAGTATAACGTACTTATTCCAAGCCTAATAATAATGGTATATAAATATGGCATCAGCGAAACAAAACTATGAAATAACTCTTGTCAATTAGCCCAACTTAGAGAATCCACTATACATTAACCACGATACTTTCTGGGGGATCGGTGTAAAAATCTACCTAACGATTTATTGTAAGCAATGGGACTAACTTGTCCATTACGAACTTTTTCCTTTCCTCTTCTCTATGGATTACAAGTGGTAGATGAATAGATAAGTATAATATCTATGGTGTTCTTTTTCACTGTGGTAGTTGTTATTTATTAAATGAAAAATAAAAATATTCAGATAAAAAGCACCTACTTTTTCTAGGGGAACTAGGTTGTTTATGCTATCTACAATGCTAATTATTTCTAGCTATCTATTTACAATTATAACATTAGATACATAATAACAACTGGTATTTGGTTTCTATAACAACAATTTGTTTAGTCATCATATCCACAGGATATAATATTTGTTACATGGTAACCAAATTTCTTTTAGCGTTGTTAGTATTAAACCAAAGAGATAAGTTTCTGCAACATATTAGAATGGCTGGCAAGTTTGGGAGTTATGAAGATGACGAGGAAGATGTACTGGCTCCAAAGGAACCACAGGTTACATCCCAAGACCCTGAAGAGCGTAAAGCTGGTAGAGCTTTACGTATCAAAAAAAGACAGGAAGCTTTGAAAAGGTATACATTTAAAAGCTCATTTTCACATAGACGAGCACTTCAAAACAGAATCTAAATAGTCGTATTAAATTAGGATTTATCCGGTGATGAATTATTTTCGCGGTAATATTACCAATTATGGACTTTTAGTCTAGGCTGGAGTATTTACCAGTAATTTTTTTTATTTATAATACCCCTCTTCATAATGATTACCATTACCACTTTTCAGCAAGAGGGACGTCAGCTTGTTTTTCATTCTAAATAGTATAAAAAACACCTTAGTTACTTTTAGTCTAGAGATCTCGGCTAGATTTTTTAGACTATTCTTATCTGAATGTTAAAGAGCATGAAAAATTTATTAATTATTTTACATATGTTGCTCAATACGCATTTACAGTATTACGTACTGTATACTTATAAGTAACGGTCAAGTCATATGAGAAATGACACATATACAGAAATGTTTTTTAGTCTCTGATGAGTTGAAAGTTAAAAAAATGGCAAAGAATTGAAGTGCCTAACAGTTACTCTATTCTTTGGTCGTTAGTTAATAAATATTCGTATTCACTACTAATCACTGCACTACTAAATACTCACGAACATATAGTTATGTATGTAAAAAAAAATGGCTCCTCTGCACCTCAGAATCAACCCCAATGTTATTTAACGAATAGAATATACCTACGATATGAAAAATTAAAAAGTAATCTATTATTATTATTGCAGGTATTGAAACAATTTTGAATACAAAATAATTTATTTGGGTAAGAATTAATAAATAGGTTTGAATAATATGTACAACGCGACAGCATTATTTTTTCTATTTTTATGACTTATTAAATTCGTAATATGTATTGAATAGATTAGCCTATCTGAACAATTTAAAAAGTAATCTACATAAATTGAAACAGTTTTAAAAACAATATGATTTATTTGGATAAGGATTTAAACAGAAGTATGAATAACATGGTGTAATTTTGGTCGGTATTGCTATCAACTTTTAAAATGTAAAAAGTGGTTATTGTGAGATAACGATAATAGTTGGACATATAGTATGGCGAACTTTTTTGTAGTTATTTTTATTATTTTCAATATTGTAGAACATACTTTTTTTTTATCACGAATAGTTTCCGTAGCGCACGCGACGAAAGATATTTTATAGCATTTTTTTTAAAACCTTGAGTTACGTTACTAAAGTTTTAGTAAGGATCCCTAATCTTTTCTAGCAATAAATATAACCTATGTTACTCAGGGCGAATGTAGCTTTCTAATGGTGAAAGAATTTTTGAAATCGTCAAAGTAGTTTTTGAGTTTATTTATTACAAACATACATACACACAAAAATACAAATCTTTCCTCTTTATATTAGTGGCAAGTGGCAACAATAGTGACTCGATATTGTGTTTCAATTTTATCTTCAGACTCAAATACATTATAGAGGGAGTAGGGATCGTTATTCATTGGGACTAGCGGCCCCATTGTTAGTAATGTACCCCGTCAGGTCGACCTTCACGCGGTTCCCTCTGGATACCATCATGATTAATTATTAAAAATTCGTCACGGAGAGCCAATTGACTTGCTTTCTTGTTCATCTATCATTCCTTAGTGGTAACCGACTGGAGGGGAAGGGTTTTGTTAGTAATGAGGCCTAGCAGTCCCAATACTAGCAATATCTCTATCAGGTCGACGAATGATGACATTATCGACGAATTTTAGGTGTATTCATAAAAAAAATTGCCTGCGCTATCAGTATACTTTGTGCGGGGTTCCAGTTTTTTTTAATGATGATAATGAAACAGTAATCCCGTCTGGGCTAACGATATGCGTTGACGGGGCACCAATGAAGGATGATAGATGAGAATGAAAAGGCAGGACTATCGCAACGAAATTGACAATAATTAATTAGGATGGTTTCCAGGGGTAACCGCGTGGAAGTCGACCTGATAAGGTATATTGCTAGTAATGGAGATTAACGTCCCCATTACTAACAATCCTTCTGCGCAGGCGGAGTATTAAGGAATGAGAATGGAATGGTAACCCCGCTTGCGGTATTGGCATACGCTGGCTGGGCATCAGTGAAGGATGATAGGTGAGAATGACAGCAGGTTAATTGGCTCTTCGTGCCCAATTCAAGCAACAATCACGATGGTCGCCGCCGCCGATTTTCTCTATTCTTTAGGTAGTAATTATAATCGTATGCGTAAATTATTGATAGGCTTACATTTTCCATGACTGTAGAGCGGAACAGCAGACCGATGAGACTAGCGGTGAAGAAGAACCAGGCCCTATCGAACAGGCGACGGCACTTGCAGCTGAAGAACTTCAACGTTTAGCACTAGATGGCGCTGCCAAAGTCACCAATGTTAAAGTTACAACTGATGAGCGGGAAGTCATCCGACGGACACTCTTTTCGGAAAAAATGAATCGTTCGTTATCACCCATTATTTATTGTGAAACTAGCTTTTATCCACGTCTTCATCCACGTGACTGAAATTATATTGATTACTCGGGATAAAAACTACCTAACCTTATGAGTATGAGATTCTTCAAAAAAAAGTATATTAATATTTCTTCTGCGTTGGCAATGCGCAAGTGACACTCCTAGTCTTGCAGGCGTTCATAACCTACAGTAATCGTTTACCATCAGACGGGCTGTATACTTGTCACCTTTGTGATATAGAAAAAAAAAAAATGGACTAATAATTATATATGTTCCCGCCATGACACCGTCATCTAGTCCCATATTTTTTAAGGATTTTTTTATGTATTTATAACCTGTTTATAATTCAGGTTCTGTAAAAAAAATAGAAGAGGAAGCTGCTGATGCACAATTGCAATATGAAGCAATAACGTCCAACTGGGATGTGATGTTGACAATAAAAGACCCTTTAGACATTGATATGGAAATTAAGGCCCAGAAACAAAAGTGCGACGACTTGTTAGCACAAAAGAATAGCCTTATTGACGAGCTAAAGAGCGATCTCAAGCGAATGGATGAAGCTTATTACGAAGATTTAGATAAACAAGTTTGTTATATATATAATTTTAAATTATATTCCCGTGGCATATAGAATAGATAGCATGAAAAGAGATGTGTTGTTTCATTTATTTTTTTATTTTTAGGATAAAGACATAAAAGAATTATCGGATAGAATCGAAAAGCAAGTGACTATTATGCAAAGAGCTTACGAAAAGCAGCTAAGTCTGATTGAACTCGCTATCAATATAGAACGGGATGCCATGGTTGATCACAATAACAAACGATGGGAAGCACTCTATAAACAGCGTGATAGAGAAGAAATTGCTCATATGGAATATAAGTTCGGACAGGTATTCAATTTTAACTCAGAATACTAAAGTATTCATAATAATTTACATTCTACAATACAATTAAAATAATAATTATACAAAATAAATAATTTTATCTATAGTTGGAAGAACATAAAGCAGAGATAGAAGCTATTATGTGGGACCACCACGAAAAATATCGTGAGGCTAAAATTGAACTCGAATCATTGATTCAAGAACTACAAAAAGAACTGGAGAAACTAAAAGCTACATGTATTATAAATACGGAGAAAATCGGCTACAATTATCAGGTAAATATAAATATTATAATATTTTCGATATGTAATTATTCAATGATTCAGATTTTATAGTATATATTATTCAGCAGTTGCAAAAGCGAATGGATTGTAAAAATATACCAACATCTGAAAACGTAGACACAAGGGTAATTATTAAACCGCCAATATTATTTCAGGTGTTAAAAAAACGTGAAGAAGAAAATGTCTTCGTAAGATCACAACAGAAACGGAAACTAAACAAAATGTCAGATATAGCTAACAATCTGCGGTCGAAAATACGAAAGGCAGCCGAGGATGGTGCCATCGAGGAAATCAAAGCTGACGCTGAAATTGTTAAACTTATGCAAACAATGGAGGATTTGGAAAAGAAATCTGAGCATTTCTCTCATGTGAATCACTACAAGTTCAGTCAGGTGTGGCGTATGTCTGCCGCGAGGTGTTCCCAGCTCTTACGGGAACTACGACAGGCAGAAGTGGCGTTGCATGCCCACGTCTTGTCTGAACCACCGCCGCAGCCATCAGCGCCACCTCCAAAAAGTCCTTTATCTAAATATGGTAAATATTATATTTAAGTCAAACAGATAAAGTTTTAGTGTTACAGACATTAAAACTATGACATATAATATTGCTAGCAATGAAGCTACTAGTCCCCTCGCTGTTCCCTTTATATATGCGTGATCCCATTTATATAAAAGTATTTGAACTGCATTATGTAATTTCCAGAACATGAAGATTTAGACAAAAATGTGCAAAGTTCGATAATGCCAAAAGAGCCCGTAGATCCTAATAATAAGATTGCGCAAGAAGAAAAGGATAAACTTGTAAGCGAATCAAAATTACAATGAATGAAAGAGCTTCATATTTACTGATCTATATAATATAATTGTGATTATACTTCCTTTCAATTTTAGGTTCGACATATATTGCAACTAGTAGCAGACAATACGGGATTTTTAGTTGAAGATCGTCTATTAAAATTAATTGAAAAATATCAATTAACATCCCGAAATCTATGCACATTAGACTCTATTTTTATGGTAAATATAATGATGTTTTATTTGAGACTCCAACTTGGCAGGGATGGTCGACAAGAGCAATATTTAAAATATTATATTAGCTGCAATTTTACATTACGACCACAATACATATATTATGTTAATAAGTAGTTATAGGCACACAAAACAATAGTTAGCTAACTTTTACTTAGAGCAGTGTTTTTCAATCTTTTTCATGACGCGACCCCCTTATTATGTAAACATATCTTACGATCCCTTTAGTATGTAAAAATATCTTGCGACCCCTTACCCTCCACGGTTTCGAATGTGTATGAATTTTATTATAGGACAATTATGAAATCCGTATAGTTGTATTTATATTCAAGGTTAGATATCGATAAAATAAAATAAATAGTACATAATAAAGTGTCTAAAACAGACATGTAATCGATATCTGTTATAGATACTTCATTATGCATTATTGATTGATTTATGTTTTTACGGATTTTTTTTTCACTGCTTCGCGACCTTCTGTGACCCCCAGGGGTCGCGACCCATACTTTGATAAACACTGACTTAGACTAATAAGGCGAATTGTTTTCTCAACTACCCTATTTATAATTTTAATAATCCTTTTAGCTTGACAACTTCGTACGCGGCTTTCTCTGAAGTCTACAGAGCACCCCTATGCTATATTATCTATAGCTGTATATAATACACTCTTGTACATAAGTTACCATCAAGTTGTTGGGTTATACTGGCCGATTTTTTAACGCGTTATATTCTTTTAAGGCCCTTGAAATTCAAGCTGAAGAGGACATTGAACTACTATGCAAGACATTCTTAAATTATGCGTTTTGTCCTATTTGTGTTGGTATGGATGCAGCATCCGAAATGATGGAACCATCAACTACTATATTGACAAACGAAGACTCTTCACAACATGCCAGTATTAGTGCTAAAGGAATGAGGGGTAATCACGTTTTTTTTTTTATAAATTTTATAACTATTTACCTAATAGTAATTATGTTTATAATTAATATAACAACCCACTTACCAAGTGTGGCAACTAATGCCAAACCTCCTCTTGTGGAGGAGGCCTATGTTCAACAGTGGGCAGTTAACAGCTGATATAATAAAAAAATAATACTGTTTATAATCAATACTCGTATTTTGTCTGCTAGTCGACAGGCCGTCATTGCGAGGGCGTGCAAGTATAGCTAGAAGCGTTTCTGCAAGCACCTCTCGCTCTGCCCATGTTGGATTTAAGTAAGAGCATTAGTACTTACTACTAATATTATTGGCCTTTTTACATATATTACTAACTTTTACCCGTGACTTCTTCTTCCGCGTAACTGGGATTTGCTTACTGATCAGGATAAAAAGTAGCCTATGTCCTTCTCCATCACATATATAGTGCAATAATAGATTGGTTAAACCATTAAGGCGCTGTGAGGTAACAAACAAACAAACTTCCACTTTCAACTTTGAAATATTAGTAATAATAATAACAATTAACTTATGGTCCCCCTTAGAATTGGTAACAGCATCCCGTGAATGCTTGCACAATATCTTGAATCGCAATAAATTTAACTACCATTATTGTTATGGCTATTCCTAACGTATCGCAGTATGCAAGTAAGCTGCCTGTCTATAGACTATTTATATATTGTATATAAACTTTGTAGTTTATATATAAATGATATTGATTACGAAATCAATATTAAGTTTACTTGCCTGGAATTCATCATAAAATTTCGTGTAGCTTGTAAGTATTTTAGTTTACATTATAAATTCTTAATTCTAATTTGCATTTATTTACCTAGGGCTCATGAATTATCCCCAGCTGACCAACTACTGATGGCTGAAGCAGATGAAATCATACAAAAATGTGGTGACCCTCAAAGTAGGTTTTTATAAATAAGATATAAATATATGGTCTTTTTTAAACTGCCAATTTTCATCCCACGTTTTTCTTTGCAACATTCTGTAGCATGTAGTATTGTAGTATGCAAATTATATGAACATATATTTGCATAAGCGCCTAAAAGAAAAACTTCGCGTGAGAACATCCGATACGTGAAATTCGTAGTGGATTTTCACTTTTAACAGTCATTCATATCGAACAAAATTGGAAATAGGAGAATTCTATTTTATTTATCAATTTTAAAAGGTCGTAGTGAAATTTGGACGCCTTCAGACTACTTTATCAAAATTAGCTTTTGCTAACCTAGAAGAACCTCAGAACTCTATCTGAATTTACATCTGAGTCATACCTATGCACAGCTACTAGGGTTTTTTTATAAATCTACCAACAATGAAATTAAAATAGTTGTAAAATTCAAATTTTAGATGTAATAATAAAATGAAAAATAAACTTCACCATGTTCAACATAACTGGCAAAAAAAAAATATTGCTACAATCTAAGTTTAATAATTAAATTCTAAGGTTAATAATGTAAATGCATTTGCAACACATTCTATTCAGAATTTTCTTTTTTGTGTGATCTTACTAAATAATTAACTTTACGTTTTCATATCTTTTACTTTCGTATACTTATTAACTGCAACAATTTGTCATCTAGCCTAAGTGCCTATTTGTTTCTAGCTACTGTATCTGTGACCGGTGGAGGCTCTGATTCTGCGGGTCCTACATCGTCACGACGCGCGGGTGCCCGAGGCGTCACGGTTTCCTCGCAACCGACCGTAGCCACGACAAGGACGACAAATCCTTTTCTTTGCCCTGGTCAGCAATTATTTCCTCTATATACATTACTAGCAATCCGCTCCAGCTTCGCACGAGTAAATATATAGAAAGATAAATTAGTATTTTATTTTAGCAATATGAAATAATATTATGTTTATTATTCTTATTTTATATGCAAATTTTTGTTACTTTGGATTACATTACTGTAATTTTAGTAGGGACTTTTATTTTTTATGCAAATAATATATAGCCTATGTTACTCATTGATAATGTAGCTTTTATATAGGCGAAAGAATTTTTAAAATGGGTTGTGTATTTTTTGAGTTTATACGTTACAAACATACAAAATGTCAAATCTATTTACAATATTATTATAGAAAAACGAAAATGCAATACTTAATATTATATTTTGGTGGTTTTCAAACGGATTTGATATTTGGATTGAGATGAGGAGGTATCTACTTCAATTCCTGACATAAGTACTTTAGCGTTTCAAGTTGTGATGATACGTGCTGCTGTATACTAAATTAATAAAGATAATATTATATTAGTTATTACAGACTATTGTACGATATTTCGTATTATGCTGGTAGATTTGGCCCCTGCCACATTCAAGTCATTCTTACGGAAATATTATCATTTCGAGTCTTATTATCATCACAACAAGTCAACAAATACAAGACTACATCTCTATATGATGGGTATGACCCATCATACAGACATATTTTTTTTATGTAATCGATTACGAAGTGATTGTGCAGTGTTTGTTAATTTGGTATGATTACCTATTTAACAAACATAGGCTGATGTCTGCGGACTGTTTTAGTAATGTATTTGAAAGGCGTTTAATTTAGAAGCTAGACTTATTCAGTTAAATAATAAAATTTTAGTTTATTTAAACCTAATTTTATCTCGTTATTCGGCAGTCAGCAATATCCTTTAGATTTTTGATAACATAATTTCACTGACGATTTTTTTTTTATTCCAATAATTTATTTTCCTTTTTAGTTGGGCATTATCTTGAAATCGAACCTATGCAAGTGCTGACAGCTCTGGGTGAATTTATTTCTGTTTTTGTACCACCCGAGAAGAAGAAGCTTTACGATATTTTGTAAGTAATATAAATGGAATTGGAAATGAGTGACTTGTGTGAGTTGTGCACTACAACGGCATTCACGTTATACCGTATCAGGTCGACCTTCACGCGGTTTCCCTGGAAATTGTCGTGATTAATTCTTGTTAAAGTCGTCACGATGGATCTTCTGATCTGCTTTCACCCTCACCTATCATTTAATACTGCTGCCCCGCCAGTGTATACTGATAGCGCAGGCGGGGTTACTATTCCATACTCTATACAAAAAAGACCGCATTCCTGTGTACGTCCAATTGGTATTCAACTAGATGAATTCTCATTAGGTTTTCAATAACAAATTCTCCTCTAGAAACAGTTTCAGAACCTCAGATTTTCATATAATCATCGATGTAAAGATAGCTGTAACGTAAATCTTCACATGAGTCATGGTGGCTACTTTTAATGTGTATTGTTTGGAATACCATTTCATATAAGTAAGCACTTTAATCTAAAGATAATATATCTTTTTTATTATTAATGCATCAGCTGTTAGTTGTCCACTGTTGAACATAGCCCTCCTTCATAAAAGGGGTATTTTCAGTAGTTGCCACGCTTGGCAGGCAGGTTGGCAACCGCGATTTGCTGGTTTTTTTTTGATGGGTGAAAATGGAATGGTAACCCCGCCTGCGCTAACGGGATACGCTGGCGGAGCAGTAAAGGGTGATCAATGAGAATGAAAACAGGCCAGTTAGCCCATCCTGACGAATTCAATTAGAATTAGCCACGATGGTTTCCAGGGGGAACCGCGTGGAGGTCGACCTGACAGGGTATATTGCTAACAATGGAACTGATAGCTCGTATTACTAACAATCCCTTCCCCCCTGGCAACCGCAGTTAGGCTTTGGTGACTACCATTAAGTTCCATTAGTCGCCTCTTATGACACGAGAAAGGAAGGGGTGACCCTTTTTATGCCGGGACCACACAGCATAAAGATAATAGTATAGTATTATATAATCTATGTAAAGTTATGTACTTATTGCTTTTAGGGATAGCGTAAAGCCACCAAACTTTAGTACGCCGTCAAGAAAACTAACAACTGAGGAGATTACGCAGTATTGGGCGCAATGGAAGAACGTATTCCCTTTTGAAAAAGATCATTTCTGGGATGGACTTCTCACGGGCCTAAATAATTATTTACCTATTTTACAAGGTTAGTCAACCATTATTAAATACCAAAAAACTAGCATTATTTCATAATTTCGTCTGTGTGATTCTTTGGTACTTCAAATCTGTTTAATCTGTTAGAATAAAATTACTAAAATACTATACTAAATTTGCACGGGCACGCCCCCCACCCCTACATACGTCAATGCGTGTTATCCAAGTATGTAAATACAGGGTATCAGAAAGGGAATTTTATCCGATAACACAAAAGCCTGTCAATCTGCATAGACCTTTATAGCCATGCGATATTTTTTCTCTATTCCTAGAACGCGAACGACTTCATGAGGAAGTGATGATGCTGCGAAGTCGGAATGCGGCGCTGAGACGGCTCGTACGTGGCGCGTTGCCCGATCTGCCGTCAGCACCGCCGCGTTACGTTCGACCCGCGCCGCCAGCATTTATTGCATCACACCCAGACAATGCGCCTGAGCACTACGCAAAACTACCCCCAATCTAAAGCTGTGTTTTCAGTGTTTTTTATTTAGTAGGGACTAGCAGCTAAACGTTTCTAAACAATAAAATTTCATATTCTTTTGTATTGTATTCTTTTGATAGAATTCTTTTGTGTTCTTTACATGACAATAGTTATTAAATTTATTGGATAAACAAAGAGACTTGTTATGAAATAATTAAAACTAATTAATTCTCATATAAGCGAATTGAGGGTAGGTACTTGCAACGTCTATATGGCTACGTATAGTTCATATAAGGCAAGATTGCTTAATAAACCACACGTAACCATATAGGCAACATGTTTTTTTTATTGGTGAAAATAAAATTATAACTCCGCCTAAGCTGTCGTTATCGTGACGAACTCTACAAAAATTAATCACGGTGGTTTCCAGGGGTACTAGCGTAGAGGTCGACCTGATGTAATGCTAGCAATGGGGCCTTTAGACTTCTTATTGATATTCTCTTTCTCCTAGGCAACATGTTACTTGGCAAAGTTAACAAACACTTGTAACGTTAAAAATTCATGAAATAAGAATCTTGACTCTTATTATGCGGGCTACCTTTATGGAAAAAAATTCGTTAAAAAAAAAGTGCGAAAATTTCATAATAAGTAGTATGAATTTTTATTTTTATTTTTTTTGTAAACTGAAAAAGTTTTATTAAGTTCAAAGATTCTTTACTTGACATAAAAAGTCACATTAATTATAAGATTATCTACTCTTCCAGTAGAGTTTTTCAGAGTTAATAAAACTTTTAATAGAGAATTTTTCAGCAGATAATTAGTGTGGCTGTTGGAAAGGTTATCGTGGAAATTTTTCTACTAAAGAAGGAAAGAGAAAAATAATTTATTAAGTAACATACATGAACATTACAAGAAATTGTTTTCGATTGTTAACTTTTGTAATTCTAACTCAATAAAAAGGCTAATACTCAATATGTGTTAGGAGTCCTTACGGCTCACCGACGCTACATGTAAGAGCCTATATTAAGAACGTTCGTCATTCATCAAATTCATCATAAAATTTGTAAGAATTCGGAAACGAAGACATTTGTTACTATTCAACTGACATTTGCATGACGGAAACAGGTGATTGACGTAATCAACTAATAATGCCAATGTCAATTATTTGACCAATGATCAATGAAATGTATATTTGACGTATGATAGAAAAGTGAAACATTAATAGCCATTTATTGTTAATTATCGTAAAAGGCAATTTTTTTATACTATTTATGAAAAAAATCTCTTTGATAACTTTTTGAAATAAAAATAGATACAAATAATTTAACTGTCAAGTAAGTAAATGATGTAGTTAGTGATTTTTTTGTATAATCTACCAATTAAAACTCCGGCGTGATTTTAGCGTATTTTTAATGTCCAAAGATCCTTTCGCTTAAGCGCAAACCACACTTAGGGCTAAGTAAAATTAATTTTCTTTTTATACATTAATTCACATTACGAACTATAGAGTTAAGTATATGTGAACTATTGAGTTAAGTAACCCAACAATACAGGTCAATCTAACTGGGGATTAAGGGAAGCTTTCTCTTGTTTATTTTATGTCTAAGTTCCTTTTATTACATATTTGTGGATTCTAGATGTACTCCAACACTTTTTTTATGTTGCAGAATCTTCAACCAAATTATTCAGTATGTTATTAAAAACTCTTTTCCATCTGTTTGGAGCTATACAGTTTTGTTATGGATGTTATTATGATGCTGTATATGTTAATATACCTGGTACTTCTGCACCACCATTTGGTGGAAAATTAAAATATTTGACATATTTAGATGCGGTGAGATTACTTTTTTATTTTTATACATGTAAACTAATAGAAATATTGTTTACTTATTATTGGATTAGATATTAACATGTGAGGCAATTTTAAAGACCTTTATAATTGTTGCTATAGTATTGCAAAAAATTTTTTTATATATTTATTATATCATACACTTGAGCACATTTTAACTTGTTATCTATGATATTATTATAAAACCTTTAAGCAATTTAAATATTTTTGGGCAATCCTATTTAAATATACAGAAACTAAATAATATTGATAAAGTATGAGCATGTAAAATGTTACTACATTCATTATGTTATGTTTTACAGTCAGGTTACAGTTGTGTATTTATTTTCTTAAAAAAAGAAATTTTTTTCAATTCTATTATTGAATCTTTGATAATTCTATAACAATTTAATATTTTTTACTTGTTTCTTTTGTCTATTAAAACTATATACTTTGTTACAGATAGTGCAGACTGTTTATTTTACAATAGCTTTACTCAATGACCTGTTTGGTAACAATGACACAACAGCATCTGAGAAACCACTGATTCGCCGAATAAAGGATATCCTGTTTTGTGCCCTTGCTTTCCCTGTAGCCATGTATGTTGGAATATCATTCTGGGGTATATATGCAGTGGACAGAGAATTAATTTTGCCTAGAAGTTTAGATCCATACTTTCCAAAATGGTTGAACCATGTAATGCATACTAATATTGTTGTCTTTATTTTAATCGAGCTTGTCACATCTTTCAGAATGTATCCAACAAGGAAAACTGCCATGACTATATTATCTACTTTTTTAATTGCTTATTTCATATGGCTTCATGTAATTTATTTCAAAACTGATAAGTGGGTCTACCCCATATTGGCTGTATTAAACTGGCCAATTAGAATTGTATTTTATTTGGTCAGTCTTGGCTTTGTTTCTAGTCTCTATTTTGTAGGTGAGAAATTAAATAGAATTGTATGGTCTAAGGAAGTAGAGCAAACTGTTAAATCTGGAAAAAAGAAAGCTAAATAATTATTATAGAATATTGTTTTATAAATATTTATGTACCAAATAGCTAGTAGAATTGTTTCGTAATTGTAGGGCTACCAGGTGAAGTTTAAAATGAAGGATAATATAGTTGATAAAAGGTAAGAATAGGTATAGCAATAATTATGAGCCTTGAATGATATCTGATAACATTCTACCCGATTTCGCTTTAGATTTTTATAGATGCTACATTATGTTCATGAATTTATTGATATTGTATTCAAAATCAAATAATTCATTAATAATATATACACATTTTGATGGCTAGCTGATTATATAATTTGCCTTATGTACAATACAATTAAATTATACTTAAACTTGAAAATAATATGTCTAATACATAGATAAACAGTTTATCTTGGCCAGTGTCAAGTCGTATGGTTTATACTAGTTTCAGGTAGTAATATATTTATACTAGCGTAAGTGTCGGAATGATAAACAAAAATTACCATGAAAATTAGAAAAGAACAAATAAGCAATAGAACCCAAAAAAGTATAATTTAGAATTAAGAGCGTATTTTAGCTTAACGAACTGTGGCAACGTCGCATTTGTCAATTTTCAAAAGCAATTAAAGAATTTTCAATATTTTTGACGTTGTCGTACTTCGTTAAGAACGCTCTTCTGAACAGATTTTAATAAAATTAATAATCTGGTAGGTATGAACCTAACATTATGGTAAATCTGATAACTGTACGTATGTTTATCAGAAGCAGCCTGCATTTTAAGAAGTAATATACCTAAAGTAGCCTAAACGTAAAATGAACTCTTTGACTAGATAACCATATTTAATGTTTGTATGACATATATTTATTAATTATCCCATAATATTACGAATTAAATTCGACTGCCACAAGAAAATATAGTGTTTTGTTTTTATTTTTGTTACATACTTTGACGTCGTAATATCAATATTTTGCTTATGTTTAGAATAATAGGTATTAAAAATAACTTATAATGACATGTACCTAGTTTTTGAGGCTATAATCCACACAAGTATTTTTTACCTAAAAATTCTTCTCTGTAAACATGTCTTAGTATTTTATATAAACACTACAGGATTGTCAATAGGTGAATTTAGGTATTTTTTTAACCATTTACTAACACTGAAGTTGGTTTACATTTTCTTTAAGTTCAGTTGAAACAGACTAATAAACTTGTTATCATAAATATCTAAATACAACAAAATATCTGGATATCTATGCTAATTATGAATGAAATTAATTTAGAATCTGAATTGAAAATGTGTACATCAGATGTTATAATTGACTTCTTTATTTAATGTTAATAAATTTATATTAACATACTTATTTAAATAATTTTTATGTCTATTCCAATGAAATAAAAAAATATCTTTAAATTCTCAGTAAAGGAATTAGGAACTTAGAATTGAGAGTTATTAAAAGCCTATATAAATAAAAAAAAATGTCGAATATAGGTATTATTAATTGAATATTTTAGAACTAATATACTGCCGTAAGATTCGGTATTTGTTAAACACAGTTTTTTAACATTGGACTTTCAACAAAATAAAAAAAGTATAATAATATATGTTAACATGACTATTTTATCAAGAAGAAAGCGTTTCTGCGTTTCGGACATTAATGAGAAATATTGAGTAGAAATTAGGGAGTAGGTTGTGATTTTATGATAATTATGTATCTAATTACCTACTTATATAATTTTTATTAGCTATAATTGTAATTTGTACTTAATGATAAAAATTGTGTGCATTTTAATTTATTCCAAATGATACCATGTATTTATTATAATTTTTTATACATTCCATTTGGTTTTGCTTAATCATATACACAAACATTCATATAGGTACATGCCGCAAGTCCCCCTCATATAAAAGTTAATTGCGTATCTACTGAGCTATAATACTTGCTTTAAACTTAAAAAAAAAAAAAACTAATAATAGTTAATCGTTTTAAAAATACCATTTTAATTTTCTCAAAATCTTTTTTGAATACATCTTATGTAATCGAAATTTAGTATGTTTTCGAACCAAAAATTTAGTATGTATAATTGCGGCATTTATTTAAATCTATATCTTAAGTTTATATCCTTTTATAATAATGTATATACTCAGCCACGAACAATCCATGTTGTGGGACGTGGCTTCTGTCGGCCTTGTGTTGTAATAATAAATACGTAAATTGATAGTGTTAAGGTGTAGATAAATATTTATGGTTTTAATTTCATATAGGTGTAATTTTATATAGCGTAGTCTTTCGTACCTTATGAAAAACCAAATTATTAAATATGTTGCTTATCTGTTTGATTTTTATTCATTAACATTTCATCTACCTTCTTATAAAAATGGTTATTTTAATCCTGATCGAAAGATCTGAGGATCTCTATACTTTTTAAGAAAATTCTGTCACTTTTCTGTTGGAATTTCTACATATTATATATCTAAAAGCTTATGTGTATCTAAGAGCGGGCTGAGTGGGCTGTGCACATCCCAGAATTATTTGATGCTCATCCCAGAATGTAAATGAAGTTTCGTAAAGAATCTCTTGAGAGTATACGGGGTGGACAGGTTGACTAAAAAGAAAACCAAATGGGTGATGATGAAATAGTAACCTCACCTGCGTTATCGGTATACACTGGCGGGGCACCAGTGAGTGATGATAAGTGAGGATGAAAAGACAGGTCAATTAGCCCATCGTGACAACGCAGGCGGGGTTACCATTTCATTGTCATCTATAAAAAAATACTAGCTGGTACAGAATGCCATATGGCATTAAAGAATAAATAAATACTGCCTATAAGAAAAAATAAATTACCTTTGTTATTCAACAGAAAAAAAAAACAGTACGTAAATCATCTGAAAATATTCAATACTTAGGACTAGGAATATAAACAATTTTGTAATAAAAATAAATACATGTTTCATTCGAAGCAGTTTGTTTATTTTGTCGAATGTATTGTATTTTGCACTTTATTTTATCCTATATAACATAAAATGTAATAAGGAACAATAAAAGCGTAGATATAGCATTAATTAAATTTAAACATAAGTAGATACTTTAAGTATATAAAAATCATAATAAAAAAATATAAGTAGATAGGGTACAATTTTAAAATATATCTACTAGCCACAATTAAAATCACTATTATGACTAGACTAATTTTACCATTAAAATATATTACGCTTTACATTGCATTAACCCGATCATTATCTACCTGAGGTGATTCCTTATAACAGCAAATTGCATGAGCACTTCGCGAAAGTTTATAAATTTACAAATAAAAATATTATGTAGCGCAGCTTAAGTCAACTAAGCCGCTAAGCTAAATACTCATCTCCCAATCGCGAACCAAATAATTTTGGAAAAAAGAAAATATAATATGTAGTAGGATTACGTCCTAATCTCTAGATAGGTTAAATAGGAAAAAAAAATAATGACGTAAAACAACTAATTCATAATAGAGATATTAGTTTGCAAATCTAAACAAAGACAGTATCAACGTACGATTGCTAATTGCTTTTGGATTATCTAAACGTTTTACATTAACAAAACGTTAAAATTATGGGAATTAATAGCAAATGTCGTGCAATTTTCGGCTGTTACAAACTGTTTATTTTTTGTAGTGAATCACCCCTTATCTGAGTACAACAAAGACCGACCACTTTAAGAGATTGAGGCACTGCAAATAAAACTTACAGCAATGATTGATGCCTACCGAGTGCCTAGTGCCAATTGTATAAAAAATTACATTACGATCGCGTTCACATTTTCGTCAACAAGTTTGTATGCAAATCATAATTTTAAATTATAAGAGGTGAAGTTTTCAATATAAATTATACATCTTGATACAACTCATATTATAGACACACTTCAAATGTTGTGATCACACTTTTATGGCAGTAGACAACGCCAGGCGAATGTCTATTCAAATAATATGCTTGTTCTTAACGTAAAATAATAAAATACATGGGCGTATTGCATTCACTGTTCGGGTACCGTATAGATTTTTATTATTTGATATTTATTCTACTAATCATTGTGAATGAGCTGACACTCAATTGATATAAATTGTAACAATTTTTAATGATACGATTCTATTAAACTGCTTATGGCCTCGTATATGTCTTACTATTTCTGAAAACTTAGATCTTCATGCCAAGAATTGCAATATCTTATTACAAATTGGAATATAATTATTACAATTGTGTTCCACAAAAAGTACAGACTTCAATTATGGTTAAATCAGTTATTACAAAAACTAAACTAATGATTTTGATAAAATTTCTATGGATCAATCTACAAGTATATTTTCTCAGATAAAAAAGAATTTTCTAAATAAGTTTGTATCTGATGGAGTTATGAGGTAACAAACATAAAACAATACAACCGAATTGAGAACTTTCTTCTTTTGCTGTTGGTGCAACTAATTCAGGTATTTTAATAATTGCTACTTTATAGGAGACAAAACAATAATTAGAGCTAGTAATGCAGAAAACAGTCATCTCTTATGAGATGTATATAAAAGATAGTTCATTTCTGCACAATTAACTCCAATTATACAATATTGATCTGTCTCTAATTTAGTATTTCTAAAAAATTTTATTCACCCTCCTGTCAACAAAAATAAATATCTTATCAAGTTTTATAGCTAATATCCGAGATAATAACCTGAGCAATAAAAATGCTAAAATTAACCCGATTATACAGTTTTAAATAGTGTGAGTGTTAATTTCATTATAAAGAGACATTGTCACATCAACAGTCTATAAAATGGTTCTAACTATACTATTTGAAATTACATTAGTGCATGAGACATGTGCATGTTTTAATAAGATATACTGCTGCCGTAGACGTTATATTTGTAGTCATGTTTGTATGGTTATCGAAAACTGTCTACGAACGACAACATTTGTCGGTAGGGTTCCTACTAATTGGCATATAATAATCTAATTCTCTATGTTTTTTTTACAAATAGTCTTCTAACCATTTCGATCAACATTTTCACCTATCACATCATCGTTTTCCATTTCTGTCATTAATATAAAAAAAAAATATATATAATTATATTCAATACTTTATATAAAACGAAACCACGAGACTAGTGTTTTTTGAGATATTTAAAGCGAAAGGCAAATCGCTTGAAATTTGGGTATTGTTATTTACATATTACAATTCTTTTATTTAACTGGCAGATAGCGACGGTTCCATTAGCTACTTTCTAGAGGTCTAATTTAACATGTTTTTAATTTTTTTTTTGCCTCACTCATCACTGCCTTGTCTGTATCCCATTATTTTCTAAGTTCTTCTATTTTATCAACTATAAATATACAAAATACAATCATAGCCACAGAGTCTTAATTAAACGTCAATCTTATTATTATGTCTGGTTATATACATAATATAACACAATAATGAAGTTAACAATTAAGTATATAATATTATGCACTAAGTACTGGAATGCGTTACTTGTACGAGGTCTGTCCGGAAAGTTCGTATAAAAGTGTTCTGGAATGCGAGAAAGAGGAGTGGGGAGGCCAGGTAAGCGCAGGACCCCTTCCTTATGTCCCTAACAATGCTTCAGTTCTGGTCTGACCGCCGTGCGGTGCGAACTGGCTTGTCACGCCATCTGTGAAGTTACCTCTTAACGAAACCCCGTCGGCATGGAGCCCGCTTCCGTTGAAGAGCAGCGCGTCGTAATCAAGTTTCTCTCGAAACTCGGCAAGAATGGCCGTGAAATTTTTGCCGATCTCAGAACAGTTTATGGGGATGATGCTGTGAAGGAACCAACCGTCCACAAGTGGCTAAAAAGATTCAGAGAGGGCCGAGAAAGCGTTCAAGATGACCCACGTTCAGGACGTCCTTCCACTTCACATTCCGACGAAAACGTGGAAAGAATTCGAACTTGTGTTAATGGGGACCGTCGTTTAACGGTCAGACAGGTGGCTGAAGAGCTTAATTTGGGCAAAACCGTGGTCCACGAAATTCTAAGAAACGAACTTCAAATGAAAAAAATTTGCGCCAAGATCGTTCCGTGAGTTTTTGAGTAAAAATTCCATTACGGTGACCGAACACCCCCCCTATTCGCCGGATTTGGCCCCGTGTGACTTCTTCTTGTTCCCAAAAACCAAATTGGTACTTCGGGGGCGGCATTTGGGGGACATAAATGAGATAAAAAAAGCTACGACGGGGCAGCTGAGAAACCTACAACCAGAGGACTTTCAAGGAGCCTTCTCACAGTGGAAACGGCGTTGGCACAAGTGCATTATGTCACAGGGGGAGTACTTTGAAGGGGATAAAATTGATTTACCTGAATAATTGTAAAATAAAATTTTTAAAAAACTTTTATACGTACTTTCCGGACAAACCTCGTATTCCCCCAAAACATAAGTACGTAAAGTACGTTATAGAGTACCATTATGTACGTATTTGAAAGAATGGTACCTTAAAATTTATTTTATTCAGAATTATTAAAATATATTGTTATGCACTTGCATACTTAAACAGAAAATAAAAAATGCTTCCAAAATTTAATGATTAAAAAGATAATCATTTTGCAATTTACTATCCATTTATAATTTTTTTTTACGAATACTGTCTATATTCTGCTGCATGTAAGAATTGAGATCTAAACGGAACTTAATCAAATTAAGCCTTATATCCGTGGCTTATGCTTTAATTTGTATAGGATTTATACGAATTGTAATCACGCAACAGAATGCGGATAAAGATTTCCCAGTGAACATTACTTAGAATAAAATGTTCAAAGCTGTATTATATAAATTAAAATTCAATATATTAATTACATCAAAAGAGCCAGGTAAACAATACATTTGAAGTTAATAATTTTTAGAGTTAAAAGGGTTCATACCAAAACTTATTGAAATGTGGCAAGTTTTAATATTTCTGATTGATTTATTAAAAAAAAAGCTTTGGTAGCAAACTAATATACTGACCATAGAATAATTTGCATATAAACTTAGTACTAAAAGTTTTGCATCAGCGTTTATATTTTGCTTTGAAATTGTTAATATATTATTTTTGTATCAAATTTCGAGTCATAAATTTGTAGGAATCTTGATATATAATAAGTATTTTAGTTCGCTAAAAGAAAACTTTGTGCATAATAAAAATTGCCTTCGAAAATTGACAGACAATTCAGAAGTTGACATACTATAGTAAGCTTCGGTATGAACTTTAACACTGAAACTACACAATGAGTATGGTCTTAATGACAATTTCGTCACTATCATTAATTTTATAGAAATATGTTTTACACTACAATACATATCAATAATCAATGGACTAGATAAAAATATTTACTTCCTAGATTCCTGAGATAAAATCGTCTTAGAGACATAGTTCACTGGAGCTTTCGCTTTTCTATCAAATGTCGTGTTTTTTATTTTTTTTTATTTATATACCTATGTTTTTAATTATTACCTGTACTATGGCTGTTCATATCAATTACTGAACATTGTTTTACTAGAAGTATTCGGTAATCTTGTTGTGCATAATTACACTAGGCTCCTCTTTCCATTACAATTTTATAGGTTTTATCAACATGATCATTTCACTTCTTAATATATTATGCTTGTCATTTTTATAATAATACTGGGACGTCAAATAATAAAATCAATAAAATTATATTAATTTTACCTATCACATGTTTACTAGATTAAGTAATGTCTTAAAATAATATTTTTATACTCGATTACGACAAAATATAAGTCTTGTAAATAAAATTTTTAATTTATTATGCAAGCGAGATATAAGTAACCATAATAGATAGATAGATACTCTTTATTGTTTCCTCCAAAAGATTACAGTAGTAAACTTATTATAAATATAAATAATATATTGTATGATTTATCTATTTATTTATTTATTGGTTTCCTACGCTTCAAATAAAATTTCATTGTTTATAGCATGTTTCATAGTATATAATACTTATATAAAGCAATATAATGTGTACAGTTTGAGAAATGTGTTCGATGTATAGAAACTATATAACAAAGATATGTTCTTGTATACTTACCAACCAAGAATTCGCCAGACCGGAATTTTTAAATTTAATATTTAATTAATTTCGTTTGTCTTTGTAGCTTTCAGTTAAATACTAGTCCTTCAGTATCGTTATTAAGAACACTTAAGTACTGATCAATACTATGTTGTTACGGAGGCAGCAACGTTGGATAGCTACGTTTTAATTTTACGGTTCCCTTTATAGTGTCCGTTTTTCTTCCATCCGTTCCCTTGAGGCGCGTCGCCGTTCATTGATCGCGATAGGAAAGATGTGGTTTGACCTTTGGATTCAAACAGAACGTCCGAATCCGTTTCAGTTTCTGATACGTCTTTGCCCGTGACTAGAAAGATAAAAGTTTTATTAGTTAGAACTATTAAACACAACTTGGTCGTTTATAGGTATTTTAACTAATGTAAACAAAGGATCACGTGCCAATGGGGAAATATGGAAACTGTAGGTTTATTAGTAAAATGTCAACATACTTCCCGCCTGTTCTGATCGATAAATTGACTCAAAGTTAAGCTATGCCTAATTTATATAATTTTTCTTACTATCAATCGATAAAAAACAAAAGATGTATGTCACTAAATCTTTAAAGATTATTATTATATTTTTATATTTACTGAAAAATCTCAAAAATTAATTAATAATACTTGTTTATCATTATTTAGGCAGTACTAACGAACTAGCCTTGTAGTATACATAGGAGTAGTATAAAATAGCTTATTAAAGATGTGCTGTATAAAAAAGTAAGTAATGAGTACTTTTGCCATGTGGTCCCAGCATAGAATAGGCCACACTTTCCTTTCACGTGAGTATAAGAGGCGACTAAGGAAACTTACTGGTCGAGGGATGGGCAGCAACGTTTCTCTTAAAAAAAATACCAAAACCTATTTGCGGTTGCCAACCCATCTGCAAAGCGCGGAAGCTACTGGCAAAACCCTTCCTCTACGGTTGATATGAAGATAATCATAATGGTATTTAAAAGTTAAACATTTTTAAGGAATTATTAACAAAAAGGTGTACTGACAGGGCGCGTCGTCGTGCGCGGCGAGCGGCAGCAGGCGGTACTTGGCGCGCGCGCGCCTCCGCGGCGCACACAGCCGCCGCACTGCGCGCGCGCAGCCCCAGCAGCAGCCGCCCGCCGCCGCCAGCGCCGCCACCAGCCCCAGGCTCGCGTACACCACCGACCAGTCTGCGCACACGGGGAAAGTACTCAGTACGAACTTAGTAATGGGATCTGACAGCTCCATTGCTAGCAATGACCTATCAAGTCGACCTCCACGCGATTTGGTCGATTACATGACAATTCCAAATACATTTTATCCTCCTCGCCCAGATAAGTGTGTTTAAGGGTGGGGGAAGGTGAGTGGGCTGGGTCCACTTCAGATTTTAACAGTGCGGAGCTTTGAGCTATGTAGAAAAACATGCCTAAAAATATGTATCTCTTCTAAAAAGTCAGACCTTCCTAGAAAATTATATTAATTATGCTAAAAGATAAGCTATATATATATATATATATATGCTAAAAGAAAGCTAAACAAGCGAAGAAGCTGAAGTGGCAATAGGCTGATCACGTAGCTCGAAGAACCGACAACCAATGGAGAAGTTTCTTGAGTGGTAACACCGTACGGACAACCGCCCGAAGTGTAGGACAACCACCTTACAATATGGAGTCACCTCAAATGCATTGTACGAAGTCAGTAGATGCAAGTGGCTTAGGACCGTTCCTAATGGCAATCTATGTGGAAGGCCTGTGTCCAGTAGTGGACGGATAATGGCTGAAATGATGATGAAGTCGATACGAAAAAAATTATGGAACATTCACTTTTATCATATAATACGTAAATTTATCTATTATATATATATATATATATATATATATATATATATATATATATATATATATATATATATATATATATATATATATATATGATATGTATGGAGGATGCCTCGCACTGACCGCAGTCGGGCATGGCGTCCGGGTCGAACTGCGTGAGCAGGCTCTGCATCCAGAAGGCGTCGCAGCGGCAGGTGCGCGTGGCGCGGTCGCACACGCCGCGGCCCGAGCACGCGCTCAGGCAGCCGAGCGCGCGCACGGCCGCGCGCGCCGCGCCGCCGCCCGCCGCCGCGCCCGCCGCGCGCGCCGCCGCCAGCGCCGCCCGCCCCGCCACCGCCGCGCCCTGCCGCGCACACGCGCCTCATTTGTATTTTCTCACACATGCTTGGAAATGTCACCATTATTTTGACTATCTTCTTAGAGATAAATCAAAATCGCCGTACTGGCCATGTACATGCGGGCAGCGGCCGGCAAAAGTTGTATGAAAATCCATATCTGTCGTGTTATGCGGCCAGATAAATTACTATGTAAACTCATATCTGTCCCGTAATTTAAAAATTTTATGACTTTTTATTTAGAAACATGACTACCAAGGAGGTAACTAATAAAAGGTTTTATTTAAATTTCGAACTGGCTTACAAGTAGAAAGCTGTTGATTGAAAAAAAAAACAAAGGAACATTATAACGCGTGAAATATTATTATTGGTCGTATTTCGTCTTTTAACTTAAAAAGTAAAATTGTGATTTTATTTCCGCGAATTGTTTGAGAAAAGTACTATACAAGCCTTGGCTACAACTAGGCATTGATGGATTCACGTATGGATGCCTCGGCTACGCCTTGGCTCACATTTATACGTTCGTCTATCAATGCCTCAGTAGCTGGCCGCTGCAGTAATGTACTATTTTATATACACCTTAGAACGGCAAACAAGCTGACAGCCCACCTGATGAAAAATGGTGGGGGGAAAGGATTGTTAGTAATGGTGGGTTGGTCCATATTGCTATCAATATACTTTATCAGGTTCACCTCTACCCGGTTCCCCCTGGAAACTATCGTGACTAATTTATCGTCGAATTCGTCGCGGTTGGCAAGGCAACTGGATCGTCAGGGTAGACCCTGTGCCTAAAGCACGTGCCACAGACGACGTCGTCGGAGAAAGACATTCACCTTGGTGGTGTAATTTATCGTTTTAATGATCAACTTATTCAGGTGAGATTCGGCTGCAACGAGTAGCGTCGAGACGCTTCCTTCATGAACTGCACGTGGAAATTTTGAGGTCGCGGTGGAAAACCACGTTGCGAACGAACCACGAAATGCCGATATAATAAATATTCTGAATCACCAGGCGATAGAGTAAGTGAAGATGACGGTAGAGTACGTCATGATGGGACAAATGCATGCCTTGTAAAGGGTCAGCTCGCTGAATCCAAATGTTTGTATGTATGGGTCTCAAACTCGTAACTATTAGAAGATGAAACAGTGTAAAATAAATCACCCATGTCGCCATAAGTAATGAAGTATAAAAATCTAGAAATATATTTTGGCGGAAATTGTTATTCATTTTTACCTCTTTAGACAAGAAAAAGATGAGTTGTGTATTTCCAGAATCAACTTGTCCTCTAACAGCGGTAATATTGACTTTTATGTCGTCCTTCAATAATAAAGTCATTTTCTGTACAAGGGAGTCCAGCTGGCTTTGTGTAAATGTGGAGACAGGGATATTTAGAGTCATTTCTAGCAAACTCGTTTCCAAAGGGTCGGGTTTGACTTGCACGCTCACAGTGTCCCGGTCAGACTCGCCTTGATCATCTGTTACTGTGAGCTCAAATACATATCTTCCAGGTTCTATGTTTGTCAGCTGAAAATATACAATGGACATATAATGGATAAATTTACAATTTATTTACATAAAACAGAACGGGTCCTGTTTAACTGGATTTTTTTAGGATTATGATTAGAGCTCTTAAGCTTTACTTTCATGAAACTAGACAATTTATATAAAAATAATAATTGACTTGAATAAGAGTAATATAGGCCATTAGTAACAATATAGGTTCCTATAATATTATAGAGTATATACTCTATTAGTAAATTAACAAGGATTTATCATTTTACCGACTTCAAAAAAGGACGACGTTCTATGTTCGACTGTATATTTTTTTACGTATGTCCACCGATTTCTCTGCCAATTGTGAATCGATTAATTTTTTTTTTACTAGAAATTAAAAGTCGTTAAATATTATTTAAATATAGGTATTGAAAAATATATTAAATTTTGTTTAAAAAAGTATAAATTAAAAAAACTGCACTTACCATTAGTACAGGTTGCGTGTCCGATTTAAGTATGACTGTCCCAGCGGCCAAGCCAGAGCTGGATCGTGACCATTTCCACGTGACGATCCGAAAGTCATCGGATGACCTCGATCCGTTGAGGATAAGGACAGGGATAGGTAGGTTTAATACTTGGTCTCCACCTGCGTCTGCTTTCGGCGGGCTGTTTTTATCTATTACAATATATTAATAATATATATAATACATATAGCTTCCCCAAAACGTCTAATGGCAAATTAAGACGTAGGTGGACGATGAATTGGGCCTATATATATAAACATCTCAGTTGGAGTGTCACAAAAAAAAGTGGAATTAGTCTCATGCCTTACTGTCATAATGAAAAAATATAAAATTTAAACCACCATCATAGTATTTTCTATTATGATTTAAATTAATAACGAAAAGTATTTTTTAAACCGACTTAAAAAAAAAAGGTTTTGAATTTGATTGTAATTTTTTGTTTGTTACCTAACCCCATCCAATAAAACCAATATAAACTTAGAAAGGATATATTTACAGGTCGGTTCCGTAGAAATTTTATCAAATTCAGTTTAGTATTATTTAGAATTTTACTATTGAACCGATTTGAATACATTTTCTATAGGACTAATCTGTAAGTATGTTCTTTCAAAGAAACAAAAAATTTTTCTAATTAATTTAGTATTGAAGAAGTTATGAGGTAACAAACACAAAAGAAACCTAATTGAGAACCTTTTTCATTTTGAAGTCGATTGAAAAGTAATTCGAGACGCTGTTCATCCCTCGCCCTTCCTTTTTTTTTACAACACAGGGGGCAAACGAGCATGCGGCTAACCTGATGGTAAGTGACTACCGCCGCCCATGGTCACCCACAACACCTACGGCATTGCAGGTGTGCTGCCGGCCTTTTAAAAAGGAATTTCCCTTAGCCGCCTCTTACGACACCCACGGGAAAGGAAGGGGTGGCCCATTCTATGCTGGGGCCACACGGCGAAGATTATATTAAAGAGAACGACTAGACTAATAAAACTATAATTTTCATGATATAATGTACGTAAATAGCAAACTCACTTTGAGTAACAGTGACTGAGACGTTGTCAGTAGCAGAGTTTCCGTTGTCGTCCAGAACGGTCAGTGAGAACACGTACTGACCCTTGGTGAGGCCAGTGGCGTTAGCTAAGGACTCATTGAAGTTGATTATGGTCGAGTTAGTGGGGCCCGACACGTAACGCCACGTGTACGCTACGATCTGGTGGTCGTCGTGCGAACCGGAACCGTTCAATGTTATCCATGTTTGAGGCAGAGATATGAACTGTAATTATAGAAAACTAGTCAAATAGTATCTAATTTAAAAATAACTAGACGATGCCTGCGCATGGGAGATATTTAAGATATGGGGTCTTAATTAGATCAACAGATGACAAAATAATTTTTTTTTTTGGTATTACAATCTGGTGTGTTTTATTTTAATATGCTATCTAGAAGTGGTCTATGTAATTGGTTTTCCTACTTTTGAAACTCACGCGTATAAAATAACAGGGAAAATATAGTTTATTTACAAATTAATTTTATGTCTAACTAAATAAATAAGTAGATAAAAACTTTAATTACAATAATAACCGTATTTCAGTACGTACAGATATTTGTCGTTATTTATGTAACATAATTCTTCTTAATCTATATTCATTTCAGATCCTATATGGAGTAAGCATAAAGACCACTATTCTAAATTACATATTTACCTAACTTCATCAAATATCACAACTCATATGTATATTGAAATTATAATAAAAAAAATTATTTGCATTATTTATATGCCCTATAGTTTCTGCCTACCGTAATGGGAAACAGGCGTGACAAATGTGTATGTATGTATTATATATTCTTTAAATATATTTTATTGGGATATTAAATATTGTTGCACATTGTTACATATATAGTAGTTGATAAAAGTAAAAACAAAAACTATAGTATCAATACGATAATATAATAATACATCCATGGGCACCCTACATGTGTGAGGATACAGTTATCAGCTTCAATGTATTTGCGCGCACCAAATTCATTAGTGGAATTTAGATAGCCAATATTCATATTGTTATCGTAACTTATTTAGAATAAATAAGATAAATAAGGTTTAGATAAGTTTATTTTTATTAACCTTGTTAGAAGAATAATTTATCTGGTGTAATGCAGAAATAATGTTATTTTCATGTTATCTTTAATTTTAATTACTATCTCCTAGAAAAGTTAAATTTATTTGTCAAATAACGTACAGCATTATAATAATATACTACTACCTGCTCTGAAAGTTTTAATAACAATATTACCTAAAAATACTGTCTAGTAAATTACACTTCTGTAATGTGAATAATGTTATTCTTGTCTATAAGCAACGGTTAGCATCTAACATCACGTTACATTCCGTCAATTTACGACAAACACAGTATGTTCGTTATATTCCCGTGGTCTATGTGTAGTGTGTAGTCGCAGATAAAAATATAGTATCCAATATTTTTTTACTTAGTTACCCGTGATACGTCTATTACTTTACTACTAATTATTACACGTTATTACCTCCTAATATATTCTTAATAATCCTTACGTATCATGGACTGTAACAGAAGATAACACTCACCGAATCAGGGCCAGCATCAGCAATTGGCGGAGTATTTGTTGGTGGTTTTACGAAAACGTGCACCTCAGCAGTAGAAAATTGGCCTGATGAGTCTGTTACTTTCAGTACAAATGTATATACGCCTTCAGATAGATTGGACAACTGAAAATAATAATATTAAGAGCCTTTTCAATCTATCAAAAGCAAATAATTTTCAATGCTTCTCATTTAGAAAATTAAACTTAAATATGCCTTTGGCTTGATCAAACTTCAAATATTATATTCATATGTAGTAAACTGTATTGTGATTGAATTTCTTAGACACCTCTTATGACAACTTGGAGATAAAAAAGAATGGTGATCTAGTGCATTCTTACTCTGTCACTACTTGAATATTGTTTATATCATTATTCTTTAAACGAAATCCTAATAGTGAGGCTTTTTTTTTATTTTTATATACATACACATGACTACTTAGGATTGCTTTACCTGTAAGTAAGGTGAATGTGTGTTTTGCATATCAACAGCTTTGTTTTCATCTTCGGCTGATTTAGTCCACTCCCATGAGGTGATCTCATGGTCATCCGTGGACAAGCTACCATTCAATGTGAGATTGTTATTCGGCAAATATATTATTACATCTTGTCCTAAAATACACATAAATAAAACAAAAGAGTCAATTTCTAATTTGATTTAGAAATAGTTATACATAGCTGTATTAAATCATATGTAGACTCCACTTGTGATTTAATCTGTGTATTTACAAATTAAGTTCATAAAAACACCTAGATTTAAAAAAAATAATTAAGTCTTTCATTATTTGTAACAAACTTTATTAGAAACAATTATATAAGTAAACAAGTTGTGTTGTAATTTCCCAGTCAATATGGTTTAAGCATATATTATTTGGGTGAAACTACTCATGTAATCTGCAGCCATTGCTTTTGGCTCTGGCATAAAATGTCACGATTTATTGATCTAAGGTTCCTCTTTCTCCTGTATGAACAATATACTATTGTTACTATAAAAATTGATTATTAAACATATTTTATTTAAATACTTAAGTATAGAGTACGTAGCTATGTCAAATATCATAATCTTAATGATCAAAATTTTCTACCTGCGTTGGCTTCAGGGGGATAGTCTGTATGGTTCAGTACAGTAATATTAGCTGTGGTTGAGTTCTTAACATGGTCAGAGTCCTCAACTGTCAATTTAAATGTATAGTTCCCAGGCTGTTTAAGATCTTTAAGCACTAAAGTGGGAATATCCTCCAGCGGTGGTTGGTATCCTATGGGTCCAGAGGTCAATTCCCAATGCCATGATATTATTTGTACATCATCCTGTGTAAAAAAATTATGTATTATTTCATATGCAATTTTCGAGCCCCAAGTTAAGCGCTAGAAAGCGTCGTTACCTGAGAGTTTAATATTAAGACTTATTTATAAGATCCCTGTGATGAATTTGGCTGTTAGTGTCAGCCAAATTCATCACAGGGATCTTATAATATATCTTATAATCACAGGGTCAATCAATTGTCAAATTTATTAATTAAATGTATAAATTTCTGGTATTTTTTTTATATTACAGCACCTTACACTCGCTTTCAACTTTACAATGAAACTAAAAAGAAATTTCGCATTTTTTCTTTTAAATGGAGATGTTATATTAGTTTTTTATAGAACAAAGTCATAAATGCAGGTATTAAAAAATTAACCAAACATAAACATGTCGGTAGACTTTTCCATTTTAATCCTAATATGTTTCTATACAACCTTAGATTTACTAAAGATTTAGTCCTTCGAGCCGGATGTGAACCAATGACCTAAGGGATCTTTATTCCTAAACCTCAACATCATTTATCTGCGTAATAGTATTTCAATTAAGTTGCTATGTCGGACACCTTTTGTTTGGTGTAATTTGGTTTATGATATCCCATATATTACATTCACTACAATGAGAACAGTGTAGGAAATGCTTTTGACTACCACATTAGGATCGGAATTGTAAACATTTATTACAGTCTCATACAAATATATGTATACTATATATATAAACATATAAGCTAATAAGTCAATAATGGACTAATTATAGTATTAATAAATAATTCACCTTACTGGCACTCCCATCTAATACAGCACCAGAATTTGGTAGTTTTACTGTTTGTGATTGTGGCGTAATAACTACTATTGGTGGGGTATTTTTTCGTACTTTAGGTAGTACTGTTACTGTAGCATAACCTTCGCCATATGAATCAGTGCCATTTACAGTCACTTTAAATCTGTATTGTCCTTCCGTGAGATCAGTAAGCTTCACAGTGGCACCATCTTGGTGCATATTTCCTAGACAAAGATAGATTGAAATTTATAAATATCTTTTCTAGAGATGTATATATTTGATTAAGTGTTGTAAAGTAACAAATAATTAAGTCAGTTACCTGTAAAACCACCCTTGGATTGATCTACTAAGGTCCATACATAATTGTAATGTCTATTAGTTGTTTTTTCATTCGGTATTGTGTAAGCTGCTAAAGTCACTTCATTATCAGGCAGTTGAACCTATAAGATTTTTAATTTATGAAAAAAAATATCATAAGTTACAATGTAATTGCATATTATTACATCAAAATAACATATATTACTACCTCTTTGTCAGATACAGAAACAGTTAAGTTTTGAACGATTTTCGGAGTTGAAGTGTCTATTTTTATGTTATCATTTTTAGAGTCTGTAATTAGTTCATCATTTTTCTTAATTGAGTCAATAGGTATAGTAGGTCCCTTTGAATATGGTCGTATAGGAACACATGTGCCTTGTGCGAGCTCAGTACCCGGTAGACATTTACAAATACCATGAGCTCCTTTTAGTCCAAGTGGAATACATTCTGAATTGAATGGACAATCACCAACACCCATTTCACATGGTACATTTTCTAGAAAATTTGTTGAGTCCATTAACACATCACTATCACTGGCATCCCGAAATTTATCAAAATTCCTTCCTTCACCCTCTTCCATATTTGGCAAGTTGTTGATGAAGTGTGACAAAAAATTAGAGTCTTCATCTTCTGATAATAAATCATTATGACGACTTGAATAAGGGGCATATAGTGGTTCCTCTTCTGGTGAGAAATTGTTGCTAACTTCTGTATAACTAGATTGATCTAATATGTCTGACCAATTTTCTGTGAAGCAAAAAACATTTTTAAATAATATGTCTATAATGCAAATAAGAGTGTTGTTGTAAGTTGTGAGTTGAATAAAAACAAATTTTCTTGTGTGTGACATTTTTGTGTAGATGTTTGAATGTTTGTTCATTAATCATAATATTTTAAAAGCCAAAATTAATTTAAAAGAATTTTAGTACATAGATAGACTATCATATTCCAACATCCTAGATTAATATATAGGACTCTTTATATCATACTAAAGTGAACAATGTCATAGTATATAGGTATAGCATATAATAATTACCATTAGGTAGAACAGGCTTAACTAGTATCATTGAAATATGTGCATCCCACTTGTGGTTGCCCGGAGTCCTTTGCAGAGGCAAGCACAGCTCATCACTAACACATTGCAAATGGAAACACCTTGAGTCAACAATGAACACAATATTGCATATCTCACTGAGACAACATGCCATTACACATTGTCGTAGACCTTTTAGTCCTGCTTGCTCTGTGTAGTTACCAGCAGTAAGGTTTCCTAAGGAAAATATGATAATATCACAAAAAAATCTTAATATAATGTGCATTTAATAAATATGTTTACAGTATGATTATAATATAATGATAATTGATTATATTCGAAATAAAAGCATAAATAAGTAGGCTTATCTTAAAGTGATTAATTAGGTATGAAAAACATTAAAATATAGAATTAATATCACTAAGAAATGTTTTCAATAAAATAAAAAACAATATTTTCAATTGATTTCTAATACCTATAATATATACTACTTACCAACTGGACCATAATTTACAAAATTCTTTGGATATAATTTGGGACACTTATTGTTTTCATACTTATCACTCCATGGCTTGTTGTATTGTGATAAAGATATTGTTACATTCATAACACATAATAATATTATAAAACAAAAATGATTCCAACTGTAATTAGTCATATTAGAATTAATAAATTAAAAATGTTCGACGAAATTATTAATTAGAGCGGATGGCACATAGAGTTCAGCCAGTTCCGTTACTGTTATCAGTCTGCAAAAACCTGGTGCATTAGTCTAACTTTTACGTGGGTGTTGATGTTAACTTCGGTGAATATTTTACATTATTTACGATAAAAATATGTATTATATTTGTTCCATATTGAAACAGATAACAATCACAACAGAAGTAATCGAATTTATTCAATAGCACAACGAATAATAAGTAAGCAGTAATGAAATAATGACAACAGACTGACACTGACAATTGACATTAATTGTCAACTAAAGACATTGAGAGTTTGTCAAATGACAGTTTCAACAGGCTTGAGCGTCCCTACTGCAAAGAATAGTGTTGTAGAACCTCAAAATCAATAGACTTTAAGATTACATCATATCGAATATTACTCTCGGAGTTTTCTGGATATACTTTCTTGATATAATTTATTTCTGGATATAATTTATATTTGGTTAATCTATTAATGGTGATCGTGTGGTCTCGGCATATAATAGACTATCCCTTCCTGTCCCGTGGGTGCCGTAAAGGGCGACTGAAGGAGGGCGAGGGATGGATTGCAGCATTCCTGTTAAAATATCTTTTAAGCCTAACTGTGGTTGTCGGGGGGAAACGAACTGTTATCAAATAGGAAGTTAATCCCCATTGCTATCAATATCAGGTCGACCTCCATGCGGTTCCCCCTGGAAACCATTATGACTAATTTATGGTTAAATTCGTCACGATGGGCTAATTGACATGCCTTTTCATTCTCACCGATCATCTCTCATTAATGCCCCGCCAGTGTATACCGATAGCGCAGGCGGAGTTATTATTCCATTATCATTCATTAAAAAAAAACTGCGGTTGCCAATTCGGCTGCCAATCGTGACTACTGGCAAAACCCCCAGAAGGGAGGCTTATGTTCAACAGTAGATAGTTAAAAACTGTTATGATGATGATGACGAAGATTAATAATTCTGACGATCTATTAATATAAAGGTTACTATGATTTAATCACTTATATATAGGCAACATATAAACTATATTTAAGTTAGAGAGTGTAGTAAAAAAAGAAAAAAGTGATCAAATATTAGTTGGTCTTCACCAAAGGTTCACCGAGTGTTCAGAAGTATAAAACCATAATTTATCTCTTGTGCAGGGGTGTCATAATTCGTATAATTATTGCGAAGACGCAAAGCACTTCATTGTGTAGAGTGATTTTGTCAAGCAAAAGTGCTCGAAAATTAATTATTGAACTGAATATTAACGAAAATTTTCACAGTATAGGTACAAATAAATATAAAATAAAAAGCGGTATTCGCCAGTTTGTGACAATACCGCGATATCATTATCTAATCTAATAATATAAAAAGGAAGGATTTGATTTATTTCTATGTATGTTTGTAATGGATAAATTAAAAACTACTTAACGGATTTTTTAAATTCTTTCACATAGGTTAGAGAATTAAAAAAAAAATGCTATATTATCGATGAGTAACATAAACTATACATTATTATCAAAAAATTTGTGATCTCTACGAATATTACAGTAATATAATCCAAGGTATCAAAAGCTAAATTATATATAGTTAAGTCACAATAAACGTTTTTTGTTCAAATTAATCAGTCAAAATAGGGGCACTATTATCAATAGATATTCGTATTATAATATTACGAGTAATACTTATGATGATGATGATGAATATTAAAAAATTATCTAATTAAATATGTTGATTATGTATTGAACCTTGATTATGAAACTATTTATGTATGATGCAATAAATTATTATGTAGGTAAAAACATGCAAATTTTTTTTTCAAATTATTGGAATCGGATTTTTTATTTAAACTTACGATAAGTATGCTAACAATAAGAAAAATGCAGTAGTGGACAGTTAGTTGCTGATATAATAATAACAATATTACCTAAAAATTTGCGCGTAAAGAGTAATATGTATAATATATTACATATCCTCATAACTGTAATCCTAAATAGGTTTGAAAAAAATATTTGTTGACCATTAATATGTCCACATCTTACAGAATATATTTGAATATAACGTATTTAAATGCAAACCTACCTAAATTATAAGGATAAAATGAATTGTGATGACTTTGTCAGGAATTAATCTTGATAATTTCCAGGGGCGACAGTGTGGAGATCGAACTAATCTACCAGAGGGAAACTTTGTACAAAAATCATCTGCTTGGGTATCTCTGTCCCGTTTACGTTTCTGCCGTAAAGCAGTTGTGTTCGCATGGCTGTGTTTTAGTTTTAAGGGCAGGAGATGGCAATGAAATTACAGGATTTTTTTTTACAACACAGGGGGCAAACGAGCATGCGGCTCACCTGATGGTAAGTGACTACCGCCGCCCATGGTTACCCACAACACCTACGGCATTGCAGGTGTGCTGCCGGCCTTTTAAAAAGGAATATGCTCTTTTCTTGAAGGTTATGTTGTCGTATCGGTTCGGAAATACTGCTGCTGGAAGTTGATTCCAAAGAGTGATTGTGCGTGGGAGAAAGTGCCTTGAAAAACGCACGGTGGAGGACCGCCACTTATCCAGATAGTTGGGATGAAATTTTAGTTTATGGCGGGTAGTACGATGGTGAAAATCAGCAGCAGGTATCAATCCGAACAACAGAGACATAACACTTTAGTCCTCGGGAATGGCAACACATGAAGGGTATCATAGTACTGTTTTTGTCTTTAGACGACAATTACCACTTTCCATTAGATAGATCGCTGGCTTCTTTGCCATTCTAAGTTGCATAGAAAAAATGCAAATATATAATAAAAATACAAATAAACCTTAATTCAACCTATTAAACGACAAAATGGCTAAGTACGTCGACAAATGTGTTCTCTGGTCTATGCAACAGTCTGGTCTCAGTAACAGTATTGCCATGTATAGCGCGCATTGTCGTATGGTCCTGGCATAGAATGGGCCACCTCTACTATACTATACTCTGTTATGTCCATGGTACTGCTCATGTCTATAGAGGCGCCGATTACTACTTTCCATCAGGTGGGCCGTCAGTTTGTTTTGTCACTTTAAGTTGTATAAAAAAACCTCTTCCTTTTCCCGCAGGTGTCGTAAGAGGCGACTATGCTAACTTAAAGTTGAGTGGTTGCCATTCTGCCTGCCAAGAAACTATCTTCAACTTTCCGATATGTAAATAATATAAATTTAGATTTACGCATTGAAACTTTAGCTATATTTAAAATTAAAGACACGGATTAAAGAAAAATGTATCAGCTATAATTTCGTGTTATAATTGTTGTGTTAAAACAATTAATGATTGTTGAAAATCTGTCTCTTTCTTTTCTTTTTGTTAAATTTATGTAACTTACAATGCAAATAAATTAATTTCAAAGGCACAGACTGTAGTATAAGAATCGAATTTTAATATATATTTTTGCTATTATTTTAATTCTAGGAATAATATTTTAAAAATGACCTTCAAAAGGACGATGTACCTTAAAAGTTTCTGAAGTGATTACCTAAAATAAAGCGCTATGACAAACGACTAAACAAATGGACAGTATCGTACTAAAATACTATTTAGTTACGGAACCCTTAAAAATACGACGATACTATTGTTATTAAGGATTCTGTTATCACTGTTACAATTCACTGATTTTATTATCAGACATTTCCAAAACTGTAAAATTTAATTTACTGTTGCTTACATCAGTAAAATACTGAGTTCGAATATTTGTACAAAGGCGTAATATCTTAAACGCCTATAACTTAAAAATGGGCGTTGGACAAATTGGCGGGATAGCTACATTACGTAAATATATAGAACAATACTCATAAATTGCAGTATTTTTTTTATTAAATGTAAAATAAAGTATTTAAAATTAAAATTAATTTAATTAAAATTTACTATTGCAGTGGATATGGACTTTAAAAATGCAGCAGGTTTTATGGGCGTGCAAGCGGATGTAAATGAAGGACAGTATATTGTAAGTCAATTTTATGGTAGGTTAGTTTGACGTGCGCCTACTGATATGTTTGACTACCTGACGAAAAAATTTATTCTGTAAAAAGAACTATAGATTTTAGTAACAGTAGGTAACGATCTGTACTATTCTTAGGATCTGTTTGTTGTTCAGAAATTTTACTTTGAGTCCTTTTCTCATAATTTAACTGCTAGTCTGGTAATCATAAATAAGTTGGTAAAGAAAAAAAATATTAATGTCATTACTATAAAAAAATCACAATAAAACATTTATTCCAAGAGAATTTAGTACAAATAATTGGACAGTTCATATTTAGCCTAACCTATGCCTAGCCTAGCATATGTAGCCTTTAATCACGTGAAGGGTTTTTGGTAGGTACATGTATACGATTTCTAAGCTGACAATGTCGTGGAAACAGCTTCAATAGCTGTACTAGTATATGTAAAGTATTGTATGTTAGTTTATATATAACAAATACACTAAGTTAATAGATGGTAAATGATTTTTTAAGTACCAAATATATTTTTCTTTTCTTTAGGTACATTTTTTATCTCATGCAATGATGTTCTGCGTGGGAGCATTGATAGAAGCCCATGTCGTGTTAACTCCAGCTAGTTGTGTGTTTGGCGAAAGATATAAATTTGACGTTATTGGTGGTACACATAAATTTTTAGAATTTGCAGGCGTTAATCGATTAGTACAACATCTTTGTATTCATAGAGGTATCTATATTTTAATATATAGTGAAGCTTAAGAAATAAAATTTTTAGATTTATGACATTTTTAAAATTATATAAATTTTTAGGATATAACCATACAAGGCGATGGACAGAGTCTTCATCTGATAATATGGCGTTGTTGGTATTAAATCAACAATTCTCATTTCACAAACGTGAACCTGGCTCTGATTTTGTAGTGAATAGAGTAAGATATGGCATCTTAGCTCCGAAAGACGATCGGCGTATCGGTGACACAAACTGTCGTTACTATGGCTGGGGGAGTAGGCGAAATGTAAGTATAGTTATCAATCGAAAGATTTATGTTGAACCACTTGTAAATGGCAGATGATACTTAGCATACTTCGTCATCATTATTTCAGCCATTATTCGTCTCCTCCAGAAACCTCTCCATAGACTGCCATAAAGAACGGTCGTGAGCCATTCACTGATTCCCTGCAATGCATTTCAGGTCGTCACTCTATCTAGTGGGGGGTCGTCCTACACGGCGTTTACTCTGCATTCGCATACTTAAATATAATATATCTACGTGCCATTATTTATATGTGTACTATAACTTACTTGTCGTTTATGTACCTAGATGTTACTAATATTTATTTTTTTTGTTTTATTATTAGACACAACAATCCATTACAATTTATCTAATAATACATTATACACAAAATCAGCAGGATTTATTCTGGATGATTTTTTTCTCCAATAGCACATACCTAATTATAAAAGTATATTTATAATTTTTATTTTATTTAAATTTAATCTTTATATTTATTTAATTTTACAATTAATTATAGGGATATTTGATACCACTGCTGATCAATCTTCGTCGAGTAGATGTTATTCTTGCACCTACTGAAAATTGTCCTCAAATATGGAATTACGGCAATAAGTATCTTTGCGTACAGCAACCACCCTGCAAGATTAAATATTTATTGTATTATTGTAATATCACTAGCGATCCGGCCAGACTTCGTAAACAGAATTTTCGAAAATAACATATAGTCTATACTACTCGCTTATAATGTAGCTTTCTATGAGTGAAAGATTTTTTTTAAATGAAAATTAAATTGGTTGAGTATTTTTTAAGATTATCTATTACAAGCATGCAACCAAATATTTTCTTTCTACAATATAATTATAGAAGTATAGATAAAGTAAAATCAGCATTAAAGCTAATAAAGATTATTTATGGTACTTGTGTGGCGATGTAGTAATAGCACGGGTAATAGTGTATTATTACATTACTAATTTTATTTTTCAAAAATGCAATTTAAAATAGAAGATTGGTAAATTTTTTAAGAAAATTGTGTGAAGATAATTTATTTATTTATTTTACACTTTATTGCACCATTTATAAAAATAATAAAAACAGTAACTTTGAATGTAAAGTGGTACAAATTATTTTATTTTTAGTTGATAATTAGACTTGTAGTGTCATTTTGTTACTACGAAATATTTTTTATTTTAGAAATATTAGAAAGTATAAAATAAAGAAAATTTTAGTAAAGAACATTCAAACTTAGAAATTCATTCGAAATTCAAAAAGAGATTTATATAATGTCATTGAAGTTATATAAACATTGCTTTGATTTAATGATCATCATTTTTAAAGTTTACATTCTTATATTAATTTTTTAGAATGAAAAATTTGGAGCATTGTGTCCAGTAAGTACTCTAGTTATAAAAACGTAAAATAATAATGGGGCGCTTGATTTTATTCATTTATACTTATTCGTTTAAATTTACAACCTTTATTAAAATCGGTTTAAGTGTTTATGCGTTTCAAATTTCATGACGATTAGTAACAGATAAATAGATATCATTTTAAATTTATATTATTCATTACTAAATATACATTATTTCTATTTTTTTTATAATCAACTGTGCTGAAAAGAAAGGTTGTGAGTAGTCAATTGGAATCACATCTACGAGTAAGTATTTTTAATAATCGGAACTAAATGGTTAGATATAAAATATTAATGACCCGCTCGCGTTTCACATAATTTTTTTTCTTAATAAAATATACAGAATGATTTTTTTAAATCATAGTTTATAATTTTTTGACTATATTTGAGTTTGGTTGTTAAAAATAAATAGAAATAAAATCTTATATTATAAAGACAAAATTATTTTTGACATACTCAATGAGCTAATGGCTTGAACTATGCTTTATGTATATAGAGTCCGTTGAAAAAAAAAAGAGTAGGTTGAAAACAAAAGAGTTGGTTTGTGTTCCCAGATTTTTTGCTTGGTTCTTCATAATACAGGATATTTTGGTTTGAGAACCAGTAAAGTGGTATGACAATTATTTTCTTATTTACAATAAAACACATCGTGAAAATGGATTGTCATACTAAAACAAGCAAACAGCTCTATCATAATAATCATAGATCCTATAAAATAGTTAATATTTTACTTAGAACAATTCCTTTTATATTATTACATGAACTAAAACCACTTGCAAAGTAGATAGATACATATATTTATAACACGAGTTTTATTCAGCGAAGTCAAACTTTTAGTTACTCTGTAATACAATTCAGAATCAAAATTATTTTTTACAGGATGACCTAGGGACAGTTATTGTATGTTCTGGATTTGTTCAAGGCATGATGACTTCTCGTCTCGTAGATCGACCTTGTGGAGTGGGATTTCTTGATTTGAGCAAATATAATAAATTTCTTACATGCGGTGTCGATGATTCACGTGATGTAATCGAACATGACGACTTTATGATGTTTGATTTCACAACTAATCCACCAACACCATCTTTAATAATTCCTCCTGTTTTGCTTAAAGAGAACAATACATCTTCTCGTTAATATTTTATTAATAAAAATGTCATTACAGATTTTTGTTTTTAATAAATACCTATTCCCGAATTAAGATTTAATTCCCAAATAATAGTTACTTAAATGAACGTCCGTGTGGTTTCGGCGTAGAAAAGGCCACCCCCTGTTCTCCTGTAGGTGTCGTAAAAGGCGACTAAAGAAACTTGATGGTAGAGGAATGGCCAGCAGCATCCCTCTTAATACATCTCCAAAATCCTGACTACTGTTGCTAATTCACCTACCAAGCGTGACAATTACTAGCAAAATTCCCCTAATGGGGATGGCTTATGTACAGTGACTATTTATGAAGTGGACGATTATTAGCTGAAATGACCTAAAGTTTAACTTTATAATAATAATATTTTTTTTACTTTGAATCACAGTTCATATCGGGTAACTATATGACTCAGACAACTATGTTGGTAAAAGTTAAGAGACCACGTCTAATTCATTATAATATTTCTTAATTTACATAAACTTTTAACAGATAAATAAACTTTTATTTGTATCAACCGAGAATGTTAATCATCATTCCTTACACATAAATTTTATATTCCATAAATATACCTACTTACAATACTACTATAATAATTTTTAGATTTTTTTTTTGTTTCTATGTTTGGTCCGGCATCACACAACTTACAATTAACATTTTTTAAAATTGATGTTTCTCTGTAAGTTTGTTATATCATAACAAGTTAACAGCTTACATGATCGTATTCATTGAGATTCAATGATATTGGTGCAATCGATGTTTAAGTTCAGACAATTTGATTCGAATAATATACTTTCTGATGAAGATTGGGAGTTATGCGGAATAAAAGGCCTTGTTTTTGTATATGTCAAGGACTATCATGGAATCAAGAAGCACAACAATCAATGCCCCTGCCAAGGTAAGCACAGAAACAATTTATGCAAAAAATGTGAAAGGCCTCTTACGATTAGCTTTATGCGCGATGCGGACTACGTGACGTGTAAAAAGTAAGCTATATTTTTCTCTATTCCATATAGTACGTGTATATCAAATTTCATAGTTATTGATTAAGCCATTAGGCGTTATAAAATAACGAACAAAAAAATTCACTTTCATATTTATAATTTTAGTAAGGATTGAGATAGACTATCGATTATAATTATAATCATAATCGTATCAATGAAAAGTAGTGTGACAGCACTAACTAATACAATATGGCGCAAGTCGCTTGCTTGGCTAGCATTTCCGCTCATGATATAGGTTAACGTTTGTGTTCATAATTCCATTAAATTTATATGCAATTTGTTAGTGATATTCGTTTAATAGTTTCTGTGCAGTGTAGCCGTGAAGTCAGTGTATATAATGTTATAGCGTAAACTCTTTACACAAGGTAAAAAACTAAATTAGAGAGCTCTTTTTATGTTAAATTTATATGCGGTTAGTTTAGATGTTTGCTTCTTTTTTTAATAAAAAAAACATTTGTTTAAATAGGTATCGAAGTCATTAACTATGGATTTCGGGCACCCTCCGCCGCATATGGGCATGCCACCACCCGGCATGGGTGGTCCTATGGGTCCGCCCGGCCGTAACAACATGCGCCATACCTTTAGGCCTTTCAACTACCAAATGCGTTTTCCGCCACAAGGTCCACTGAACATGACTCAAGATGACTTTGATGGTAAACGTTTACGTAAATCAGTTATGCGGAAAACTGTAGATTATAACTCGGCTATAATTAAAGCTTTAGAATGTCGCGTTTGGCAACGGGATTGGAGGGATAGACATGCATTGCAACCCGATGCAATGTATACACCTGATTTATTACCGCCGCCTTCATATCCTGATAATCCTATAAATGCTGTTACAACTCGTTTTGTTAAAACTGCGACTAATAAAATGAGATGCCCTATATTTGCCGTTGCGTGGACCCCAGAAGGTAGAAGGTTAATAACAGGAGCATCATCAGGAGAATTTACTTTGTGGAATGGTTTAACATTTAATTTTGAAACTATACTTCAAGCTCATGATTCTCCTGTGAGATCTATGGTTTGGTCCCATGGTGAAGGATGGATGGTTACAGGAGATCACTCAGGATTTATTAAGTATTGGCAAAGTAATATGAATAATGTGAAGATGTATCAGGCTCACAAAGAAGCAGTTAGAGGTATTAGTTTTAGTCCTAGTGATTCTAAGATTGTTACATGTTCAGATGATGGAACTTTAAGAATATTTGATTTCTACAGATGTCAAGAAGAAAGAATATTAAGGGGACATGGTGCAGATGTTAAGTGTGTTCAATGGCATCCTACAAAAGCCCTTATTGTGTCTGGCAGCAAGGATAACCAACAGCCAATTAAATTATGGGATCCAAAATCTGGGACAGCTTTATCAACACTACATGCTCATAAGTCTACCGTAATGGATCTGAAATGGAATGAAAATGGTAACTGGTTAATTACTGCTTCTCGGGACCATTTACTCAAGTTATTTGACATCCGTAAACTTGGAACTGAGTTGCAAATATTCAGAGGCCATAAAAAAGAAGCTTCCAGTGTTGTTTGGCATCCCACTCATGAGGGATTGTTTTGTTCAGGTGGTTCTGATGGCGCCATTTTGTTTTGGAATGTAGGCACTGATAAAGAAGTAGGTTGTATTGAAGGTGCTCATGAATCAATTGTTTGGACTATGGCATGGCACCCTCTGGGACATATACTGTGTTCTGGATCCAATGATCATACATCAAAATTTTGGACTCGAAATCGCCCTGGGGACTTGATGAGGGATAAATATAATTTGAATACTCTACCACCTGGTGTTCAGGATGATAATGATTTAGAAGAACCAGCTATTATTCCTGGGATGGGACCTGAAGATAAAGTTGAGATATTCTCTACTGATACTGATAAAGTAATTCCAGGTTTGGACCTGGATACCACATTTATTCCAATGGAATTTGAGAAAAAAGTAAAGAAAGTCCCATATAGTAAACCAATCCCAAGGAATTTTCAAGCACAGTGGAATCATGGGCCCACTGCTGATGAAGCTGCTACAGAGGCTTTGACTCAGGCTTTAGTAAAATCAGTACCTGGTGCTATACCATTAAATGAAATTACACCATCGGCAATATTTATTTATGGCAAGGTGATACCTGTGGAACCTGGTTCTAAACTTGAAGCAGCTATATCAGAGGGGCCCTTGGCACTTAAAAAATATATAGCCACAGGAGAAATAGAAGAATTGCATGATGTAATGCCTCATTTAGAAGATGATGCTGATGAAGAAAATTTCCAACCATTTGAATATCCAGAGCATGAAAATGAAAGTAATGAAAAAGAAGGTGGTGATAATGAGAGGGATAATTTTGAACAAGATGATTATTATGATCATGATATGGAGGAACATAATAACAGTCGAGAACAGGACCAATCCTATAACAATGGATCTGATATAAACACTATGGGACCAATTAATAATATGCCTCCAATGGGAAATATGATGGGGCCCCCAATGCCTATGGGAAATATGGGTCCCATGGGCCCTATGGGTCCAATGCCTGGAATGGGTCCTATGCCACTATTAGGAAATATGCCTCCAATGGGTAATATGCCACCAATGAGCAATATGCCACCTATGGGTAATATGCCTCCAATGGGCAATATGCCACCAATGGGGATGCCACCAATGAATAACATGCCACCTATGGGCAATATGCCACCACTTCCACCTTTCAGTGATAATGGTTATAATAACAAAGGCCATTATGATTCAAATTATGATAATCCATCATACCCACAAAATGACGAAGAATATAATAATGAAGAGGAATCTTTTGATCAGAGTTATGAGGAGGATAATTATAATGATGAAGGTAATGGAGACGATGGATATGGGAGAAATCAAAGATGGGATGGAGGATATAGAGGGAGAGGTAGAGGTAGAGGCCGTGGAGTGAATGGTCTTGGTTTACGTGGCAGAAGAGGTAATACGGTTAATCGTGGTTCTTCCTGGAATCGCAGGGGTGGCGGCGCCAATAGAAGTTTTAGACGTGGCGGCAAATCGACAAAATCTAACTAGCTTAAGAGTTTTTTTATTTTGAATGCTCCTACAGACTTTTATATTCCCATTTGTTTGTGAGAGAACTGAATATGACGTGTGTTAAGTGTAACAGACAATTTGATAACGATGCGATTCCTAAGGTTGTACATAATTTTTATTTACAGCTTGTGTTTTATTTTCGTAAGCTGAAACATAATAAATTTATATTATGTCAAAAAAAGATTATTATTATTATGTTCATATACAGGTGTAGTTACTCTTCCGCAGTTCAGGTGAGTTAATATCTTATTGATTTAATAATTTACAACTTTGGTAGTATAATAACTCGTTGATTGTTATCTCAGGTAACTACTGTGTTAAATGCAGAAGAAAGAAATGCGGTCATCAATAGAAGCTTTTACATATTCAACTTGCAAGTTTCCTGCCTTCTTTTCTGGTGATTTCGTGTTTGGACCTTCATCTCATCATCTTCGTCAACCTTATAGTAAGAGCCTGGTATTTATTGAATTTGATTTGTCAATAATAAAATATTATAAACCTTTCATAAATAAAGAGATTTCCCTTACCTTAATTGTAAATTATAAGTAACGAAATAAATAAATGATGAATAATAAAATTTCAAAACACGTCCAAGGCATCCCTTCCTTTAACACTGCTATTTTCCAGCTTTTGGTAATACAAGTTCTTTTTATATATTTTAATTGAATAAATTTAATTTTAATAAATACAAAGCTGAAATAATTCAGGAGCTTGTTTATTTATATGAACAAAAAAAAGAACGTAAACTGCGTAAACTTTAAAATAGTTTATAATTTGCCGAAGGTATAATAGTTGTTATTTACCTATATTAAAACTGTAATTGCATGTGGATATTAAACTTGGTAAGTATAAGTTTTTTAAGTGTTTACGTATTAGTAATGGATAGATATAATGTTACAATCGAAAATATTATTTCATATACAAATTATTATATATCCAACATATTTTGCGTCACGTCATTGATTATTTACACGCCTGTAATATAAATTATTATAAATAGGTAAATAGAATTTGATCTTTAATACATATATTGTGTGGCTATTTTGGCCAAGTAAGTGTTTATAATAAGTCACAAATATCTTTAAAAGGAAATCAGTATTATTAACACAAAAATTATTACAATACAGACATGCACCTAAGTACCTACCCATACCTACCAAATTCCTTCCGCCTTGGACTGTATACCGATAGAACTTGAATATTATTGATTAATGGTTACAAATTAGAAAATTAATAGCAACTATAAAATTTGTAGACATAATAAAATTTTGAAATTTTAAGGGGTTTCATTTGACATCGCCCTACACCTAAATAAATAAAGATGAATAAAAAAAATTATTTGTAGTTTTCATTTTTATAATTTATTTTTGCCCTTACTAGATGTTTTGGCGCCATAGTCACCGTGTGTTTTCTTTTGTTCCAGATGAAAATTGCAAGATGCTTGTGTTTGGTGTTGAGTATATTGTTATGTCAAGCAAGTCAACACGATAACGGGGCAGAGAAAAACGCAATCCTAGTAGACAATGGCACAGATATACTAGAAGCTATAAATGGGACTCCCAACTTTAGATTGATAAAGCCCAACAGGGCGGCTCCATGGTTCCCGGAACGCGAGATAAAACTTGACAGTTGTGTGAGGAGAGCTCGTTGCGAGCCGTTAGATAAGTCCACTTGTTTAGGAACTAAGCTGCCTTATGATAAAACAAGCATTCATCTTACTTTTTACGACAATCAGAATCAAATCCAAACACAGCTGGAATTATATAAAGAACTGATAAATGTGCCAAAATGTTGGGCTGTGATACAGCCTTTACTCTGTGCGACATTTATGCCGAAGTGCGAACGAATATTAGGCCAAGATATGGTCTATTTGCCTTCATATGAAATGTGCAAGATTACCATGGAGCCATGTGCTATATTGTACAACACTACATATTTTCCTTCTTTTTTAAAATGTAACACTACATTATTTCCACCGAAGTGCGAAACACCGGCGAGGGAAATGAAATTTAATACAACCGGCACATGTTTATCGCCACTTATCTATACAGAAAAAGCTTTGCACTTCTATGAAGGTTCGTATACTGAGGAAAGTAGTTTTATTTACTATTTGCAATTTTCCAACTTGTTTTTTTCTACACTATTATACTATTTTTTTTTTATTTGTTACTAGTATTCACTCACAACTTCTGCGTGACGGGGATTTATTAATTGACTTGAATATGTATTTCTTCCTTCCAAACATTAGATTTTTACCAAATTCCATTATGATTAGTTGAACCGTTAAATGTTAAGTGGAAACAAACAAACAACACTCACATATATAATTATTTATATATTATTTTATTAATTTATATATTAGTAAAGATAAGGATTAATTTTTGTTAACACATTTTTATCTTTAATATCAATATATTACACAGTACCAATATTTTGTATGTATACAACGCAGGTATATCAGGTTGTGGGCTACCATGTCGGGATCCATTGTACACTGAAGACGAGCATCAGCAGATCCATCGCCTGGTGGCGTGGGGTGCCGGGGTGTGCCTATTTCTCAACCTACTCACCGTCGCCACATTTCTTATTGACTGGCGTAGTGCTAACAAATATCCCGCATTGGTCATCTTTTACATCAACATCTGTTTCGCTGTTGCATCTATGGGGTTAGTTTCTATACTAGAATAATAATCTTGGTAAATAATTACAACTACCACTCAAATAATTATTAAAAACTCCTAAAAATTAACCAATATTGTCACAGTTAACACAATCTATGAAAATAGTTACGAATTTATTTAATTTCTTTTTAAATACTTTGTTAATAAATATCCTGTCAATAAAAATTAGTTGCAAAGAAATAATTATATTCTGCATTTTAAAATTCCTCGAACCTATTATTAGTCGTTTAAAAAATCTATATTATCAAAAATGATTTCCGAACTGTAAATTCGTATTTATAATTGAGTATCATCTCTATAAATTATTATGTATTTGTTACGTACCATTAACTAAATATTCTTTTTAGATGGCTTGTACAATTCGGTTTTGGTTCGAGAGACGATATTGTTTGTTCAAAAGATGGAACTAGACGACAAGGCGAGCCCTCTGCAGAAGAAAACTTGTCCTGTGTTGTTATTTTTGTTTTGGTAAGACATTGTTCATATTTTCTAAAGATAAGTGATAAACATTTCATCATATCGTCATAGTCGTAGAATACTGATGGATCTCACAAAGATTACATATGAAGATCCGTCAGTATTCTACCACTATGACGATATTAGCTATTATCTAGCCACTGCTAAACATAGGTCAGCCCCTATTGGGGAGTTTTGTCACTAGTTGCCACGCTTGGCAGGTGGGATAACGATCGTAATTAGGCTTTGGTGGTGTTTAAATAGGACCGCTTTTGTTCATCACTCGACTCTTACGACAACTACGGAAAAAGAAGGGATGACCCATTCAAAAAAAAGAATGTATTAACTAATAAAGGTCACGATCAAAGCTTTCGTTTCCATATATAAAGCGGATATAAAATATAAAATATGGATCTGACAAATATTAAATATATACATCCGTCAGTATTCTACGACTATGACGATATGTAAATTGTACATATCACTGTAAGCTGTAGTAGAATAATAATCTAATGACATTGTGTTTGTCTGTTACAGGTATACTATTTCATGATGGCTGCTTGCGTTTGGTTCGTCATATTTACGTACGCCTGGCACATGAGTTTTCGAGCATTGGGTATGTATTAAGTCCTATAAAGTGGCTATTTTATCATCATATCAACCGTTAACTGACCACTGCTGAACATATCTTACTTCTTACTAATATAATGAAATTGTAAATAGACGATGTCGGCATATAGAATTTAAGAAAAATTGATATGAAGAGTAGAAAAATGAAATGAGTAGAAGAAGAATATAAGAGTAGTGTAAAACAAAATTTTGTTTGTCTGACCGTATTTTTTGTTGCGGAATCATAAAATCTAACTTCTAATCTAGTGTATGTTTTATCTTGACATGTCTTTAGAAGTATTTATCTACTTACAAAATATACGCGTATAAATGTAAGCGTTGCGGGCAGAAGCTAATATATTATAATAAGAATTTTTATATGTAATTCTGTTCTATATTTAATTATACATTTTATCATTTTTTATGTAGGCGTATTATGTTCTGGTCGTTTTATCAATGTAATGATGTTTTGTAAATAATTTCATTTTTTTTTGTCAAAAATACTTATAAGAAGTTCCTATAGACATAATAGTATTTATTGACAAACATTTGGCACACAAAAATTGTAAATGTATCTAATTACATCACTTTTGTATAAAAATTAAGTGAAACTTACTTTTCAGGTAAAATACAAGATAGAATAGATAAAAAAGCGGCGTATTTCCACCTGGTGGCGTGGTCGTTGCCGCTAGTGCTGACCATAGCCACGATGGCGTTCGGCGAGGTGGACGGTAGCAGTGTGACCGGCATCTGCTTTGTGGGATACATGAATTATTCCATGCGTGTTGCCTTATTGTTAGCACCACTCTCTGTGGTATTGTTACTTGGTGGATACTTTCTTCTAAGAGGTATTTTTAATTATTATTCATTAAAGTTGTGTAGTATTTAATTAATATTCATTATTAAACAGCTTTTAACGATAAAATTATACAAATTTCTAAATACTTTGTTATGGGCAACCACATATGAAATAGCTGTGAGGAGACTAGATGTAATTTGGCGTATTTCTGATTTTGTCTCGGTCTTTATATACAGATTGATAATGAAATAATTGGCGTCCTTTTAAAGGAGTGTTTTACAAGTTAAATATCTTTTCTGAAGGAACTTGAGTTAATAAAGTTTAAATAAGATAATTTTCGGTGGTCGAACATAGTTTTAAAAGGATATTATTCATGACTTTGTTTGGAAACGTGAAATTGCAAAATGATTACATGTAATTTGTTTTCAGGTGTGTTCTCACTGATCGCCGTCCGCGTGTCGAGTAAGGACGTGATATCGCCGCGGGCTTCGAACAAGATACGTCAGACAATTACTCGATGCTCGCTCACTGCTGCGCTAGTTGCAGTTTTCATTTGTGTCACCTTCGCCTGTCACATCTATGAGTTCCGAAATGCTGATCTATGGAAGGATTCTTTTAAGAAGAATATTGTGTGAGTGATATAAATAATCCTTATACATATTTTTTTTATAATAATTGACATTGGTTTTTTAATACAGCTTGGAATCACCACCAAAAGTGGTAACCGTAGACTAAATGTTCGTATGAAAAACATTTATCAAGCACTAGCGGCCCGTCCCGGCGTCGCATGGGTGGACATTTTTACATTTTAAAAAGTGGCCATTAAGGCTGCACACGCGACGGAAGCTTAAAAATGGGGTAATTTCTCCCGTTTTCCCAACATTTCCCTTTACTGCTCTGCTCCTATTTATCGTAGCATGATGAAAAGTGTACTATAACCTGCCCAGGAGTATGAAGAATAATTGTACCAAGTTTCGTTAAAATCCGTCGAGTAGTTTTTGTTTCTATAACGAACATACAGACAGACATCGATCGTATCGATCACTATAATCACCTCCTGATAGTTATTTTGGAAATATATTTTATGTACAGAATTCACCTCTCTACAGATTTATTATAAGTATAGATTACAGAATGTACTGTGTCGTATTCTTCTCTATCTATCTATTTAAGAGCTGCGCTCTTGTCGGTGGAGCTTTTGCCACTCACTACGATTTTCAGCGAGTCTCTTCACCTCTTGATATGACACGACACCAACTCCTTCCTTGATCTGCCTGATGATTCTTCTCATTCATATAAAAATGATATTGATAATATAATAGACTGAAGAGTAAGATAGGCAAGATTGCCTATTCTTACTGTGTTATACTGTATATATCAGCTGAAGACGCCAATATATTTTTCTAGTTTTTACAATAAATTGTTTACTGTGCAAGCTGTATGACTATGGAATAATTTACCAATTTCTATACGAAATTTAAAACAAGTTGAGTTTTAAAACAAAACTTAAGGATTTTTATCTGAACAAGTTGTCATCTTTTTAATTTGTTTATTTGTCTGGTTAGCATACTTATTTTTTATGATATCTAAAAATTTTATAATTTTGTATTTTACGTATACATGTGACCAGTATTTATATATTTTTATGTGTATATGTATGCGTGTATGTATGTATATGTATGTGTGTATTTATATAATAATGTAAATATATATCCCTAATATATATTTACATTATTATATGTAATTTCATAAAAATTAATCGTGCTTCCGATCAAATCTTATCATTACTCTGCTCCATCCAAAAGTTGCCTGGAAGAGATCATTTTTAGCGAAAAGGTTGCCCATTGTTTTCTCGTTGTGATTATTTCTTGTAATTGTTTGTATTGATAATAAGTTTACTATTGTAATCTTTTGGAGGAAACAATAAAGAGTATCTATCTATTTATATATCAGCCATATGGTGGTGGTATTGTTAATGTCGTCCTAAATTATGTTGTCCTCTTACAAGGAGAGAGCTGTACCTAGCAATGATACGCAGATGGTGTCATTTTGTCTATAGGATAGTTTACCATTTCCATACAAGTTATTCCACTAATTTTTGTAACAGTTTAGTTGTCTGGATGGTTATTTAATCACGATTAAATAACTGAATGGATTTGTATGAATTTGATACACAGATGATCATAATTTCATTAAGCCAGGGATTGACTTTATGTTAAGTTGGGTAGATAAAGTGTGTTTAGTAAAATTTGGTAAATTATTGTTTTACTGAATAAGAAGTAAAACATAATATATTTTTTAATGATCTTGCGGAAGTCCATGTCACTGGTTATTTGATTAGAATTATTTCGTTTAATTCCGTTACCATTAGTATGTGTGTGATTACCACGCTCACTACCAGAAATTTGTGCGTAACTACCACGCTCACTACCAGAAATTTGTGCGTAACTACCACTCTCACTACCACAAATTCCACAACCTTCCATATTGGCCATGAATCTCTGACTGTCATTTTGTTCACGCATATTTTGGGATACGTGATTCACCTCTTAAAGAGGTATCTTCAGGCAAATTATCAAATCGCTGCTCGTTCGTCATCCAAATTCCGAATAATTTTCATGTTGGCAGTCACACACGTACTAATGGTAGTGGAATTAAACCAATTAATTCTAAATAAATAATCAGTGAAATTATTATGTGACGCAAAGTAAGCACGACACGATTCTATCATTACGATTTCACAAGGAATCAAATTGTATATAATTTTAAAAGATGCTTAATTTTCGGTCGACGGTAATGTCACGCTATGCACGGTCACGATATCAGCATGCCATTATTGTTATTACATACATATTCTTTTCCTATATGATGACAAAACTGTGCGTGCTTTGCCACGATAAATTCTATTATAGAAGCGCTCATTATATACCAAACATGTTGGCCACACCATCATAATTTGCAGTTATCGACTGTTTGGATTTTGTAATATTTTGTTGGCGGAAACGCGGTTTTGCTTAATTATATATATCGAAAGCTTTAGCTACCATATAAAATAGTGTTTTATCTAGGAAATTGAAAAAAGAACAAAAAATTGTTGAGCCTCTCGTATCAGTATTCATGGCATGACATTTTTGGTATGACATTCCTTATTACTATTTTATAATAATAAGGGACATACTGAACATACTAAAAAAATTTTTAGATTTTTTTTTAATCCATGTTTTAATGAAAACTGGCTACACTTAAATGGTTGCTTATGTATTTTTATTACAAATTATATAGATGTCGGTTGGAGGCGTTGAAAGAGAGCGGTAAGGAATGCGGCGGCGGCGCAAGACCTTCGGTGTCGGTGTTGCAATTGCGGTTACTGTGCTGCTTCGCGGCGGGCGCTCTCATGGCCTCTTGGACCTGGACTCCGGCTGCTGCAGCCGCCTGGAGGCGATACTTGGCAAGGTAGGCAAGGTAACTCAGTTCTTAGGGTTCATTAAGCCCTATCTTGCTAATATTTAAGTTTTTCTAGACTGATTGATGTGTTGACAATAAAGGTTTTTTTTTTTTTAACAGAACGTTGAGAAATGTAACGTAATGTAGAGAATAATATATTTTAGGTGGATCATTGACGCAACATGTGACCTAAACAGCTTGAAGAATTTTTGTAAATGAAATTTTATTAAAATTTTATTAATTCTGGGAGTGTTTACTTGATAGGTTTTAACATTATTTGAAGAATATTTTGTGTAAGATGTGTCTGATTAGCGAAGTATTGTAGGCTGACATCTTTGTCTTATTAGTGGAGATTTATTATTTATATGTTAATGGTTTGCAATTGAGATGATAGTTTATTAACAAATTTTATATTTCAGAAAATGTGGTTGTTCTGTGGAAAGTGAAGTAACAAGACGCGCACGTAAACACGAGTTGATCGCTCGTGCCTATCGTCGTCGTGGGGAATTTGCGGCTCGCGGCCGCCTCTCTATATCGCTCGGGGGCTCCAGGCAGGACCCTGTGGGACTCTGTATTGATCACACGTCCCCTATAGACTATCCAGAGGACGCTAAACATGAGAGGTATGTTCAGTAACTGTTTGTTAAAGTAGTGCAAATAATTATGTATGTATTTCAAAATTAACTACCATGATATTAAGAAATCTAATCACTATTCACATGATTATTCATCATCATCATTATATCAGCCGTTAACTGTCCACTGCTAAATATAAGTCTTCCCCTTTAGGGGTTTTGCCAGTAGTTGCCACACTTAACAGGCAGGTTGGCAACCGTAGTCAGGCTTTAAAGATGTTTTAGGAGCAACGCTGCTGCTCATCCTTCGCCCTTCCTTAGTCGACTATTACGACACCCACGAGAAAGACTAATATGCTTATTGATTGGATAATTTATTTTTTCATAATAAGAAATATAAAGAATAAATAAATACATTTTCTTATGTTCTGTCTCACTTTACTAATATTACATTTTATAAATAATTTGATCCTATATAATAATCCTTTTTTAAATTGAGTTCACCATATTCTTTATATATTAATAGTACACCATCAAGCTTTATATATTAATAGTAATTATTATTTTTTAGTGCCGAGTTATCATCATCATGGGCTGCAAATCTTCCAAGATTTGTGCGTCGACGCGATGCTCTTGTATTACCTACACACACCCATCACTCGTTGAGCTCAACTCCGGACCGTCGCAATTCCCAGGACTCTCAAATAAGTATTAGTCTCCGTCACGTTTCGGTTGAATCCCGTCGTAATTCACTAGATAGTCAACTTTCAGTAAAAATTGCAGAAATGAAGACGAAAGTTGGAAGACGGCGAACTAAGCATAGTAAAGCTAAACGTAAGGCGCGAGCCGCTAATGTACGCAAAGAAAGCACACCGTCCATAGAAAGCCAAATAAGCCGTTACTGGCTACAAGCTGTAGCGGCTAACAATGATCGGTCCCGCGAGGAGGTGAAATTTAGTTTTGATTGACTTGATCTCTGAATAAATATGTACTTGTAAACAATTTCGTCCGTTGCACATGCAATTTGCAATGCGTTATTAAGAATCGTCAAGTATTGACTTTTATACAAAGATTATGTATATTCATATCAAAAATAGTCTTTATTTAGACTGGCAAGATAAATCATCAAGTTACGATTCTGGTAATTAATGGACTCTGAAAATTAATTTTCTGTCGAGATGAATTAAGAAAACCCTAGACTTTATAATTTTCACAAAATATTTTCAGTAGGTTCAAGTACAAATATACATAATATATAATATAATGATACGTAAACATAGCATTATACATAGAAAGATGTGATCTTAATAGGTCGGTTGTATGACATGTTCCCGAATATGAAAAAAAGTAAAGCTAGCCATCGTTTAATCGTTAATTTTACGAAAACACTATTTAAATGTACAATAAACAAATGATATCTATATGTAGATTAAATTGCATAAATTCTGAAAAAAACAAAATCTACATAATTTATAAAAAAAAAAAAAAAAACAGAATAACGATATGAATATTCTATAGTTTTATGAAAGTTATTTATTAAACTTTTTAGAAGTAAGTATAAAGTTCAAATTAGGATTTATCGAAGTCCAAAGTCTTTAAAACGTGAATCTCGAGATTCTAATGGATGTAGAGAGAACTGCTTACGGTATGTGTGTTACATTGTTATATAATTAAAAGACTGAATGGAATCTCTGGTTAAATACGTATAATTTCATTTCTAAATGTACATGCGTTCTTGCACGAGCATGCAACATCCATGACAATGTTAATGGTATTTTTGTGATATTATCTGTAACCTCATAATTGTAATTGTGCCATAAATACTCGCATGGTGAAAGACAGCGGTAAATCAGAACTGATAGTGTTACTATGTAAGTTGTATTAGTAATTTTGTTATATTAAACATGCAACGCAAATATTTAATTTTTGTAATCACACTGGATGCACGTACTTTGTGATATAGGTACAATCGTTTTAGAGCTTAATAATATCGTTGGCGCAATAACGACGGCGTACAAAACACGGTTGTGATGTTAATTTACTCTTGTTGTGTAAGAGTACCGAGGCTATATATGATGAAATTAATACATATTTTGATATTGCAATAAAATCGTTTGCGATATTATTATTATTATTGTACTACTTAGCAATTAATTATAAAGTCGGCATGACCATGCTGCAATGTTATCAATGCAGAAAGACTCGAGTTGCATTTTATGATTCGTAAGTCTGTTAGCTTTAATTATTATTATGAAGTTTTCTAAGAACATGTATGTTTTCTACCAGTAATGTACTTTATTTTAATGACATTTTACACAATAAATTTTAAAAAAGAATACTGGACTTTTTTTCGCAGTTTGTTGCAATGCTTCACGATTTTAATAGCAATTGTAATTCATTCTAAACACTTATCAATATAAACCTGCTATAGAAAACAAATGAATTTGTAATTAATCATCCTTAGATATAGGGGATTATTTTTACTATATTCTTTTAACACTTTTTTTCATCAACAAAAACTGTTAAATCTCTCTTAAATAATTTTGGATTTGGGGATCTCCGAATAGTTGGGAAGTGAAATTTTTCTAACCACATAATATTATGTTAGTAATGTAGTATATTTTAAGGATATTTTCCATATACAAAAATAAGAATTAAATAAAAAAAGAAATGTAATTCTTAAGGTAGTTAAAATTCAAACAACAAATCACATGTTTCATAATTTAATAACAAGACGAGCAATTTCTGTCACAGAATCCTGTGTAAAAGTATCATGGGTTGTATTTACGTAATATGAGATTTTATGTAAATGTACAATACAGTCATAACAGTGCAGGCAAAAATATAAAAAATAATATTCAATATGATATTTTTTTTTTAATTAATTATGATCTTGTCTTAATATTCCGCAAAACATTCTTTTTTTAAATATTCGAGAACTATTAATACTGTTTCTTTACAAATCAGGTTTAACATTGTCTATATAATATTGTGAATTATTTTTTTAGGTAAGATTATGAGCTATGCACTTTTGTTATGGCTAATTAGGCATCAATGCTAAATAGAATAAAATTATGAGACTATAAAGCTGTTGGACGTTACTGTTGTGCTCTAATCGCCATGTTAAAATTTTAATGGCAAGATACCTGGCAATATATTTGAATATTACAATAATATCTAAAAATTGCTCCGTGCAAACATTTTGCAGAAACACTGGTGTAATTAGATAGCTAAAATAACTGTTTTTTATCTTCACAATTTGACATATGCAAAAAAAAAAGGATTGTTAGAGCTAATTTCTGGATATTTTATATGAAAAAGAGGAGTAGATAGTAAGTGAAATTACTGGGTACGATTACATAGTAACTTTAGCTTTTAGGAATAATAATGCAAGACATAATATATTTTGTGAATCAACGTCGGTATTCATGTGTAAGACAATGGATATTAGATAGGCCACCGAAATTTTTCCTATTACAAATTAAAAAAAAATTTAGAACAGACTTTATAGGGGGGAAAAGAGCGACTTTATTGTAAAATAAACGGGTAAAAGGCAACGTACAGAAAATAATTTATCATATTGCCGGGTTAACTCTAGACAAGTTCGTAAAATTTGCATAAAATTAGTGGGCAACATTTTTAGCAAAAATCAAATTGTGAAGCGATATTCAATTAAACCATTCGAGATGTTATGCGAGTTGTAAAATATAGTACTTTAATCTTCAATCACAGACACAAAAGTGGCAAGATTCAATCTTACATCTAATATAACTGATAAAGGTGAATTTTATATAACGTATTGTATAGATAGCTGACCATAGCACTAAAAGGCAGTATATGGTAAGAATTCTGGATAAATATTAAATTTTTACTCTATCTATTAAATAGTCTGTAATTAGCATATTTTACCAATACCACATTAATATCATACTTAACTCCATCGACGACGATTCATAGTTTGCACGCTCAAGAATCGGAGGGTTTACCTTTCTGACAACTTCGTATCCACTCAACATATACGAAGCGGCAGAAGTAGTGTAGAGACATTAAATATTCTAATAAATATGTACATTAAAATACAACTTAAGAGTAATATTATGCGACCGAGAGAGATCAGTGGACGGAATAAAAAGACTACATTTTAAATATAGAATAAAAATATCGTGTAAAAAAGGCTATCTCTATAGAAACATTATATATCTAATTAAAGAATTTCTGGAACAAAATATGCTTATGTTCAATTTCAAAGGAGCATTGCACTTATAAGCAACCGCATTAGGCATCTAACTATTCAGGCGCGTGCGGGCCTGCATTTTATATAGGACTTTAATGGGTAAGAGTATGTGTAGATAATGTTAAAATTAAATGATTAACCAGAAAACAAAAAATGTTTTTTAAGTTTATCTACTCAAGTCAGCTCATTTATTTATCCATGTACAAAATTCACCTTTACGTTAAAGTGAGATTTTTTATGAATCATGATGATTTTATAATTTAATACTTTTTATAAAATGACAAGCATGCAAAAAACGCAAGATAAGTTATAGGAAAACAACACCAATATAGATAATACAATAAAATTATAAAATATAACACTTAAAATAGTTATAATCTACAAGGAATGTAGCAATTTCACTGTACTGCTCACTTAAAACTATTGTCAAAATTGCACAAAAAAGGAAACTTAATTCTTTGGCCTTAAGATCTATTTGAAAAATCACAAAACTTATTAATTAAAAAAATAAATTCGATATAATACCCAAAAGAAAAGATAACAACCACCACAAATAAAGTGTATTATGTGCAAATTATGCAAAATTAGGGTTTCTTAAAAGTAACGTATGGTCATGTGCATATGATCTAAAACTACGACTTAAATTATTAGCTGTTTCATATTTGATAACATGCAACAATTAATACCTATCTAAGTAGCAACAAAATTAATCTACGGACATATCACACGTTCACAGCAGTCTTCTCATGTAGCCCTCGCCGTACGTATGTTCTTCTTTTCCGATTCAGTAAATCCTAGAATGTTCTCTATAGCATTGAGATGACCTTGATGGTTCTCAGGATCAGTCAGGAAGTAGTAAATGGCCGACTTCAAGAACTGTAACGTCACCTCAGGATCCACATTGGTCTTGCTACCTTTCTGCGACTCTACAATACGACGATACATAGCCTGTAATACAAAATATGTATATTTAAGAATTTGTTTGCAATAAACTCGTTAACAGCATGCATTAAAAAAGAAGACGAATAAATAGGTTGCAGTAAACAAAGATAAAAAATACTACGAGGTAGTTGGTTTATTAACCAGATATACAAAAAAATATTAAATTTAGATCTGCGTTTTTGTCTACTAAATTTTACACTTTGTGAAAATGGTGAACGACTGAGTTAAAATTAACATTATGTAAAATAACGACATTCTCTTTAAAACCATATTTTCACACACTATTTATTTTTGCTAATTCTCTTTGAACTAATACACATAATAAATATATAGTGTTTAGAAATATACTGCAAGGAATTGTGCAGTTCATTTTTAAACACTAATATGTACATAAAATCTAAATAAATAAATAAATATATATATATATATATATATATATATATATATATATATATATATATATAAAATTAACTATACACCATTTACCTATATTACCAATAAAACCAAAAGAGGCTGTTTCAGCGCAATATCATGCAAAGCTAGTGTTAGGCAAGAAAATAAAAATAATTACCAACTACTTGCATACAGGAGAAAATATTGCTAACGTACTAAAATTGTGTTAGTTTTTAAGTTTATTTTTTGTATAATGTTAAATTTATTATCGACATTTATATACAATTTAGCGTAACGATTTTATAAAACATGTGTAATTATGTATAGAACCATAAATATCTATAGGCAGCAACAATAAGTGGGTTATAATATTTTGACAATAAAGATACCTTGCATTGCACATAAAGAAATTATATACAATCCATATAAAATGAGCACATATACTTTTCGTATGATGACTACCCACACCTTAAGAGAGTTAAGTTTTTATTAACCTTGTTTAAATAGGTTTAAAAATAAGAAAATTCAAAACATAGACTTTAGCTAGACTTTCTCTTAACCTTTGTGCTAAAGCAAAGTGTAAAAAAAATAAAATAATAAACACGGCAGTGGTTAGTGGACGCTGTGGTCCAGTAAAAGATCCAACCTTCCGAGCTCCTAGGACCCACAAAGAAACAGCCTCCTTTGCACTTAGAAGTACTTGTGACTTTGCCGTTCGGTCCGCTGTGAATGCCGTGTCCTGTAATGCACTACACATTAAAGCTCGAAATTGTTAATCGCCACTACATGCACACGCTACACAACTCTGGTGTCACAATGTGATGTGGTTAATCTATTAATAATTTAAAAAGGTTATTATTATTCTAGTTTTCTCCTTTTCACGTGCGCCGTACAGAGGGGATTAGCATCAGTAGAAAATGTTAGAATCGAAGGAATAAATGAAATAAGACTGTTATGTATGATGATATTGATGAAGAAATTATTATTAATAATACTTTGTAACTTTTGTAATGCTACTGTTCGGTATCATGGAAATCGTATAACGATCCGAAATCCAGCGTTGGTATTCATTAAACTTATTATTTTTCTCAAGAAAGGTCGACTCCGAGGTTCATTATTTTCATATAACCCATGAAGTACTTCAAGTATGATGATAGTCAATCTGTAAACTTTTATCTTAAAACGTTTACCAAACGTATAACTTTTTATAAATTTCAATATTTATTAATGAGATGTAAGGAATATTTTATATCAAAGAAAAATTCAGAGGTACTATAGCTGGTTTCTAGATTGTTATACATTTCATTATACTGTGTAAAAATCTTTATAATACCTATATTTTTGTTACTTTATGCGTAATATGCATTACAAAGGTCATACATCTGTTGTCAAGGATATATTATTGTTCAATGTAAACAGACTATTGTTTCGCACACAAGTTAAAATTAAGCAAAGGATAAAATTATGAATACTCACTCGGACATTTTCGAGCTCAGTCTGGGTAATCTGCAGCTGTTCAAGTAGTTCTTCAACAGAAACTCTGCTTTCTTGTCCTTGTGAAGTTCCAGGTTCTCCTTCCTGCAAGATCAAGAAATGTGTTGCAAACACATTACCTATATATTACCCCTTTCCACTCCAAGCCTTTTTTTTTCTTTTTATTCCATCAGCTCCACGCTAAAATTACGTTTTTTAACATTTAGGGGTTTTTTCTTATTTTGTAAATAAATTTGATTTTTTCTTATATGATAAACTTTATTTTATGAGTAATTTCAGGATACTATATTATAATACTTAATTATAATCTTTATAATCCCTTTTGGTATGGTATTTTTTAAAAAATCGCACCTTTTTTCAAATTGTGCACAAAAAGAAGTATTACACTATGTCGAGTGTCACTCGACAGTGGAGCTGGTGGAACAAAATAAATGTCGAGTGACACTCGACATTGGAGTGGAAAGGGTTAATTCTAATTATATATATTTCTTATTTAAATAAAAACAAAGGGTATGTTTTTATACTCATAAAAATTAAAATCTATGGACCTATTTTAATTTTTACATTGTTTTGTCACTTTTTTTTTAATTAAAAGTTCGCACCAAAGAAATTAAGTTTCATTTATTTAAATATATATATTCGATTTATATTTAAATATATATATTTATCTCATCCTCAGTTATGAATACCTTCTATAAATATTACATTTATTTTGAATTAATGAACTATTATGTATATAATAAGTACCTTTTCCAATTCAAACTTAGCAGCTTCAACTCCTTTGTTGTACATCTGCAAGTACATAGAGCGATGCCTACTTTCTTCTTCTTGTAACTGTTTGCTCGCCTCTTCTAGCTGCTTCTCTAGGGAATGGATTCGTTCTTTAGCTTGTTCATAGTTTGGTAGTAATTCACAGTAGCGCGTGTTCACATCAGCCAACTTCTGCAGCAAAGCTTCCACCTTGTCATTATGAGCCTTTTTCAATTCCTGTGTCTCTCCCACATGTGCTCTCATTACATCTTCCACTTTTTTCTCGTAAAAAGATATTAAGCTACGTCGCTCCCCATCTGAATCTTCAACCTCAGTCATGCAAGCTGCTTCATGTGTTAACATATGGACTGATTCTTTAGAGTGTAAAGAGGAGTTTGTGAGATCATCAAAGTGGCCAGAATCAGTAAAAGAACCTTGCATATCATTCCGACACCGAGTGGGGGTTTGATCTTTGAACAGGGGACTATCAGTAACATCAAAGGTACTACAAGCCTCTTCACGTTTAGGGCTTTCTTGCTCAATAGAAATATCATCAGCATTTTCTCTTATTGTCACAATTTCACTGGAGTTTGATTTTTCATCAGGTGAACAAATGGATGCTTTGTAGAGGCGAAGTTCAACTACCTCCTTGGTGAGATGGAATATTTCACTGTCTTTTTTTTCTAAGTCTTTTTTAGCTTGGCTGAGTAAGCTTTTTAGGCGACGTATTTGTTTTTGGGCTCGTTGCGTGGGCGTTAAGTAATCATCACCTGCTAAGCCTGCGTGAGAGGAACAATGTAGGACATATCGCATGGACCGGCCACTGAATGTAGTACCGTTGAAAGGTGCGTAACCCGCGTCGACAGAAGCTGCGGTGGCTGCACTACCGTAACTGTGGAGAGACTCATCATCAGGCAAGTCCTCCGGAGATCCAGGTGGAGTATGGGCAGAATCAGTCATATCCAGTTTGCTATCCATACCATTGTCAGGGGATTTCAGGCAGGGCTTTCTGGATTTGTGTTGAGCATTTGAGCTAAAAGACTGAAAAAGTATTTGTATTAGATATGAGAATAAAAAAGAAAAAGATTTTACTTTTTAAATACTATTAAATGGTGGAGAATTATTATTAGTAATGGGATCTAACTGACCCATTGCTAGTAATACACTCTATTAGTTCAACCTCCACTCAGTTCCCCCTGGAAATCATTGTGGTTAATTCTAGTGGAATCCGTCATGAAGTGCTAACTGACCTGTTTTCATTGTCACCTATCATCCCTCATAGGTGCCTCGCCAGCATTTACCAATAGTGCAGGCAAGTATACCATTCCATTAGCACCCATTAAAAAAAATACTATTAAGAAGCTTAATCATCATTATCTCATCTGCTCACTGCTAAACATAGGCCTCCCCCATGGACTGCCATAATGGTCCTGATAGAGCTTTGTAGATGTCTTAGTAGAAGCTTATAATCTAACAAAATCATTAGAATTTCATGAGTATAGTCAGGTCCCATGTTATTTATTTTTTACATAATTAAAAATAAATTACTAAATGTGTTACTGAAAAACACAAAATCTAGAAGGACTTGACTTATTTAGCTATTTTGTTTCCAAATATTTGTTGAAGTTTTCCTTAGACTTCAACAAATATTCGTCATTTTTAGTTATAATTGTTTCCCCATTTTTTTTGTTTCTATACAAACTATTTCTATGTGGTGATTCAAAAATTGGCAAAATTAATAAGGGTTAGTTAGATGTAAAATGCAAGAAAGTAAATTTGTTTATGTAAATATTCCATTAAAAAAATTAGTACAGATTTATATTTTATTTTGAAAAACTTGTTTAATGATACATTTGATGACACATTTAAAATGCTTAAAGATGTATGACAAATTCATATTTTTATAGAATAAATAGATTTAGATATACTATGCAGTCATCTGTTTCTAAACTGAGAAGAGATTGAATAATGTGTTTATGGTATGAAATGTTGTTTTTGACACTTATTTAAGATAGTAAGCTAGAATCATAAGAAGAAAGAAAGAAAGTTTCCTATAGTGAAACTTAAAAAGTCCATTTTATTATGATGGTTAATAATGAATCCTAAGAGTAGTATAAAGCAAATGTATATAAGATTTGCATAGGAATTATTTTAAATTCAATATTTTGTTGTTCATAACATAACAATATACTGTATATATTTAGATTGGTACAAATCTATATCAACAATATATATTTGTACTTCAGTATGTATTTAAAGTTATTATTTTACATAATACATTATGTACATACTATAGCTAACCCAGTAAACATTATTTTGCCTCCCTACAACCTTAAAAAATAATCCTATTGAGTCCATATCTTATTCTTATTAGGCTTTCCATATCCTATGTTTCAAGTTGGAGAAAAACAATATGTAAAAACACATGGTTTCAACAATTAATGTGAATAAATATGCTGATAAGGAATTTTAGCTGTTTGTGTGAACAAAAATGTACACCTTGATTTTTTCTAAAGATACTACAATAAGAAACATGAAAGTTTTTACTTATAGAAGTTTGTTGATTACAATGCTTAGATGACTAAATGGATTTGAATAGAATTTGATACATTAATAGACTATATCCTAGATTAACCCACAGGATTCTTTTTATTTTAATCACTGCAGACATAGTTGCATGTTGTACTAACCTAGTAAATAAATATTTTTTTTTAGAAAGTCCAACTATCTAAAAAAAGTTCTATATTCACTTGTGTAAAAAATATTCACAGCATTCTTTGCAATTTCTTTAATCTTTTTAATCAATCTTTTTAATACCTACCATTTCTCAGATATCCCTAAAATTTTAATAGACTATTAAGTAAAGGCTAAATTACATTTCATTTAAATAATATTTTAAGGCATTGCTCCTTTCATTATGAAAAATAAATAACGTTGTTCATAAATGAAATACTGAGATAATGCCCTACATATGTTTAGAGTAGCATGACATATGTAATCACAATTTAAATTTACACATTTCCGTAGACAGCTAATACAAAGATAATTTTGTTATTCATATAGGTCCTTGCTTTTTAGATCTATAACACAACAAATTAAAGTATCTTTTCTATATGTACAGACAGTACAGTGATCTGTAAGTTGTATTGAGTTGCGTAGCAAGCCACATAAATGTTTGATCAACGTGTAGTGGGGACAAAGTGAATGATACTCACATGGCTCCTTTGGCGATGACCCGGCTCCACGAGACGAGCTCCATCGCTCCGGGTTTTTTGATGTGCGTTTTCCGTGATTACAGGAATTAATTTTCTAGTAGAAAGAGGCGAGCGCTGCACCATCTTTTCACCGCGCAGTCGCAGTGAAGACGTGCGCCGAAAGTTGCCGGCAATACTTCCCGCGCAGCAGTGTTCATCATGAAACTCTGGCACTCTTCTATTATAATTTCTATTCATTTTCTTCAATTACTTACATCGACGTAGCGTACTGCGAAAAATGTAAAAATGAAACAGCTGTTTATATTTTCGCAAGTGCCAAATTTTTTTATAATTGTAGTATATTCGGCAAGGCGAAGGAACTATATCCATACAGCTGTATTATAAATACAGAAATGAAAAAGTTATGAAATAATTTAAATTTCCGAGTTTAATATAATTTTTTATGTACGTTTTCGTGGCTTAATTTTAAAGCAGTTAAAAATAAGCAATAAAGCGTAGGTAGTTGTAATTAGCGGACCCGACAGACAGACTGTGCTTTGCTTGCTTTTTTTTCATTTAAAATAAATTAGGAAGTAATGGGAGAGAAATTAAATTTAGATATAACATATAACATGTTCTTATATTAAAGAAAAAAATAATAATAATTAAATGAAAGGGAAGAACGAAATATTTTTTATGAATTTTAAATTTAAGAATAGTCACCTTTTTTATACCACTGCCTATTCGGAATAAAAAAAAAAATTTCTGAAATCCTATCGCAGTGCCACCTACAGGACAACATCCAGAGATCGACTTAAACATACAAGAAATCATCCACATCAGTCCAGTGGTATAGTTCTGTCATATTTGTACGTACGTACACATTAATAATCCTACAATGTTTTCTATGTAAATGTGAAAAATTGTAAAGATATTTGTATGAAATATAATGTATGTATGTTGTATGTCTCAACAGATTAGAATGAAATTTGGTAGGTTATAATATTTTAACAAAGGATACTTAATACTAAAAATAAGTCATAATACAATTAAGTACCTGATTGGATTTTTACGTTTTAATTTACTATTTATTTTTTATTTATTTATTTTTTGTAAATTTCGCGATACGTTTACAATTGTGAATCCATTTTGTTGATTAGTATTTTATTTACTTCGATCTTGGTTTTATTCATGTCTAATTGCAGTTTATATAGTACACATTACATAAGTTTCATAATAAAAATCTTTGTAATTTAAGTGTAACTTACACGATACTAGTAAGTAGGTAATTGTTGAAGAACAACGTCGGCGTTTGGAATTTGCACTCAATATAAACGGAACAACACTGTTCGCTTAGACGATTTCTTACAACACGGCTCAGTCAGTTGCACAACTGGGTTTGACTAGTTACAGAATACCTATTGCATTATCATGATATATTAAGTCTGGGAAAAGTCTCCATTTATTTGTTACCTATGTGCTAGTCTATTAGCTACAATACACTTTATAGGTATGTACTTATGTACCTAAGTTATATACATATTGCTGTTACAATTTGCCCGTCATTTTTTTATGGAACATAAGATGGTATAATTGATCAGCTACCATATGGAAGGTGGTAACAGTCGCCTACATTTATGAATAGCGCCATAGATATCACAGAATATACTGTGATAGTCATGGTGTCCTGTGAACTGATTCAATTTGTATATATGTAGATGTAGGAAACACTAAACTTCAAAATTAGCACTTACATATATTTTAGCAATTAAATAAAAGGCAGGAAGAATTATTATTCATAAATTAAAATGACTTTATGTCTCTATTTGTTCATATATAATTTTATATTTTGTTTCACCGATTATAAAAATAAATAATACCTATAGTAAATAATAGGGATAAAAAATGTGCGTGTGAGGTTGAAGTCAGTTCAATTGCCCATCATGATGAATCCATCAGGAATTAAAAGCGTTTATTTTCAGAGGAAAGCGTGTGGAGATCGTCCTGACAGTGTATATTCTTAATAATGGGGATAAGCCGATACCTTTAGATAGAGAATATTAAAACTATTTATTATAGTTAGAACACTGTTAACAATTAATATATAATAAATAAAAATGAAAAAGAAAATTAGAGACAAGATTGCTGACTTTTCTCTGGAAAAATTGTTACATGTATATATATACATACACACACACATATATATATATATATATATATATATATATATATATATATATATATATATATATATATATATATATATATTAAATGCATACATTTTATGTACCGTATGTCTATCGTTTGGTAATAGGTAATATATGTAGTTAATTTACACTACACAAAGCTACCACCACAAAATATCTAATAATCTTAAGCGTAGCTCCGAAAATTGTGCGTTTGAGTTTTGTGGTGTACTGATATAGTAATGATGATTATTATTTCAATACAAACATTCAAATTTTGGCTAAAACGAAGATCAACCCAAATTAAAAAAATCTCGTATGTAACCAAAACATTAGTAAAATTGGGGTCATGTATAAAGAAAGTGGTGCAGGGAGAGATGCTCACTGAGTGTAAGCTATTCCACATTTAAAATAACGATGCTACATTCTTTGATTTCTCACTTATTATAACTTTTCAATGTTATTTATTGGTAATGGTATAAATTGAAACAAAAATTCACTAAAAAACCAAATGCGCCCTGCTGCTTTTCTGAATCTACCTTCACATTGCGGTTATATGTGCAGAAATAACAGAGTATCGAAGGCCCTATTCTAATATCTCCAGCTTTATACACTTTCATAATTTGTCTCATAGTAAACCCCGACTTAAGACTACTCCGGAGATTCTTTACTCATACAGTATAGTATGACCTTTTTAACCATGGTTGCTGAGTACAGGCTGTACTTCTATTTCTGTTTTTAAACATTTATTTTACTGGTACTAGTACTATAGAACAGTTTCATCATCATCATCTTGGCTCCGTCCACTGCTGAACATAGGCCTCCCCCATAGACTGCCATAAAGAATGGTCCTGAACCACCTGCATCCATTGACTCCATGCAATGCATTTGAGGTTGTCACTTCATTTAGTGGGGCTTCGCCCCACATTGCGTTTCCTCATACGGGGTCGCCACTGAAGACCTTTCTTCCCCTTTGGTTGATGGTTCTTCGAGCTTTGTGACCAGCCCGCAGAATAGGGGGGAAAGGGATTGTTAGTAATGCGGACTATCAGTCCCATTGCTAGCAATATACCCTATCAGGTCGACCTCCACGTAATCCCCCCTGGAAACTATTGTGCTGAATTCCAGGTGTATTCATCACGAAGGGCTAACTGACCTGCCCTTTTATCTCACCTATCATCTCTCACTGGTGCCCCGCCAGCGTATATCGATATCGCAGGCGGGGTTACCATTCCATTATCATTCATTAAAAAAAAGCCCACAGGACAATTAACATTTGATTACATTCGAAACGGGGTTTTTTCTATTGGTTCGTATTTTCAGCTACGTACCATTTAGATGTGTTGAGAAAAATAATTATAATTGTTAATTTAGCGGATTGTTTTTGCTCTATCCTGCTATTTGAGTTTTTTGCTTTTAGTCAGCCAAGGTTAAACAGTATCTAACGCAGTAGGTATTAGGTTCTTATTTCAGATTTATATTGGTAGTACCTAAATATATTTTATTATTCTTTATATAAATTTATATAATAAATTTACTATTTACTCGTATTTTATAAATATAGGTACATATTTATTAATTTACAATATATGTATCGTTACAGATAAATATACCTATATATTTACGGTCTATTTTCCGAACCACTGAATGAAAATAAAGACAACGTTACGTGGGAAAGGAAAATTATTGCGGTAGCACTCGAAAGTAAAATTAATAGCCGATTATACTCACTAATTGTAACAAGTACGAATTTCCCAATATCCATTGCGCTCAGTGAGAACATCGCCGGAACATCAGTAACACAAGTATTTAGCACAATCGTAGTTCGATATAATACAGTCGTTCGCACAGTGTTGTTCCAAGGGGAAACTTGGAAATATCAACTTAAACATCGCAAATTACATAGAGTAAACCATCCACGTTAACTTTTACGCTAAGAATGTTGCGGCAAGTCGTCGGAGCGCAGTGCGTTGGCTGCGTGCTTGGTCAATGTTTGTTCACGGTATGTTGCGGCCGTTGCTGAGGCTGGCAGCGCCTCGCTGTGGCCACGTCAACGCAACTACCAAATTGCTTGTTAGCAAATGTACTCATTCCATTGTTGTGGTACTCGTTGTTACGCCACCATCTAGCGTATCGCATAACGAGTAGCTATGGATCTGAGCAAATTTGAGAACAATGGCAATAACTTGGTTTTTTCACGGTATTATGTACGGTGCATTGCTGAAACTGGGAGACACAATACGCCATCTGGCGTATATTTGCACATTGTTGTATAGTACGCCTGTAGGTACTACGATAGATCAACATATAAACATTGTACCTATAGGAAGTTATTGCATCAGATTCAGGTTTCATTATTTTTAGAAGTACCAATCTACCTAGTTTTTTTGCACTTATTTGATACGAGTTTCAGCTGTCGCAGTTATTCCAATATAGGATTATTAAATAAATGCTACTGTCTATAACAGATCAATCCTCATATTGAGCCAAATTTTGTAATGAACTAGACAATTGCCTATACCTAATCCTTTTGGGCGGGGGGAAAGGGATTGTTAGTAATGCGGACTACCAGTCCCATTGTTAATAATATAGGGTATATTCATATCAGGTCAACCTCCCCCCTAGAAACTATCGTGCTGAATTCCAAGTGTATTATTTATCAGGATGGGTTAACTGACCTGTCTTTTCATTTTCACCTATCACCCCTCACTGGTACCCCATCGGCGTATACTATAGCGCGGGCGGGTTACTATTCCATTATCAAACATTAAAAAATCTCATGATGCCATATCGCAATCTTTATGTCTGAGAAATCCCTCTCTATGTTTATAGTACAGTCATTTATGCTGGTTGGAGTTGTTGTGCTTTGGTGAAACGGGTAGGTATTTAGTTTCGCGAACAATAATTATTACGACATACTCTGATAACGATGAAAACATGTTTGATGAGTGCAATGCGTAGGCACGACTGCGTTACATTCTCTTTTATGTTTTCCTCGCATATATTATCGGAAAATGGTATTCACAGAGAACATACAAAGGTATTCAGGTTACTAATTATAAGCAATAACATTTGTACAGGAATACGTAAATGATTTATTATATATATTTTTTTATTTTTACTTGTCGACCTTATTTTTATATACTTACCTCATTATATATTACCTTGAAGCATTCACTGTAATTCAAATGCAATTATAGTTACGTATACTGGCTAATTAACACACTTCCTGTGCAATGAATATGTTCCTTTTATGCCACCCGAATGATTTTGATTTATGTATTGATAAATTAACTAAGCAATGATCTCGAATCCTTAAACAGATTTTTCTAATGTATTTAAAAAAAAAACATAGTAGATATAAAAGACAATTTTAAACTCAAATTTATATCAAATTAAATCATATAGTTTGGCTATGTTCTGTGTTGGATTAAGAGCCAGTTTTTATACTATTGACGATTAATGCCATAGACCAGTGTTTCCCATCGTGGGGTTCATGCCCCACAAGGGGGCAATTTGATAGTTAAGGGGGGGGGGGCAATTAAAAAATGGACTCTTAGCGATTTTAACCCTTTTGCTCCGGGCCATTCAAATGCAAAGCTACAAGTAGATATTGGTGCTAGATTTAACAAAAAAAAGTAAATTAAAAAAATGTTGTAAATATTTATTAGGTAAATATTCGTTTGACGTTACCAAAATATCAACTGGGCGATTAGAGTCGTCAAGTAAGCTTTCTTCAAGTAAACTCGGGAAAAATTATGTATGGGGGCATAAAAATTTTAGAAATGTTCAAGTAGGACGTGGCACAAAAAAGGTTGGGAAACACTGCCATAGATACTGTATAATGTACTAACGCAATCATCATGGATGGATCTATGTTTAAGTATAATAGATCTGTATTTATGGCAGTCGTGACTGGCTATTGATTTATAGATGGATAATTTTGGTCAAGATTTAATGTAACGTAATGTGTCTAACATTTAACAATGTATTTAGAAATTTTTAATACTACTGGAAAAGGCAATTTTGACATTGACGCCCAGATATGAGCATCGCAAATTAACCTGTATTTGAAATAGTCCATGTGATTCAGAAGGGCTGAGCCAGTAAAACGTTTAAAACAAAAGACTTTTCTCAGAGGTATTACAAGTTGCAATTAGTTTTATCTAATATTTATTTTTATGGTACCCTTTAGATGTCATAATAGAATATCTTTTTAAGTGAAACAGGTAGGATGATAGCATTTATTTTATCTAAAGTCGTCTAAGATTTTATAGTATATCATCATAGTCATATCAGCCGTTAACTGTCCACTGTTGAACATAGGTTTCCCCACTTGGGAGGCTTTGCCAGTAGTTGTCACGCTTGGCAGGCGGGTTGACATTGCTGCCCATTCCTATCCAGGAATGGGCATATAAAGGCTACTAAGGGATTTTAATAATCCTATTAAAATCCCTTAGTAGCCTTTATATTCTACCTATACTTGGCGCAATTAATAAACAATCTTTCCCGTATTTTTATCGAAATGTATATGTAAATCCGTAAAAAAACGAACAGGTAAATAACGAGTGAAAATGTGTTTGCTTTTATGAATTATAAATTATTGTATTTGTTATTATTATTCAAATTATTATAAAAACATATTAAATATGTTTACTAATTGTAAATTTATTATAACAATATTTTGTAAAGAGACTACACGACTCGCCAAAGATTCAGACAACAGTTACGTAGAAAAATTTATGATGTATATCCTTGGTAAGGGAATTTGAACTATTGTTATACACTTGCCTACAATTAATGAGGATAATATGATAAGGAACTTTAATTACTCCTCTTCATCCAAAGGTTGTCTGGAAAAGATTGCTTTTAGCGATAAGGCCGCCCATTGTTTTCTCACTGCGATCATTCCTTGTAATTGTTTGTATCTGTAATAAGTCTACTTTGAAATCTTTTAGGGGAAACAATAAAGAGTATCTATCTATCTACTCGTATTTGTTTTCTTAAATTTGTTATGCCTCAATTTATTTCTTATTTTTGAATAATTTTTTTACAAAACTATATTAGTATAATATTATATTATATATGTATATATTATTATTTTTAAATTGCACCTTCAGTTCATGGCAGTCGATCGAATAATAGTTATTGACGACACGGCAACGTCAACTTATCCACTTTTCACGCTCCAGTGGGCCTACTCTCTCCAGATTTCACGGGAGGTATGGGCACATTTGCATGCAACTGCATATGGAATCAAGAAACACTCATAATTGAATCAGATAACATATTTAATTCTAACCACATAATTTAGATATTGCTGAAGGAATAAAGATTATCTACTATCATATATATCAGTATTTAAAATTAGGGGCACATTACATTGTTAAATATATGAACTAAATAAATTTTGTCAAACTAATTTTTAACATAATTCCAAAATCTTAAATATATGATTATGAAATAATAACATTGTGATGTTAATTAGGGTTTATGTAAATTTTTAACATACGAGTATTTAATATATCATTAAATAAATTAAATAGTGTCGCCTAGTCACAAACTAAACAGAGCTTGTTTTACATTATATATTAGACAAGTGATATATAAACTTATATTTTTATAATATATAATAATGTAATTTATATCATTATTATTTTACAAATACGTACCTATTTGCTATGTTTTCTCGGCATAGTATTTTTTACTTCCTTTCTTGTGGACGATGCCAAGCCAAGCAAAGCCAACTAAGGGAAGTTAATGGTCGAATGATAGGCATCAGTATCCCTCTTAAAATATCACCAAACCCTAACTGCTGTTTTCTACTCGCTTATCAAGCATGGCAACTACTAGCAAAACTCCTCAATAGGGGGAGGCCATGTTTAGCAGTGTGCAGTTAATGACTGATATGATGATGGTGTCGCCTACTTACAAGATGTATTCGATGGTATTCGTTATTTGGGCTTACAAAGAATTGAAAAGGTCGTGGGTTCAAATGTAGCTGATATCAAAAACACTGTGCAACAATTTAAATTTCCGAATCACTCATTGATAATAAGCCAAATCAATTCGAGTGATGGCGGTAGGTTTACAATTTGCTACTTTAGTTCAAATATGCTCAGTCAAATGTGGGCATGACGAGTGTTAAGTTCCTTACTTGACTTTTACAGTCAATAAATGATTTTGAATATTTCATTAGTGGTTTTAATGTTAAAGATACCTACTCATATATTGTACATGCAATAACATATAAATGGTTTCTAGACGAATACATATTCATTAGTTGTTTTAGATTTAACAATACTAATTGTTTTCCGAAAAAAAAAGGATAAGCATATTTATAGTAAACACTCAGACCAATATTTATGCATACAAATGTTTGTATTGTATGAAGATCGAACCTGCAACTGCATGAAAGTGAGACGTACACCATCGCAACATCATGAAAGTTGTAAAGAAATATATCTTGTTATTTGACAGTGTAATATTGCTCTAAGTGAATGTACTTTACTGATGGACTGGGATTTAAATATCTAGATCAGAGAGTGTATGTAAATAATTACAACGTAATTAAAATTCTACATACATACTAATTTAATATTGCATGATTGTTTAGCTCTAATACTTCTTCTGCGAAACTAAATAATTTGAAATGTTGAATTATCTTGCATATTTAAACATTGAGATGAAGCGAAATACAAGAAGCAATGATTTGATAATTGTTAATTTAATTTATGGACATAATTTTATAGTATCACAACAATCTTTACTAATATTATAAATGTAAAAGTGAGTTTATTTGTTTATCTCTTTGTAGCTTAACGGCTAAAATTAGTTCGTCATGAAATCTGGTATACACCTAGTTAGTATTTTGATGGACATAAGCTGACTTTTATCCGGTCACACGGTCGAAGTCCCGGGTAAAAACTTGTAATATTATTCCTAATTGAGAAAGCGAGTATGTTTGTTATCTTTTGAGGGCTTAACGACTTAACCAATTATGATGAAATTTGGTTTACTCGTAGTATTTGGGATAGGGGATATAGGCTACTGAGTTTCAGTTA